TGGCCGGATTTGGGCACTTGGCAACTGGCTTGTATTTATGACAGTTGCACTGTCCTGGGGCCACAAGACCACCATTTGTAACCTTCCCAGCCAGCTTCTGACAAGCAAAGTTAATAGGGGTAACCAGATTCATTTAACAACAGCATGATTCACTTAACAACTGCATGATTTGCTTAACTATGGCAAAAAAGGTCATAAAATTGGACAAAACTCACTGAATAACTGTCTTGCTTAGGATCAGAAAGTTTGGGCTCAATTGTGGTTGTAAGTCAAGGGCTACCTGTATTGATATGGTTCACACCTTTGATCACAAACATTTGCATTGACTCTTATTTGGATAGCTACTTGTCCATAAAATTGATGACTTACACATTAAATAGGCTCAGACCAGTGTTTAATGAAACCATTCTATATATTTTTTTTCCTACCAATTCTCAGTCATTTTGTAAAACATTCTTCACAGCCCAAAATCAATTTTTTACCTAATTTGAAACAACTTAAAATTGGATTCAAAGTTCCTGAGTTCCATTTCTAAACCTTAAAAGATGAATCAGGGATGATAACAGTGAACCAACTTTCTCATAAGCTTAACTTTAAAATATGTAAAGTCACTGGAGATGTTACATTAGAATTTTTTGCCATTTCCCTGATCTAATCTTCCCCTCACCCTGCCACCTATACCTGCCATTAGCCTATTATGGCAGTATCTTTTGGATTAGTCACTGAAACTAGTTTGAAGAGCCCAGATAAGTGGCTTTTGATGAACTTCTCCTGAAAGTGCACATTTAATCATTGCAGTTTAAACTCATGCATCGATAACATAAACAATTTTTGTATACAGCATGATTAATATAGGTATATATTTGGTCCTTTGTCATATATGAGATGTCAATGAGTATTCTGAAAACAAACCCCATGGCTTTCTTATTGGCTGTTATGTTAAAGCTGACATGGAAAGCTAGAACATCTGGCAGAAAGGAAAACAGAAGATTTCAATGTGTGTATTAGCCCATTCTCTCCAACTTACATGTAGCCAATCTTAAGAGAAAAACAGTTATTTAAATTGCCTTTAGAAAGACTCCACGAGGTTTGGCATCAATAGTTTAAAGTTGAATGATTTCAGTTTTTATAAGACTTGCATAGGAAACTGCTTCCTGATGTTTGCTTTCAAGCTGGAGTATGCACACAAACATTGCAGGTTTTTAGAAGTGCTGCCAACAATCTGCACTTAGATATTTTAATCTATTTCCTTATTTGATTTTTTTTCTCGTTATTTTGAGCACTTACTCTACCCTGAAGTGAGTTTATTCTATCCAATAGCTATTGGATGAATCCTGAGGTCTTCTAGTCCTGTTTCTGAGAGCAACATAGCTTAGACGTAAAGTCAAGAGAATAGCAGATATTTATTTCAATTCATTCTGGATCTTGGTCCATTATCTGATGCATTTGCTTTGTTGTGATGAACGTAAGGGGTAGCTAGTGTTTGTGGTAGGAATACTAGAAGAAAAAGAAGAAAGTCTTCATTTTGTCTGTCACTGTAAAATCTGATGGGCAATAGGAGAGCAGTTCTGAATTAAATGAAAATATGAAGACCTATTTGGGAGCCAGGCACAAAAGAAGGAATGGTTGGACTTAGTGTGGACAATATTTTCTAAGTATTCAAATTAATATGAAACATTACTTTAATTCTCATACTTAATTTTTTCAGAAAGAAAAATATCTCAAAATCCATCGCAAAATAATTTTCAAACATCTCTAATGATGACTGCAGATACTTTATTTGCTGGGGGCATAAGATGAAAATGTCAGCCTTTAGAACTCAGGATAAAACTGTTATTTTCCAATGTAGCAGAGAATTTAAAAAGGCAATAAATCTAAGCCAGTGCAAGTTCCACTAGTACAGCAAAGTTATCATTGTCAGATACTAAACAGAAACACAAGAAATGCTGATTAATTCAATCATGATTGTGCATTAGATTTTCTTATTTGATTGCATTAATTTTAGCAATGATAATTCTGAAAGCAATTACAGTGTTTAGTATTCTGTTTAAAATTTCAGCCAATTGAGTCTTTGCAAAAGTTCTTGGTGTTCTGGATTCTCACTGCTATTACCTCAGCTGCTCTACAACCTCCAACTAGCATCAACTATGACTATAATCCTCTACTGGAACTTGCTTAAAGCATACACTTTGCAATTCTCCAGGGTATCTATTAGCCACACCAAGAACTATTTAATATTGGAGTTGCAATTTCAAATTGCCACACAAACACAAAAAAATACTAATTCATCTTCCAAGAATCACAGCACTGAAAAGTTTTTATGCAGTGACAGAAAAGTTTCTAGTACGGTAACTCAAAAATGAAAAGCTATGAAACAGGTTTTTCACATTGACCACTTAGGTGCCTTACAATCTAGGAACCCCAACACAATTACAGCTACCCATATCCTCCTTCATTTTTCTTTCTCTCTCCTTTCTGACTAGGGAGTTCTTTCTTTCTTTGGTCTTTTCCCCCTTGCCCTTCTCTTCTTTCTCCTTTCATGGTAGAGTCTTTCCTTTCATTTCCTTTCCTTTCCTCCTTCTTTCCTCCCTCCCTCCCTCCTTCCCCATCTATTGCCTGGTTAACCTCTCAGCCCATTTTTTCTAGCCAAGCCTTGCCTCTCTGATTCACCTGCACAAAAATCCACCTGCTTCTCCCATACTAAATTGAGCATGCGAGATAGTGGTGGTTCCCAGAAGGTGGTGCTAGTCTGACTGGCTTTGAGGTGACTAGGCTCCTTTGTTGCCAAAAGACACAGTAGGCTAAGCCAAGGGGAGTGGGAGTTGCCAGAATACAGAAGCAAACAAGCCCTCAAAATGGGAGTCAGTTACTGCCTAAGTTTCTGAAGTGGCTGGATTATTGTTTTATGCATACACAAATAAATAAATAAATAAATCTCTGTTACTAAGATAAGCCTTCTTGTCCTAAAATAGGGAACAAATAAAAAGCATATAAAGGAAATATGTCAACTGGATCAGCATATGTTTGAGGCAAAGCTTTCAGACCTCCCCAATTACTGAACCATAGAACTGATTACGGTGAAATTGACCTCAATTGTTTAGGATATAAAAGTGATGCTGGCACAATTTCACAATTCCTGAAACAGAAAAGGTAGTACTAGGAATAATAAATGCAACTAAAACTCCACACAGTCAAAGAACTGGTTTTAGATAATATTCTAAGATTTTGCTACTAAAATAAGAAGGAGCAAACAAAATATCCTGTGTCAACGCTGTAAACATTAGATGTTCCCGCTCTGACAACTGATGAAAATTGCAGCTATTTCCGCTTTGGTTTTAACATGCTTTTTCTTCTATTTAGAAATCAGGTGCAGAAGGGGGTTGGGATGAATGCTTGAGCTCAGCTAGCCATAATAATAACGCTGCTCTGTGGGAACTTAAGGACGAACTGATAACAGTTTGATGGGCTGAGGAGCTGGAGAGACAGCCTACGTTTCAGGCTAATTGGAGAAAGTGATTTATGACTGCTTATTGGGGGTGGGAATTGCAATTTGTTACTTTGTATCCAGGGGGAGAAGGGAATTTAGTATTGGGTTCAACTATGTAGTGCCGATACTTTGTTTCCTGAATAAAATGTTCTTTAAGGAAGAATTCTTGCCTTGAAGTTCTTTTGATGGGTTTCATCTATCGGAACCATAACATCCTGCACTGATTAACTATACATTCACAATATGAATATGGTTGGAAGATAACAACAGATACTCATTGTGAATATCCTATTACCTTGATATAATTCATTTCATTTCATTAATTTTTATTATCCTTGATTACCATCTAGTATCACTTGGTGCTAGTCGGCATATAAATTTAATTAATAAAATAAATAGTTTGTCTGAATTTTTAAAAAATCCTCAAGAAATGCTACACTGTCAAACAGAAAAATGTTGTGGATGCAGTGATGATATCTTTATTCATAAACTGTTATTTCTGAATGAAGCTACCCCAACTGCTGCTTCATTTATTCAATGGATCATACTTCCTTCAGTGAATACAATGTTTTAAATTATTTCATGGTGGATGCTGTCTACAGAAAATAGACCTTATTTACCTTAGTTATTGATTCTGACATCTTGGCATGCTGAAAACTACTGATGCAAAATGCTAAGTGTAGGAAACTAAACTTCAATAACCAAACATCATTCAGTGTCAGCTGCACCCAAATAAAACTTGCACAATGAATGGAAACACTGTGGTGTATTTATATTCATGTATAGACAGATGCTTAGATATAGACACATATAGACCTGTCAATTTAAATTGAGTAGATTTTTTTTCCTGTCCAAAAGGAAGGATTTTTAAATCATTTTCATCTTGTCATCTTTTTATATTTTTTATTAAATTTGTTTGTCACCCATCTCGTTGCAAGGCGACTTTTCAAATATCCATTTTCAGAGGGATGTGGAAATTATTCCTGTTTGCTGAATGCTGTTTTGCCGACGAGTTGAAAAAAGTAAAAACACGGCATGTCCTTGGATGGTGAAAGTGCTTTTATCTGATGTACATTAATATTGGATTCTCACTACAGACTTTTTTCATTTTTTAATTTGCAAAATATTTGGGGTTTATTTTTTAAAAATTTTCTTTTAATATTGAATCAAAATATCCAGAAAATATCTTTCCTGGGTTTTTTTCTGCTTAGCGTTCTTTGTTTCCTAGCTAAGTTACATAGAGCAACAATATATTCAGATTATTGACAAGCAAGTATGGCTGATGTCCAGAAAAGACCTTTTGATAACATGCAACCTTTAGTTGAAAACTAAATACGTATATGTAGGAATGTGGGTCTACTCTATACATACGTTGTTCATAGTATGTTTAGGTGTGCGTCATGTATGTGTTTCACTTTGAGAATGGGCAACTACATTTCATTTTTGATATGTGCCGTTGTGCCCACAGTTTAAAAAAAATAACAATAAAGGTTATCTTATCTTATCTTATCAGACCCATTGGAAAGTCTGGAAAGAGATATGGAGTGTACAGATGTAGAATCAACTGAGCTGCTTCCATACACCTCTCTGAAGTTCAAGCCTGCATTCTTTTACAATAGCAGAAGTCTGTCTGAATGGAGAAATGATAAACTGGTTTTTCCTAGGAGGACTCTTAACTCTTGGGATGATTTGGGATGCCATGGTAAATTTTCTACAAGTTGATTATAATAACAATTTGTTAACAGAGGTTTTTGAAGCTTTAACCTTGTCTTTTTTATTATTGTTGTTCTTCCTGCTAACTATTTTGTCATTAATATAATGGATTATAGATCAATAATTTGCAAATAGATTTAGTAGTTTAATTTTTTTTTTCTGGCCCTGTTTCACAAGGGGTGGGAAACCAATATTGTAGTTAATGTATTAATCAGTATTCAATTAGGAGGGATAATGCATTTTTAATGCATCATTTTGTAACGTCTTGTTTGTTTTGCGTTTTTTTATTTGATTTTTTAAAATTTGTTGGAGTTTTCAATTTTAATTTTTTTCCCAAATAAAATAGAGTCTTAAAAAAAGAAAATTGCTGAATATTAGGTGGCAGATAAGACACCCTTTTTAGTGAAAAATGAGGGAGCCATTTTGTTTGTTCTCTAAGGCAAAACATTCCACTGGATTTATTTTGTTCTGAGCTTGAAATATTGCTATATTATCATATCAGATACTCTCTGTGAAAGTTTTTCTACCTCTAATTATTGCAGTTAGAACTGTGTGTGTCAATGTCTTTTAATAAAAAAGCTTCAATCTTTCATATAATAGAAAATATGCAGCAGACATAGGAGTAGAAAAATTACTTAATATCAATGTGAAAACAAAGCCAAACTTGGTAAACTTTTTTTAAAGAAAAGATTTCCTGAAACATTACAAAATGCAACTTAATTTTGAGAAATTATGTGTTTCTGACTATTAAATGAATGAGTGGAAGTGAAATAAAAATCAGAGAAAACAGAGGTTTTGAATTTACCTTTCTTCTTTATGAAGTTTTTCATATGTGTCACAAAGAATTACAGATATTTTCTACTTGTCCCTAAAAATTCGAACTCATTTTAAACAAACATTACTTTCAGCCAACCCTAAATCAACACTGATGAATAAAAACTTAATTGTAAGCACATCCTTACAACTTTTTCTTACAACTAATAGACAAGTATCCCTAAGTCACGAGTCAATATAGATTTTAAGTAGCCTGGGTTTTCTTCAATTCTAAGTGAAAAAAAAAATATCTCCAAAGTCACAATGATTATACCCTACTCCTCCACATAATCAGAAATAATATCCTTTTTTTTTAAAGATACCAAGTATCATACTTCCAACTTGGCCTAAAGCTAACAGCAAAAATAATTGATCCTCAATGGAATTATAATGGGAAATTTTAAAAAATGCCGAGAAAGGGAGGCAATACAATATTTGATTAATAAACATTCAGAAATTAACATTTGTTAGGAAAAGGAAAATGTTATAAATACCTGGGGAGATGACGGATTAAAAGCCACATTGATTACAGATTCAGTGTGTCCTGTCAGTTTATAAGAATAGGTGCTGGAATGCTTCTCATATATATAAGCCTGAAAAAGAATACATATTTAAAGTTGGCAATAGCCCATCAAGGAGCAAAAGTTTTTTATTTTAAATACCTCTTCACAAAATGTACACTTATCAAAATTCCAGGTCTTCATAAGATAAAATGGAACCCACAATCCAATTGTTGCCTTTGCTCAAAAGCATTGGGGGAAGAGCTAAAAAAAAAGGTTAAATCTGACTTAATTTTTTACATTTGTTCACACATACCTGAAAAATGTATGTTTTGATCATACAGTCACAGCCACAACTTGACTTTTTTAAACCCACTCTGGATTCACCTGCTATTAATGCTACACTCTACTGCTTGATTGCAGCCAAGGCAGGCACTAATGCAGTGGGCCTTGATTTGCTAGTTGCTGTTATTCATTTGCATTAACTATGAGAACTTTAAGGTGAGCATAAGTCCTAGAGACTTAGAAGCAGGGCTTTGTTTTTCATAGAACGCCCAGAACAGAGTTCCGGCACCTTTTTGGGATGGAACTTTGTAGGGTAGGCAAGGTGGGTTGTATGACGTGTGTGAGTTCCGGCCCTTTTTTTTTTTTTTTAGAGAAAAAGCACTGCTTAGAAGATATAGAAATAAAGATTCCCAATGTGCTACTGGAATAACCTTTCACCCACAGAGGTATATTGATTCTTTTAAAACCACTTAAAACCCTTAAAAAGAGATGTTGCCTGCAGAGACAAGGTTCATGCCATCCTATAGTCTATGGAAATATTCCCAGAGTACATAGATTTGCCTTCTCCAAAAATTATACACTTATTCATTTTGAATACAAAATGAATTTACAAAATCTATTTTGATCACATTTTTATTATTGCTTATAGCAGACCCATATCTTGTATTTAATATTACCAATGAGAACCAGTTCTGTGTAGCAGTTTAAGGTGTGAAGCTAGAAACTAGGAGACAATCAGTCCAAGTCTTGCCTTAGCTACAAAGCCAACTAGGAGCTTTGGACCAGATGCTCTTTCTCAGCCCTTAATAAACAAGGTAATGGCAAGCCACTTCCAAAAAATGTTGCCAAGAAAACTACAAGGACTTGTCCCAGCAGTCACCAAGAGCCATAAATGACTTAAAGGTACTGAAAAAAAAATCACCAATTGATATTACTATTAATAGTATCATATGTCTAGTACTATTTAATACTGCTCATATTAATATTTTAATACCTCAACTACTTTCAGAAACATGAATCTATTTTTCAGACATGATTTTACAAATAATATCAAAGTACTTTTAAATAATTAAAATTATCTACACTTATCTATAATTTTTTTTGACTAAATGTGAAAATAAACTATTATTTGCATCCAGATTATATGAACAATTGGAAAATGAGAAGCTGTGTATATGTTAGCTGCTGGACTAGTGTATATTTTGTGACTTATCTGTGCCCTCAGTGTCACCTGAATAATGTAAATGGGTGTGGAACCTTCTTGGAATGGCTGAAAGGTCTGTGTTGTAAACAGGAGATAGGTGGTGTCGTATTCCTCTCCCTCTATTGAGAGAGGGCTGTTCATTCTTAATGTAGATTAGGGGTGTCCAACTCGCCACGTCATGTGATGTGTCGCGACATATCGTGACTTTCCCCCCATTGCCGGAGCTGGGGTGGTCGCAGTTTTGGCATGACGCATCCGGCCCGCAGGTCGGCAGTTTGACACCCGTGATATAGATTGTCTCTTTGACCCCTCTTTCAAACCAGCGGTCCTTTCTGTCCAGAATGTGGACTTTACACTCTTCAAAAGAGTGACCCTTATCTTTCAAATGCAGATGGACTGCTAAGTCTTGTCCTGATGGGTTTGTTCTCCTACAATGTGCCATGTGTTTGTGGAGTGGTTGTTTTGTTTCTCTGATGTACAGTTCTATACATGATCATAACACAATCCTTTTAGCAGTTCCAAGAAGTTTCACACCCATTTGCACTATTCAGATGACCCTGAGGACACAACTAAACCTTCAAGTGACCTCAACAACTCTCAGAAAGAGTGCTAATTAACAAGCAGATGACAGCAAGGAATATAAATCCTTCCATCCTCCATCATTCAGTCAGAACTGAAGAAGCTTCTTGGATGAGAAGCAAAATGTCTTCAAAGAAAAAAACGAAGTCCAGTTACCTTTTGAAAAAGCACTTTTGGGACATGCACTCGTCTAGTTAGGTGGTCTTAGGTAGTGGTTATGACAGTTGTGAGAAGTTTCTTAAAGATCACAGATTAAACACGAGCTAGCAAAATGTTGCAATTGCCAAAAGATTCAAAGCAGTTTTGGGCTGCACTAAGAACAGTCAAGATCACAGGGAGTGTTAGTACTGTGTGTTTTTTTCCCTGGCCCGACTGCATCTGAAAGACCTATTGCCATACACAAATAAATAAATGTGCCCAGTTCTGGTCACCACAAATATAAAAAGCACAATGAGAACTTGAACAGCCTGCATCCTGAAGTCATGGGCACTTCATCACTGGGATCTTTCAAGAAAGGATTTGACAGTCATTTTGTGGCATGCTATGGGTATTCTTGCATAGGCAGAAGATTGGTTTAGAATCCTATGATTCCATTCTTGCTTCATACTACACCTACATTTCTATTACTTATCCCCATTATGTATTTATTTCAATAAGGCATCATTTAAAAATATGCAAAGAAAAGTATTGGGTGTACCTTTTTTGGAACAGCCTTTTTTCCCTCTCAAATATTTCCATATTATTTTCAATAATCCCTATGATGTTTCAAGAACTGTATCAGCACAATCTATTTACATTTTATATTCTATGTTCAAACATTAGTAAATCTTTTAACCGAAAATGTGTAGCCTTATTTCAAGAAAAAATCCTCAAACTATGTGAACTATTCAACCACAGAAAAACCTGGCCTTTTTAAAAAGAAGACACATAGGAATGTTTCTAATGTCCTGTTTCTGTTGTCATAAATTAAAGGGGAAAAAAGTCAGAAAAGGCTTCAACTAGTTTCCTCTGGTCTGTACCAAATAGCGAGATCAATTGGTTCATACTGGCACCCAGCTGGGGCCATAAGAAGGTACATATTGTACTTGCTGCCATTTTCATTTTGTCTAACTTGGTATATTTGCTGTTATTTTATTTATTGTCTTCTTCATTTTTTTAAAAAAAATTACTACTCTGTAATTTTAATTTGTTATATAATAACTATTATACGAATAACATAATTCATTCCATTGGGCAGAATCTTAAAATCTGAGTCCAACTCTCATAACAAACCGAGACTGCAGAGTAATCCCCATTTAAAAATGGCTGGAAAAATCTCTTTGGAGAGAATTTACAATGAAAATCAGTTTAGTGCTAGTCAGGTAATATATATAATGGCTTCCTTAAAAACTTTGAAGCACTGCAAAAGGAAAATAACTTGACAATGAGACAAATAAATGGCAACATGAACAGTTAAAATACTTATTAGTCATATTATTTGGGTAGAAGAGACCAAGACATCAATTCCATGGGGAAGGCTAGGGTTATTTTGATTGGGACTGGCTTTAATAACAGAGCCTTATAACTCTGATTATGCTGTACTCCCTCTTCCTCTTTATAGTCTAGTGAATCAAAAAGGTGTCTGCTTGAGCAGCCTCCAAATATTACCTTGTTTCTCAGGACTTAAAAAATGGTGCAGCCTCTTTTGTCAAGTCAACAGTTCTTGAGAGGTCCTTGTGCTCTCTGACCTCTTAGTTGTCTTCTTGCAGACTTTTCATTACCCAAACAAGAAGACATCATCAGTGTAACAACCTGCCTCCAGAAGCGGTGAATGCGCCAACACTGGAAGTTTTTAAGAAGAAACTGGACAGCCATTTGTCCGAAATGGTATAGGGTTTCCTGCCTGAGCAGGGGGTTGGACTAGATGACCTCCAAGGTCCCTTCCAACTTTATCATTATCATCATCATCATCATCATCATCATCATCATCATCAGTGTACCCTCATTTCAATCCCAGCTACAAATATTCTCCCTTATTGGCAACAGTTTTATATATTCCTATCAAGGTTATCTTTCTTACTGTCTACAGGGGCCTTCACAGTTTCCAGAATCTGGGGAAACCCTTGTGTATTGAAGAAAGCTTGATGGACATCAATTAGCAATTTATTATCACGAATGTTTGAACAACATTACAAAAACCCATTTCAATTATACATAATAAATATGGAATGAAGAATTGGAATAGTCTACTCTTGGAAGAAAGTTTAAAGTTCAGAGTCGTCGATGTGTTGCTATTGCACATATTTAGAATTTCAAGTTATGGAGAACTTTGAATAAACAGTGCCCATACTGTTGAGAATAACTGATTATAGGCACAAAAGCTGGCTGGGTAATTTTGGGCCAGTAACTCTCTCTCAGCCCAACTTATTTCAGAGTTGTTATGGGGAAAATAGACGGAGGAAGGAGTATTCGTTATGTTCCCCACATTGAGCTATTTATAAAAAATAGTACAGATGACATAAAATAAAACCAATAAATGAATAAGCTCCTGGAAAGATGTTTGTACACCAGATTATAATGATGGTTATATGAAATTTGGAATACCATATATTATCAAAAGTAAGCTACTATACATACACATTTATCTTCAGATCCACAAGCGATGAACTGGCCACAAGGAGAAACACTAATTCCACATGGATGACAACGGCTATTATGACCTTCAAATCGGCGCTCGCATCTGCAGAAATTCAATAAATTTAAGTACTATGAATTTTAAAATAATTGCTTCTAAACTTACTCATTTTTTTCAATGAAGTACATATTCTATTTATCTTTGCCTTACAATCGACATCCAACACTCTGAGGTAAGATGGGCAGCCAATAAATTTAATGAATGAATGAATGAATGAATGGAATGGAATTGAATATGATATATCATAACATGCTCTGATTGCTTAAAACTAGGAGAGTTTAAGAAGAGTTTACAAAATACTTAAACTCTCTTATTTAAATAGATTTTTAAAATGAAAATATTAAATTTTATAAAGGTATGTATACACATAATAACAAATATATAAACTATAAAATTATTAGAAGACATATATAGGCAGAAAAGTTGCATTCATCTTAAGAATCTCAAGGAAATAGTATCTGCCTCAAATTTAGTTAGATTTGCAGTGCTAGATGCAGAGTTGACTTTTTATATTATTAGGACTATTCCACTATTTCTATATGTTCAGTTTGCTGTTCTCTGGGCATTATACCTGTTGTGATTAGGAAGGGAAGTTCAATAATCAGCTTATGTTTCCAAATATTTTGTGGTGTTGATTTACTTAGTTCTAGTATATTTTTTCAATATTTAATTTTTTAGTATGTGTAGGTAAGAAGGATTTTACACGACACTGCAGTGGTACATGAGAGAATGTATGTTTAGTCATATATGTACATGAGTGCATTCAAGAAATGTAAATTAGAATATGGGCACTGTTCCTAATTTAGCTAAAAATGGACAATTGACATGACAATCTATGATTTTCTTTTCTCAGATTTGATGAATGAGTTGTAAGGATTTGGTATCTTTCGTTGAATACATGCATCAGTTTATTTTCCAATATCGTTTTTAGTTTCTTATACAGGTTCAGAAATTTTTCAACACTGTTCTACATGATGTTTTTAAGACATACATTTAAGAAACATTAGTTAACAGCCATGATGCAATGGGATGTATCTATGAAGGGGAAAGTGGTGTGATGGATTTCAGTAATGCAGCAGTTTCTCAGGAAGGAGGGAAGACATTCCAAGGAAGGGAGGGTGAGACAAGAGACAACACAGTTTGGAGCTGGATCATGGAGGGAGGAAGAGATTTAACATAACCATTCCCTAAAATCTCCCAGGGTATATTCATAGGTTAGGGTAGTATAGGTTTAGTCTCCAAGATTCTGTCTATATGGCATAAGCAAATAAAGAACTGAACTTTGGCTGGATTGTTCTGTTCTTCTCAGTTGAAGCCTGACACAACAGGCTAAATAGTTACTTAGAAAACTGTCTTTAACAACAATAATTTAATACAGGAAACATCCTTGAGACCAGTCTGACTACAATCTTTCTGGCAATAATATGGAAGCCATTTGCCACTATCTTTTTCCAAGTCCTTCTGGTCTACCCTATAGTCCTGTGATTTTCTAGTGGCTGCCTATCCAAGAGCTAATCACTTTCTACCCTGCTTAGCTTTTCTGAGATTAGTCAAGAAAAGCCCTGCTCCCATCTATTTCCGCAAGCAATTGTTTATCTCGAAAGAAATGTGCAAGGGGCTTTCCACTGGGTATTTTTACAGGCATTATTCTCAGGCATTATTATGTGCTGCAGAACATATTCAACAAATCGTCTGGATAAAACAAAGGAAATAAATATTCCTACTACTAAACAGTTGGGCATTCCATAACTGAGTACAATATCTTCCTTGTTTTATTTCTGAAAGAGATGGAAGTCAAAGCAAAACCTCACTCACATATTGTCTCTTTGATTAATAGATAAGAATTTGTTACATTGTAGTAATAGCTAATTTGTTAACTCTTGGAGGTCTCAGATTTATGTATGAGAATGGTGGTTCCTGGTTTATGGAAATATAAACCCATTTCATCTGTTCCCAAGGCCTAAAATAAATCCCAAGCCTTGTAGATCTTATTTGTTAAGAAATAGTTTATCTAAGCTGCTTTTAAAATTTGGCTGGAAAACAAATAAAAATCTTTACACATCAGTCAACTTTTTACAGTGGAAGCATAATATAATATACAATTATGAAATTCAAGCTAATAGTTCTCATAATATACAATTATGAAATCCAGACTCATATATCTCTGTGGATAAACATTCATGGATCAAGATGTTCATAGATCATGAAGGACATGTATTTTCCTCTCTTCTGACTTAACATAGGAGCAATCAATAATTAAAATGCCACGTACTGCTGAAAGCAAAAATACTTACAAATGATTCGAAGAAATCAGCTTACTGGTGGTATTCTATGTAATTAAATCTTTGTCATGTAACGTTTAGGTGCTACAAGAAAGGCTGGGATACCTGGCATGTAATATTAATGTTAATATTCTTCACATGAAGTCTATAAGCAGGAAATAGGCAGAAAATGCCTGAACTGATATCTGGAGAGTCTAAAGCAGTGTTTCTCAACCTTGACAATTTTAAGGCATGTGGACTTCAACTCCCAGAATTCCACAGCCAGCATTGCTGGCTGTGGAATTCTGGGAATTGAAGTCCACATGCCTTAAAATTGTCAAGGTTGAGAAACACTGGTCTAAAGCAAAGCAGCTTGCCAATGTCTCTATGCTCTTTACATTACAAATTGCTCCAATATATGTTGAGAAATAGATGACCAACTTTATTTCACTAATAATTTCTTTAAACTCTTTAATGACTTGCCTGATTTTTCTTTACAAAAATTATGCTTCTGAAAAATTTATTGCCACTTAGTTACTGCACTTGTATCCCATCATTCCATCAACAAATAGTCCTCACTGTGGCTCATTAGAGAAAGTTTACATTTGTAAAATGTGAACTCAGAAGTAATTTCAGTAACAGCAGAAGGTACCCCTAACTGTGGCAACACAGACAGAATGACTTCTTTTGCCATTTTAAAAGTATGAATTGGCTCATAAGGGAGAATAGGATCTTTCAAATAAATTAGGGCCAAGTTATATATAACTATAGATCATAACCAACACTTTTTCCAGGAACAGACTGCCAGCAATGGAAGGGTATTAAGAAAGGAATTGCATATTCCTTTTAATCAGTTCTAGACATCAGTCTGGCTGCAGCATTTTCTCTTTTCTGTTTCTGAGTACTTTTCTCAGACTGTGTTATGGTAGTCCTAAGAGCATTTTACAATAGCATGTGTCATCGTGGCCAAATCTGACATCTCCAGGAATGCATAGAATTGGTCACCATCCTTAACTGTGCCAACACATTTCTAGACACCACAAAAACCTAGGTATCCAGCTTCATTAGTGAATCTGAAAAGACCAACAAGCTCTGAGTTTTCACAGATAAAATTACCCTTTCCAGCACAACTTGAAGCACCTTTGTATTATCCTGACTGAGTTTCTCCCAGTATGATCTTCTGAATCTTCACTCTAAGAACTGGTGTCTCACTGCTATGCTCAGACCATAAGCTTGATTCTACTGTACAGTAGTCCTTATTTAGCAACCACCACTTAGACTGGCAACTCAGCCAATAAGTAAAGTGGTGATTAAGTGAAATTGAGATCATAGACTCACGAAGGTCATAAATGCGAGGACTGGCTGTAAGGTTACCTTTTCATTACCATCCTAACTGAAAAGTGATTGACATTGAAGAATATTATCTTCTTCATATAATTCTGGTAATCTGGAGAAAATTGTGCTTCTACAGCTTCACTACTAGAACTTTTGATCCAAGGACTGTGGTATAATTCCATAAATGGAGTAGGTGCTGGTAAATACTATTTTTTATATAAAGAATAATACATAATTTGGAACTCAAATTTTAAAATTTCCACTAATTTGTCTTACTAGTCTTAGTATTAGAGCCAAAATGGACAGGACCATCTATGGTATCAGCCCCACAAAGTCAGCTGCAGCTGAGATCATAGCACCCTATCATGATGTTAAATCAGACTAGTCAATAGCACTTATAGGAACAATACAGACTAGAGGAAATATAAATAGAAGGGAGAAAAAGAAGGGGAGGGAAATCAAAGGCTCTAGACGTAACCAACAAGTACAGCCTATTATACTATATAATTTAGGATTGCAATATAGAGAAACTACTCATACAGATTGTATTTTAATTATTTTACCATTCCCTGTCGAATCTTAATGTTTTAAAATGAGGCTGCAAGTAAGTAACCTGTTAAAAAAATTAACTTTTTACTATTCATGAATAGTAGTTAAACCAATTGATAGAAAAAACATAAGGATATAATATAGTTAACCTTTTTTCCTAAATATTTCCTTTCACTATATTTAGACATTTGCTAGGAATAATGAGCCATTATTGTTTCAAAAAATGTGCTAATTCCAATTTCAAAGGTAAGCTTCTGTTGTTGTTTTTATAGAGTTGCCTCCAACTTCTTCCAGACTAATTTTTTTCCAAAACATTTGACTTGGACATTTAATGATTTACAAAGATCTCCCATGTGTGCTTTTCTGTACTGCTTCTGTAGTTTGTAACCCTATACTGAAATGTTTTTCAGTTCAGACAATTGTACACTTTTTAAGAATTAAAAAAGTACATTCCGATTTGTTAAGTTCATTTCAATTTTTTTTAAAGGCTGTCACTTAAATTTGGGGGGAGTAACATAAGGCCATTTCATTCATAGCTACGAAGACTAGAATGAAGAATCAATTTATAGTTACTTACATTATATCATAAAGAACACAAACTTGTATATTCAGGTATAATCAACAAAAATTGTGTCATGTCTCAAAGAGGAAGAAATATATCACACATATGTTTTTGTAGATTGCAGTTTATCTCATCAGATACAGTGCAAAACTGTATGCAACAAACTGTTAATTCTTAAGTAAAGTGGTCATGGAATTCTGTCAATTAGGATACATCAGTTTTTCCCTGTACTTACATTTGTCTGAGTTATGTGGCAAATACCCATGTTCCTCAACCTCTCCTCCAGATGAAATTTCTTCTTTTATATTTGCCTTTCCCCAGCTTTTATGACAGTTTTTCCCACTCACTGGCATTTTATCACATGACTAGGTTATGTTTTAATGCAGCAATATTTAGATTTTATTGCTGAGAATGTGTTTAAACTAAGGAACCAATGCAATATTCTCCATATGTTTTTTCCCAGCTTAATCTCATGAAAGGACAAATGTAGACTGGCTATTTTTCAGCATGTGCCTAAATAACCACACAGTCCTTATTGGTTGTTTGTATGCTGTATTCAGGAAGCTGTGTCTCCAAAGGACAACTGCATTTGAGGAAGACAAAATGCCACAGAGTAAAAATTTTGACTTTTATATGATCCCACAATCATTTTTGCAATTTTGTACTCCCTATATTATGGTATCTAACAGAAACCATAAATTATGCCTGGGGATAAATTAAACAAGCAAACATTTATTCAGAAATATTTATATGTTGCCTTATTTCTGAGGAATTATAAGTAGCTGTTTCAAAGCTGGACTAACCAAACTTCATCAAATTGTGCAGAAGTTCCATAACTTTGCAAATATCAAGTACTTCAAAGAACTCCTTGTGAACTCTTGTAAGAAAAAAAATATTAAAAAGCACTTGTATAGTGTAATAAAGAATTACCAGGAAACATGGCAAACAGCAAAATGACTGGCTGTTACCTTAATGTTCTCAAATCCCAAAGTTTGATGCCATCACCAATGGCTGCTGTTAAAAAGAGATTGTAAGCTTCATGTGGTTGACAGCTAAAAGATGATCCCTGAAAGAAAAACAAACATTAGTTTAAAATTACAGTAGCTTGGATAGTTTAGAAAACATTTCCACGGTTGAAACTCCATAGAAGAACATGTAATAATAAATAAAATAATAAAAGCCAAAATTGACAAAAGATCAGATTTTTCTTCAATGTAAGTGTCATACAGCCATTCAGAGAATTGTTAAATCTAGCTTTCACGGTACTCTGTTTCTGCTCAATGATGGCTTATATTGTTACTATGGTTTAGAACAGCGGCCCCAACATTTTGGACACCAGGGATCAATTCTGGAGAGAAAGATTTTTCCACGGACCAGAGGGGGTGTGGTTTCATATGCTGTCTGCATCCCGTGGAAGGGGCTTCGCTTGTTTGTGGGGCCTGGTTTCTGGCATGTCATGGACCGGTGCCAGCCCATGGACTGGGAGTTGGGGACCCCTGGTTTAGAATACGCTTATAAATCATTTTAGCACAATGAATTCCTGTTTATTTTATTCAAAGTGCAATTCTAGAAAAGTAAAAAACTATTTTCGAGCCAAATGAAATCACTTTATAAAACAGTTTCTTTTCCTAGATCAACCACTATCTTTAAGATCTTTTGAATTTGTCTTTTGGCAGCCATTCTTTTGAGAATTGAAACTGGTTTTCATCAGCAAAATGAGTCAGCTATGATTCTGGAATTATGGAAAGTTCATTTATAGGCATCTATGTCTCTTCTTTGAAGACAACTGTGCTTTGCAGATGGATCAAAATCAACTTTTTCTAAGTATATTTCAAACTGTTTTACAATCTTTTGTCATTTAAGATAAATCTTTATTAGGAATTAACTGCTTTTCGAATCCTTTTCTTATTAAAAGGAATCATATAAATATTTGAAGCAAATAAAATTAAGCAACCATTGGAACACCCGAAAGATCTGGTTAGGGCAGACTGTCATGGAAAAAAAATGATCTATGTGTTTGCTAAGAGCAGACATTATCTTGACAGCACATAATCGGTCAATAAAATAATCAATCAATCAATCAAAATTAAACAATATTTCAGCAGTCAAACAATAGCAAAAGAATTCATATTAGACAGCTGACTGAAAGCTTCTGTAAGAACTCTAATACATATGGACTCAATTTTTACTGAATTGAATTAAATATAATCATATTTACTAATCCTGAATATGAATTTAAATAATCAAAATAAATAATTTCAAGTAGCATCAATGTTATTAAATATGTTTTGTAGTTTTTCCTTCAGAGAGGAGGGAGGATTGAATAATTCATATGAGTTTTGCCAAATATTCAGTGCCTGAAATTATTTTTAGCTATAGACAGTGAGTTTTCAGAAATGTTGATATATAATTAGGAAATGTCCCAATTTTAAGTCAGTGGATATTCAATAGAGCATTAAAGTTGACTGCAAAAGGATTATAATAATCTCATAGATTGACCGTTATATTAGTATTTGAAATGTATTCATTTTTAAATGTATGTAATTAACCAGTGACATTTGATAGAAAACATATAACTTACAATACACCTGAATATAAAATCTGTTCCTTGAGGAAATTCTATTAAAATGACTAGAGAGTTCTATAAAAATCTAGTGGTAATAAAAAAAATAGCACTAAACACCATTAAGCAATTGGGAACTTGTATTCAGGTAAAGAGAAGATAAGTTTTTGATGTTACAGAACATGGACCACAACATGGACAACACAGAATACACTTCTACTTTCAAAAGCATTTGGCATTTTGAATCTAAAATAACATTTAATATTTATTTTAAATAATTATTTACTTTTGAGGTAAACAGTTATTATTTGCTTATTTATAACATTTTATTACTTTTTTCATATTATTTAAAATAAGGCCAAAATGAGGAATGTTGAGGTTACTGTTTTGAAAGAAAGACAGAAGCACAGATTAAATTACAGATAATTCTGGACTTACAACCATAAATGAACCTGCAATTATGGTCATAGGTTGTGATTGTCATTAAGCAGGTCAACAGATAACCACACTCTAACCACACCCAATCTTATGACATTTCCATGAGTTCATGAAATCTCACAAATTCTTGTATGAGAATGACAAATTTGTCAAAAAGATTTTGACATTTGTTTGACATCTCAAGACTCTACTTTTTTGCATGAAATCATAGAAGGTAAGATTTAACTGGGTTCCCCTTTTTTTAAAAAAAAGTGTACAAGTTTCTGGGTCATCATGTGAGATTATATAAGGGCACATGGCATCCAATCCCTTGTTAAAATGAGATTAAGATGTTAAACGTGTTTTAAACAATACAATTACAGCAGAAGTCTGAGATAAATTGCCAATAATCACTTGCATTCAAAAGAAACTGGAACATTTTTGAGGTCTGGGGATGTTCAAAAAGCATCCAAGAAACATAGTTTGGAACTATATTTATTACGGAACTTTACACAGAGTACCTTGTGACTAATGCTAGGCTAAGAAATGAGAACACTGGATTTATAATCCTGTTTAGGCTTACTGGATTGTATTAAAAAATGTCATTGTCTTTCATCCAAAACTCTGATTCAAAGGTCAATGTGTAGTCCAGTAGACAATAGGATGCCTTATTAACTTTATTAGCCAAAGAGCCAGGCACAGGAATCTATGGGTGGTTCTTTCTGAAAATCCTGGCATCCTGAACACTATCTCTCTAGACCAGTGTTTCCCAAACTTGACAATTTTAAGGCATGGGGACTTCAACTCCCAGAATTCCACAGCCAGCAATGCTGGCTGTGGAATTCTGGGAGTTGAAGTCCACATGCTTTAAAATTGTCAAGTTTGGAAAACACTGGTCTAGACCAGAGGTTTGCAAGAGTAGTATTTCAGTCAGGTCCATAAACAAAATAAACAAAAAGCATATTTCTTATTTTTATTAAATAGAAATCCACTGCCATTATTCTGATACTATTCTGCCAGATGATAGATTATTCAATCCCATATCATGATCTTCTTCAGAAGATTACAAAACCCTTCAGTCATGATTTGGGGCAAGCACGGCCAAGAAGAGAAATATGAAGTGCCGCTATGTAAGTAGAATGTGTGCTTTTAAGGCTGGATAAAGCCCTTAATTTTCCATTAACCTTGAATTGAATGCCAAACACTGAATATTTATACTAGGTTAATACACCTTACTGGGTGTGAGAAATAACAAGGAAGCTAGGAAAGAAAATAAAGTAAAAGCAAGTAAAAGCAACAGACAGGTCAGTTGACAATTTGTCTCATAGATGGCAACATAGCCCAGGTAGAGGAAAAATTAACCAAAAAACAATAAAATATAAACTAACATAAAGGGAAATTATATAAAATTATAAAATTGTCAGCTTTAAAATTTGTTAATCTTGTATACAAACACACACACACACACACACACACACACACACACACACACAGAGCTATATGAATGTATATATATTCCAAATATCCTTTTATGTGCATCTGCTGGATTGCACCTTCGTTTTCTACTTCTAACAGGATTTCTTCCCAAAGCTTTCCCAAAGGTATTTGCTTAATATAGCCATGGTGTTTTGCTGCCAGCATTTCACTATAAAAGTTGAATATATGTTGAAAAGGTTGATTTAGGATTGTAATCTTCCATTTTTCATGAAAATAAGACTAATTTCATTCCCCATGTGGCTGTATGTCCACAAATTTCAAAGTGAGCTCTGCTTAACTAACTTGAAATCATTCTGCTGACACTGAGAAATAAAACAGAGGAAAGGGCCAACATATAACAAATGATACTTGTAGAGTTTAGTATAGTTAAATGTTGTAACAGACCAGTCTCATAAAACAACATAAAAAAACTATGCTAAAGTCATTTTAAGGAACTGTTTCAATGCTACAACAGAAAAGACATTCAAGATGGATGGCTGTCTGTAGCCTGACTAATGAGGATAACAGCCTAGTAGGGATAAGTCAGATTATATCCCAGTGCGTCTATATTCCTTAAAGTATTGGCACATACCGCCAAAGCAACTCAGTGTTAATGTCTTTAACCTAAAATTAAAAGATTTGGTTGATAAGCAACCAAGTACAAATTTCACCCATACAACTTCTACTCCAAAGTTTAGTTCATGCTATAGGCACCTAAGGCTTTTTAAAAAAGTTAATACAAAAGTCTGTTCCACCTTCTAAAACAAATCAGACTCTTCCACATCCTATGGCTTACTTAGACAAGTACAATTAATCCATATCATGCTATTTCCTACTTAATCTCTTTCTGATATGAGAGTTTTTTGCAAATTGAATCAAGTTGACTCAGTACCATGTATTTATTTCCATTACAGAAATGGAATTAAATAAATTAACTGTAGTCTAGTTTGCAGAGTACTATAGCTAATAAAAAGAAGCCCTAGTTTAGAATATGTTTTGCATGTAAAGTCTGTCCAAATAATCACATTACAATTAAAATCCTAAGGGGAAAATATACAATTTTATCACTTAAAGAACAGCCACTGACAAAACCTGGAGCAAAGATAGTACAAGAAATGTAGTACAGGTATAGTACAGTTATGCTCAGCTAATTTTAAAGACTGAGATGAAGAATAAGGAAAAGGGTAGTGTCTAAAATGACAAGATCCATATAGTTTAAGACTTTGCAAAACAAGGACATATATATACTGAACATAAAACTGTGCAAGATACTAACGTTTCCTTAAGTAAAACATTATTCATGGGATGGAAAACTTAAGAAAAACAATTCAGTCCAAATCTATAAAAATGAATGTTTCCTAATAAAGTTTTGCCACAAGGGGTATCAGTGGTTCTGTTACACATCTTGCCAATCATACTTTATGCACAATGTCATACTATCTAAACATGCATTGTAGTAACATGGAATAAATTAACACATAGGAAGGAGATATTGAAAGTATTGTTTAGACTTACTTCCCTTTACATGACAGATAAATGACCTATTATGGTACTGACACCGCTACCAATAGTGTTGAAGACTGGGGTGCAAATCAGTGAGCAAATTAATTGTAAGAAACATACTATAGCAATACATTTACCAATACAGCATAAAATAATGTATCTAATATTTCAGAAAACTAAAGACAGAGGGTGGAACTCACTGGTGTATCTGCAGTTTGCCAGTTACATCTGTGCAACAGAGCTTCTTTCTAAAATCCGTTGTATGCTAATAGAATAACACGCAATAGTTTTGCAATTCACTGGAATTTCAAACATGCTTTATGGATGTATTTTCATGAAAAATATTGGTCCACAAACTTATGGTACTTCAGCATGAAGCAACAGAATCTCTGGATCAAAAATTCTGCATCTATTAAGACTTCCCAGATTTAATTCATGATGTTCCAAAACAATTTTTTTTAAAAAAATGCATGTGTCAAACATACCACAATATTGTGTACATCGTTTGTTTTGCAGTATTCATGAAGACAAAACATTTGACAAAACACATGTCAAATAACTGAGTTGAGCAACACTGAACAGCATTTGGAAGGATTGCAATATGTGGACTGTACCTTAGACAATAATACTGAATGCTTATCTACGTTCCATGTAACCAAACAGCCCCAATATGCATACTGAAAAACTCCAGAGACGCTATAATTTCCAAAAGCACAAGACAAACATGCATTTACAAAAGAAAGAGAAAAAATAGGGAGGGAGAATAGGACAATAATTTCAGTGAACAATCAGTATATCCAGCGCAGTGGAAGTGGCTGATCAAGCAACAACAGATCTCATCTTCCTCCACTCTGTCCCCACCCTCTGCGCATGTTATTAGATTTTAATGTTTGCTTTTAATTTATTTATATTTTAATGTACATATATAAATGCATTTTTATGACTGTAAGCTGCCCAGAATTACCGTGTGGTAAGATGAGCGGCCAATAAATTTTATAAATACATACATACATACATACATACATACAGTGCCCATGGAATGCTAACTGATTTTCAAAGAAAGTTAAAATGAGAATTTGAGGGAAGTAAAAAGTAGTATCTTGGGGTGGGAGGGACACAATTAGGCTACCTGAATCTCCACATAGGAACTCTCTGTACTGCAAGGTTTTGTTGAAAATGCCATACAATCAAACGGAAAATAGAAGCCAGTTCTTCAATTCACACGTTACCCTCAAAGAAGACACAGAACTTTGAGTGGTGATAACTGCTTCACAAGCAGAACCAAAGGAGCAAAACTAACATGAATTATTTGCCCAGATCTTCCACCCAATGTAGCAGACATTTTCCCAATCAAGACAAAGACATTCAAAATATAAATCAAGTTAACCTTCGCAAAGTTTGAAATGATTTAATCGTTAGTTTGTTCTTATGTGTACTTATTCTATTCATTTGCACTTTGGAAAATACTGGAAATATAAACAGAGATCGTGCCTACCTTATTTTGGCAAATCTGGTGAACTGATCTAGAGTGAGCATCTCTTATCAGTGCTGCACTACAGCCCACGTTGAGGTCAAATATTTCTAGAGCTCTGTTACTCCCAGCTGCCAATACAATATCTGTAATTTCTGTAAGTTAAAGTTCTGTTAGACAAATTATATGTTATAAGTATGGCAGTCAGTATATCCAGGCTTTCATTTGTCAGGAAAAATATGTACTGCGTTTAAATCACTTAGAATAGGTATATCAAACTTTAACAGAAAGGGAAATAGAGATGGTGATACCATACAAGTACGTGATTGCACATGATCCCAGGTTCCAGTCACTAAGGCATGACATTAGTTACCAGAATATGAAACCTCATAATACTTTTTATTATCTTTTTAATTTATTTTTGCTCATTACAGGTAGTCGATTTATAGCAGTTCATTTAGTGACTATTCCAAGTTACAATGGTGCTGAAAAAAGTGACTTATGACCATTTTTCACACTTATGACCGTTGTGGCATCTCCAAGATCATGTGATCAAAATTCAGACACTTGGCAACTGACTCCTATTTATGATGGTCCTGGGGTCAAGTGATCCACTTTTGCAACCTTCTGGCAAGCAAAATCAATAGGGAGGCCACATTCACTTAACAACGGTGTTACTAACTTCACAACTGCACTCATTCACTTAGCAACTGTGGCCAGGGAGTCGTAAAATGGGGGAAAATCCATTTAACAACTGCCTCACTTAGCAACAGAAATTTTGGTCTTATTTGTGGTTGTAAGTTGAGGACCACCTGTATTACAATAAACAATTGTAATGAAAGAACTAATGCCTTTTGCAAAACAACACCAATAATGATGACAGAGGATACAGGAATAGAAGTCATTCACTGCTGCAAGACTGGTAATTTCCACCGTAGACGACATTGGAAATTTCTGTATTGATTTGCAAATACTCTTTGTTCTATATCTGCAGAAATAAATCAGATAAACATGTATCCTCTAGATTCATGAAGCAAAAGAAAAAAATAAAATCCATATTTATTCTAACCCATATTTCAAAGACTTGGTTTTAGCATCTTTTTTATTCTTGCCTTTTCTACTTCGGAGAAATATAGGATCCAAATATTTTGTCAAAAAAAAAATAAAGATTTTCTTAATATATACATTCTGTTATCAATAAAAAGAACTGAAGATCTTTGTTTTCCGTATTTTTATTAACACACATCAGGTACTATATTAAGTTACATATACATTTTTCCTTTAATCTATGAAAATAATAGATGAAAATAATACAAATACTTAAGAATGATGCTTATATTCCAATAGCAAAAGTTAAAGTTCCTTCCCTGCACAGTGGAAAATATTGTTTTCCTAGGCTTATACTGGAACAAAGAATGACAAAGAATTTCAGCTGATCCTGTACAATATATGCAAACTGAGCTTGATAGTTAAAATGTCAAATTCTTCTGTTCCACTCGTATTATATGCTGGGTCCTGTCCAACATGATGTGAGTGACTCTCAGCTTATGCAATGGGATTGTCATCCCATCTACAGCATGATTTTTCCCTACAGTTTGCTTTTAAGGCAGCATTTTTTTTATTTTGTATTTAATAGCAATAGGATTGCCAAAAAGAATGGGTGGGTTTTTCCTCCAATGAATTACCTGCGTAAGCCTCCTGAATCTGGCAGACAGGAGAAAACGGGAGGAGGGAATTTTAATTCCTTTTAAATCAATGATCCCTGAATCAGGAATCTGTGTTAAGGAATTCACAATACAATAAAACTCCTATTTATTTTGATTTTATTCTGTAATGCAAATTGTAGGTCTAGATTGCTAGGCCTGGATCAGAAACAATGGTTGGAAACTGACCAAAGAGAGAAACAACCTGGAATTAAGGAGAAACTTCCTAACAGTAAGGACAATTAACAGATCGCCTTCAGAAATCGTGGGTGCTCCATCACTGGAGGTTTTTAAGAAGAGACTGGACAGTCACTTGTCTGAGATAGTATAGTTCTCCTGCTTGAGTGGGGGGCTGGACTAGATGACCTCCAAGGACCCTTCCAGCTCTATTCTATTCTAAGGAACCCAGCAAGACATAACAAGTTCAGGTTCCTCTATTTTCATGCTATAGAACTTGCTCGCTCAAATCCTAATTTATAGGGGGGGGGAATCAATTGTAAAACTATGAAGTTCAGTCCACATATAAGTATGTATGTCTAGTATCTGAAGAATACAGAAACTATGATGATGTGAATGAGCCATCACAATTCAAACCACCCCATAAAGCATCCTGTTACCTAGTTTGGGTAATGTCTGCAAGAAAACAAGCAAGCTCAGAGAGCGCCAAGAACCCTTCACCCCATAAAGTTGAACTTTAATATAAGAGAATTAAGACATTATTACTCATGTTTCTGACGATGTTCCACAATTTTATTTTCCAATTCAGCTGTTTACCAAATCTGACTCACCAGATAAAAGAAATGACAGAAATAACACAGTGATACATACGTGGAAGAAATGAGGTAAATTGACGTTACATAAATGATTAATAATGTCATATAATATCTCCTTTCTTAGTTTTCCTTACACTATAATTTCATCTGTCAAATGGGAAATCAATCATTCCCATTTTCTTTCATTACTGATTCTTCTCTTTTTCAGTTAAAACAATAAAGAAATACCTTTACTTGACTTCTTTTAATTTATTAATTGATTAATACCCTTTAGTAATGCTTATGTAAGTATATATATATATATATATATATATATATATATATATATATATATATATATTGCACTGATTTCTAAAGCTATTTTGAAATAGCCTATTTTTATCCAGAAGACAAGCTAGCTTTATTTTTTTTTCTAATATTTAGAATAGAATAGAGCTGGAAGGGACCTTGGAGGTCTTCTAGTCCAGCCCCTGCTCAAGCTGGAGAACCTACACCATCTCAGACAGGTGGTTGTCCAGTCTCTTCTTAAAGATCTCCAGTGATGGGGCGCTCAGCCTTAAAAGTGTTTTTTTATTGTTAAGAATGAGTATTTACTTAAAAAATAATACCTTTAACTGATTACTCTATCAAACTGTAGCAATGTTATGCATCCTTCTGCAGTGTGGTAATATTACATAACTCATAACTCTACAAATAATATATTGGAAAAGAAAAAGAAAAAAGCAATAATAATTCCACAAAAGTTTTAAAATTAAATCTGATATAATGCCAAAAAAAAAAAAACCTAATTCAGATCAGACTCAATCTTCCCTCTTGGAACACATTTCATTTTAATAATTATTTTTATTTATGGCAAAATTTTCATTTGTTATACAAGGTAATATCTACATATTTTGCAGTATATATAATGAATACTTAATAAATACAACCTTAACAGCTATAACAAATCTAGAAATATACACCAATATTTCTGTTTCTGAAAGCTAGTACATAAGAAATCTCACATTTTACTATTTTTTTGCACTAACAGTGGTGTTTCTATACTATTTAAAGAACTACTGAATGGACTTGCACATGTCAACAAAATCTTATTAGCACAGTATTACATTTTCTACTAATGCTACTTTAAATACATACCGTTTTATCTCATCTTTGCTGGTGTCAAGATAGTATCTTAATAAATAAAATTCTGCTCCACAGGACAATAATATGAATGTATCTATATAATAAAACTGGGCTGATCGGATAGATTTGTGAAATATATTGTTTCCCTGAAATTAAAAGTACAAAATAAATATTGTTTATCCTGTAATTCTCATTTAGAAAGCACAGGTAGTTTATTTATAGACTATTGTCATCTAGTTTATTTTTCAAACTGAAATATTTTTTTAAATTACCAATCTTAATTTATCTTACATTGTTCTTCAATGCAGTTTAAAGCAACATTTATCAATATTATGACATTCCAGCTCCAATAGACTTAGCCAATACACCAACAATTATATTTATTGGCTTGTGTTCTGGTTTATTTATAATTTACTGCATTTATATTCCACCACAATCAGTTGAACTCATGATGAGGGATAGAAGAATTTGGTCACGTATTTTTACTCCCACTAAAAAATATCTTTTTCCCTTTTTGTTTGTTTTTTGCTTGCTTTTGCCTTGGAATTAGTAATTTAAGGAGACAGAGAAACAGAAATTAGTAAATAAAAAGTTCCACTGAAAATGTTGAGTAAACAAACCAAACAGAGGAAAGAATGTCATGTTAATTTTTTAGTATAAGACTTAGGAAATGTGCATTGTTTCCATGTCCACATTAGATGATTGTTATTCTGATTTTCTTTTAATAGTACAAATACAGAATGACCACATGAATAAAAATGACAAAAAAATATTTTCAGCATTGACTGGCGAGTTCCTCCTTCCAAAATTTAACTATGACTTCCTCCAACTCAAAATCTGAACTTCTAAGAACATGAACATATATTTATGATGATAAAGACTCATCATAACCCAAAATAGTGTCAAGATTTGTTTGAGGGGAAGGCATTTATTTATAGGATTCAGGCATTTTCTGATTAGACCTCAGACTTATATTCCGAAAGAACTCCAAAATCCCAAATACAATTATCTGATGGGTACAGCATGAAAGAAAGCCCTGTCCCACCCTGTTCCAATTAGCTGGACAAGTCTGCAGACTTGCATGGAGGGGAAACTGTTTGGCAGGCTGTAGGAATGGAGCTGAAATCCTGAAGATTTCACTTCTGTTCTTGCAACTGCCACAGGATTTCTATTCCGTGCATAGAGAGCAGCTGAAATCCTTTCCAAGGTTGCAGGAGTATTTAAGGACTGCCTGCCAGGAGGATTTCAGCACTGTGCATAGCTGAAAGTTTTAGTTCTCAGCTGCCTGCCCAGAAGATTTCAGCTTCATATGGAGGTAAAATCATCCAGCAGGCATCTCTTTTGCTCTGTTCACTTAATGACCAGGGAGATTGCTTAATGAATGCAACCAATAGTGCCATTACTGCAGTCATAAGAATGTCTTGCTTAATGATCACTTTGCTCAACAACTGAGATTCTAATCACAATTGTGGTCATAAGTCAAGGACTACTTGTAGTGTGGTTGCTAGGCCAAGAAGTCGGAAATGATAGTGAGGAAGAAACATTTCCCTATTGTCAGGCTTTGCTTAGTTGAGACGTGGTGATGATAAGCCATCTATGAAAAAGGGCTCTGCAGAAGATACCAATCTTGGAGCAATTTCATATTTGGTAGCACTATGGATTGGCAAAAAGGTTGCTATAGTGGCATTCATGAAAATACAGTCAGCAAATACAGTCTATGCTTCTGGAACTATGCAAACAGGATGAGAAACACTGATAAATATCTATACTTCTCAATAGCAATAGATAACCATCCAGTCTTCTGCTGAGCATCCCTTTGGAGAAACACTTCCATTGTTACAATGCCTTGACCTTGACCAAGATAAATTTGAAAAAGAAAATCACTCTTGAACCTTAGAAAGATTATCAGGAATCATATTTCTGGTGGTCCCAGTGAGAGATGCAAGATTTATATCTACTCTAAAAATCAGGAAATATTAGAGCCGCCCTAAGTTGGCCAAGAATTGCAAGAAAGACAAATTGGTATTATGAGCATGATAACTAAAATGTGAAATACCACTGATTTTTTTTAAAAAAAACCTTTGTTATTAAGTTATTAATATGCAACATATTTCAAATATATGCAATTAGTATGTTTTTGGTGGTCAAATGGAATACAGAGTATCCCAAATCTATTTCACTTAAAAAGCTTACCAGACATAAAGAGGGCTCTGCACTGCTGACTGACCAGATCTTTAATGTTCTGTCTTCAGAAGAAGAAACAAGCCAATTGTTGTCATGGCTCCAACCAACTGAGGTAATAGCACCATCGTGTCCTAATAAAAATAAATACATTTCAAAATGAAATTCTTAGAAAATCACAAAGCAAAATATATTAATCAGCTATACTATGGTACAGTTGGAAAAACAGGATGTTGCACTATTTTTTTTCCTCTCCTCTCTCTGAAACTGCAGAACGTTCTGAGGCACCAAAAGAGTATTTACCATTACACTCCTGGATACAATCCAAGGTATTTTTATAGAAATATTGATGTTCCCTTGTGCATACTTATAAATTCATATAGAGACTTCTTAATAACGGTATCTGTGGGGAAATGAGGACAAATATCAAATGGCAACTAGGATGATCAAATAAAAATCAGTACCTAATATGATGCTTTTCTTTTTTTCACAGACCACATTTCATACATGAGGACTTGAGAAGCAAACTTTTATAAAGAAAAATAAATATACAGTATACAGCCCTGGGGGTTTAACTTAGGGAAGTTAATTTTCAGTGTCCAGGGTAGAACACACATATTTTATGATGCATTGAGGAGACGGGGGAGCGGGGCAGTCAGGACATGCAGTGGATAAAGTAAAAATGATGTTATTTTGCAAAGATATGCAATGGGAGAAGGTTTAGATAGGTTGTTTTTTTCTTTTCTGGGTATGAAGCCTAGAATTTACAGATGTCTGTTTTGTTCACCAACAAAAGTCAGTGGAAAACTGTACAAGTAATCCTTACTTAATAACCATTCATTTAGCAACCATTCATGTTACAATGGCACTGAAAAAAGTTATTTGCAACTAGCCCTCTCGCTTACGATCATCACAGTGCTCCCCACAGTCACATTGCTATGATCCAGCTCTTGGCAACTTACACCAGTTCCAGCATCCTGCAGTCATATAATTGTCATATGTGATCTTTGCAGGCATTGTCCAATAAGCAAATTCAATGGTAAAGCCAAGAGATAGTCACAAGTCATAGTTGTTTAATAATTGTGGGTAATTTGCTTAATAACCATGGCAAAAAGACTATAACATTGGGTATGGTCCATACAATACCTTAATTAATGACTGCGCTGCTTAAAAAAATATTTTCCGGTCCTTATCCTATAAGTTGAGGACTACCCTGTACTTCTATTTACAGGTTGTTTTTTTCTATTAAGCGACACAATTTCAGGGAACATGAAGAGCAGCAAAAAAAAAGGGAATTATGGTCCTTATGTGGCACATAGGCTGCCCATTTTTGCAGCCTGTGAATTGGAGATATCATAAGAAAAAATATAAATAAAATCCTGGTGACACATCTAATATTTGCAACTTGTTGAACTAGTTGAAATTACTAACATTAATATACTTAAAGATCCTAGGCTGTCCCCTAGTGCCTAGCAATGATATTTTACTGATTCCAATTTTTATAGAAAAAGTCTCCATTTTAACCATAAGAAATCTCTGTCAGCTAAGAATAAATGGTACAAGCCTCACTTTTTAAAAACTCTAATAATTTTTGGAATAAAGGGAAAACTTTCTTCCCCTAGGGAAAAACATTTCCTTCTGGAGCTGTTAGCCATGTATACAATTCTACTGTCAGAACTAAAGTGAAATATGTATCCTTAAAATGAGGGAGCCTTTAATTAATATAGAATAAAGTGGAATTATTAATCCTTGTGATCTGTATAATATGTTTCCATTAAGAAAAAATTACCTTTTTAGCAGCAAGTCACATTCTGGCTCTTATATACATTAAGATGAGCTACTATAGATCTTCTCACTTGGCCAACTCCTAAACAGATCTATTCCAGTTGTTAACTGATTTTTCTATTTTATTATTTTCATAAATGCAAGAAAACTTGTTGAATTTTTTCTGGCTGTTTCTGTTCTATTATTTGGAATTTTGATTTTGTTTTTATCATATCAGATCAGGGGACAAAGAAATAAGGATAGCTAAGAACATAAAAAACTAAAAATTAATTTACCTGAATAAACAGTTGGTTCTCCTATAAGGTTTGATTTGAATGCCAGCAAAGTTCTGTCAGCTAAACCACAAGCTAATAACTCTCCATTTCCTAGAAAAATGAGAATAGCAAATTAATCTAGTATAAATAAAAAATGCCAAAAAATATAGACAGACAGATTCCCAGGCCAGAGTTGGCCATTGTGTAAACACAGAACTGTTAGCTTTAAGGTTTCCAAGTACTCCATCAAATAACTATTAATATTAGTAAACCATAGAAAGTTGTCATTTTCCCCCTCATACCTGAATGCTGAATACAGCATATGGCAGTTGGTTTATCAGTTACAGTAATTTGCCTCACACTTTTGGTTGGAGGAGATTTTCCAAGTGGATAGTCTTCCTTATTTCTTCTTCAATAATAAAATAAAAATAAAAGGGAAAAGAACAATTAGTGAAGAAAGAATAAAGGAGATTTAGCATTTCTTTCAATACTACTAATTTTAAATTGTGCAAATTGAGCAACAAAGATAATTAGAGATTTGGAGGCTAAAACATATAAGGAACGGTTGCTGGAATTGGGTATGTCTAGTTTAATGAAGAGAAGGACGAGTGGGGACATGATAGTAGTGTTCCAACATCTCAGGGGTTGCCACAAAGAAGAAGTCAAGCTATTCTCTAAAGCGCCTGAAGGCAGGACAAGAAGCAACAGGTGGAAACTAATCAAGGAGAGAAGCAACCTAGAACTAAGGAGAAACTTCCTGATAGTTAGAACAATTAACCAGTGGAACAATCTGCCTCCAGAAGCGGTGAATGCTCCAACACTGGAAGTTTTTAAGAAGAGTCTGAAATGGTATAGTGTTTCCTGCCTGAGCAGGCGGTTGGACTAGATGACCTCCAAGGTCCCTTCCAATTATTATTACTATTATTATCGATCATCGCAGTCAGCCAGATGTTCAGACTGGATTTGGCATTTTGTCTACCTATCGAGTCCTTACACAGGACCTGGGATAGGCAGATGTAGATGTTTGATGGTATTATAGATATCGTCGCAGAATGGAAGCAGTTCCTAGTAAGGCCGCCTTTTGCAATTGACTAATAGCAAATTTGTCAATGCCAATGGTGTTCAAGTGGTGCTCCAGTTGTTTTGGGATTGCACCCAAGGAGCCTATTACTATTGGTACTACACTTGCTTGCTTTTGCCACAGTCTTTCTATTTCTATTTGTAGGTCTTTGTATTTTGTTATCTTCTCCAGTTCTTTCTCATCTATTCTGCTGTTTCCAGGCACTGCCACGTCCACTATCCAGACTTTTTTGTCTTTCTTATCGCCAATTGTTAAGTCTGGGGTGTTATGTTGCAGGTGCTTGTCTGATTATTATTATTATTATTATTATATACAAATTATAAATTGTGCTTGGTTATGTTATATTATAACTGCAAGATAATGCTAATGTGCTTTTGGTATTAAACAAGTTTTCGTATTCATTGAACAATTGTACTACTTACTGTCTCCAACGTCTCTTGCATTCCGATGTCAACCTGTTGTGCTTTACTTTTGAATTTGGGGAAAACATGACCATGCTACAACAGGAAAAAAAAGACTCCAATATATATGATGATATTTAGCACTCTATTACCAGTAAATCCCAGCATCAGAAAAAAATATTTTCCTCAAGCCCATATGAAACAAGGAAGAATTAATACCTGCTCCATCCTCTAATCCAGTGGTTCTCAACCTTTTTAATGCTGCGACTCCCAACCGGTCATAAGTCAAGGACTACTCAACCAGTCGTAAGTTGAGGACTACTCAACTGGTGCAGCACCGTTTGCAGAATGGGACTTTTGGTGGGCTCAGCAGGGCAGAGACAGCCTGGACAATTCCTATTGGCTTTTGAAAGCCAATAGAATTAGACTGTATTCAAGAGAGTCTATTCTATTGGCTTTCAAAAGCCAATAGAATAAAAGGAAATAGCACAGCTAAGGAAAAGGGGGGAAAAATGGTGGACTGCGTTGTTTGGCGACCCCCGTGAAATGGTCGTTCGACCCCAAATGGGTCCCGACCCACAGGTTGAGAACCACTGCTCTAATCAATGGTCAATGCTTTCTTCTAAGGCAATTTCATTTTTATAAAACTCACTCATCAACTGTACGGACAGGGCTTTTTTTCTCATAGAACGCCCAGAACGGAGTTCCGGCGCCTTTTTTGGATGGAACCTTGTAGGGTAGGCAAAGCAGGTTGTATGACATGTGTGAGTTCCGGCACCTTTTTTTTTTTTTTTTTAGAAAAAAAAGCACTGTGTACGGATAAATTTACTACAATGTGGTGCTTGGACATAATTACATGCATGAAGCAAGGAGATTTTTTTAAAAAACATTGATCAATACTACTATCTATATCAACAATTACAGTCCTGTTGTATGTTGTGCAAGAGTTTTAGAAATTTGAACGTAAGTATAAATATTTTAACAGTATTGTGAATACATACATACAATTTCTAGGCTGCCCACATTCCAAATGACTCTGGGCAGAATCAAAAACAACAGCACAGTACGAATATAAACAGCTGCAAAATAGCCACTATCAGGGAACAAAAACATTTGTCCACATAGCTAGCAATTCCTGGAGTCTGTTCTTCTATCACAACCCAAGGCCTGAAGAAAATCCCAAATTTTTAGAGAACACTTAAGGATGGCCAAGGGGGTGTTATTCCAAAGGGCAGTTGCAATAACAAAGAAAGCCATTTCTGGATTCCACTAAATGGAACTTAATGAAGAGAAGGACTAGGGGGGACATGATAGCAGTGTTCCAATATCTCAGGGGCTGCCACAGAGAAGAGGGAGTCAAGCTATTTTCCAAAGCGCCTGAAGGCAGGACAAGAAGCAAGGATGGAAACTAATCAAGGAGAGAAGCAACCTAGAACTAAGGAGCAACTTCCTGATAGTTAGAACAATTAACCAGTGGAACAACCTGCCTCTAGAAGCAGTGAATGCTCCAACACTGGAAGTTTTTAAGAAGAAACTGGACAGCCATTTGTCCGAAATAGTATAGGGTTACCTGCCTGAGCAGGGGGTTGGACTTGATGATCTCCAAGGTCCCTTCCAACTTTATTATATTATGGATCATCGCACAGTCAGCCAGATGTTCAGACTGGATTTGGCATTTTGTCTACCTATCGAGTCCTTACCCAGGACCTGGGATAGGCAGATGTGGATGTTTGATGGTATTACAGGTATCGTCGCAGGATGGAAGCAGTTCCTAATAAGGCCGCCTTTTGCAATTGACTAATAGCGAATTTGTCAATGCCAATGGTGTTCAAGTGGTGCTCCAGTTGTTTTGGGATTGCACCCAAGGAGCCTATGACTATTGGTACTACCCTTGCTTGCTTTTGCCACAGTCTTTCTATTTCTATTTGTAGGTCTTTGTATTTTGTTATCTTCTCCAGTTCTTTCTCTTCTATTCTGCTATCTCCAGGCACTGCCACGTCCACTATCCAGACTTTTTTGTCTTTCTTATCGACAATTGTTAAGTCTGGGGTGTTATGTTGCAGGTGCTTGTCTGTTTGAATTCTGAAGTCCCAGAGCAGTTTAATTTTATCATTTTCTATGACTTTCTCTATTTTATGATCCCACCAGTTTTTGCTTACAGGCAAATGATATTTTTTGCAGATCTTCCAATGCACCATTGTTGCTACTTTGTCATGCCGCTGCTTGTAATCAGTCTGTGCAATCTTCTTGCAACAGCTTACCAAGTGGTCCACTGTTTCTTCAGCTTCTTTGCATAGGCGGCACTTACTGTCTGTTGCTGTCTTCTCAATTTTGACTTTGTATGCATTTGTCCTTAAGGCTTGGTCTTGTGCAGCCAGAATTAGTCCCTCGGTCTCTTTCTTCAATTTTCCTGCTCTTAGCCATTGCCAGGTTTTATTATTATCTGCTTTCCCAGCTATTTTTTTCATGTATTGGCCATGTAGTGCTTTGTCTTCCCATGCCTCTATTCTGTTCTTCATTTGGTCTTTCTTGTAGGCCAGTTTGGTCTCTCCAGTAGTTAGTAAGCCTTCCTGATATACTAATTTCAGTGCATCTTCATCATTGTTCTTCAGATATTCTTCCAAAGCCATTTTTTCTTCTTCAACCATCTGATGTACTTGTAGCATTCCACGCCCACCTATTTGCCTTGGTAGATAAAGTCTATCAATGTCACTGCGTGGATGAAGGGCATGATTCATTGTCATTATTTTTCTGGTCTGCCTATCCATTGCTTTTAGTTCTGCTTGAGTCCAGTCCACTATTCCAGCTGTGTACCTAATGACTGGGATTGCCCAGGTGTTGATTGCCTTTATGGTATTTCCTCCATTGAGTTTGGACTTTAAGATCTTCTTCACTCTCTTGATTATTATTATTATTATTATTATTATTATTATTATTATTATTATTATTATTATTATTATTATATCAAGATTCTTCAAACTTGGCCTTTTTATGACTTGTGGACCAGCTCCCAGAATTCCTCAGTCAGGCACACTGTCTGAGGAATCCTGGGAGTTGAAGTCCACAAGTCATAAAAGGGCCAAGCTTGAAGACCGCTGCACTAAATGAAGTTACTTAATTGATGGGACCTGAAAAACACAGAGGACAGGAAACTTAGTAAGAGACTCTAAAATAACTATACCTTGTGCCCTATAGGGATGAATTTTCAATATGTTTGAGTGACACAACTACTATTTAACAAAGGAGGAAGGATTAGCAGTGACAGAAACACAATTGCAATCTTCAACACTATTATCCTTTTTGATTTAAGAATAAGCTTCTAAGTATACAAGTAATGCCCCTTGATATCTTAAATCTAATTAAGATATAAAATGATTGAGGAAACATTTCATTTCTGGCTCTATTCCACCACTAAAATAAAAAAAACATGATATATATGCAAAATAGAAAAATAGATTAATATGCAAACATTGTTCTATTTGCAGAACAGAAATTAAAATTTGGATGGTTTTACCTCAGAATTCAAATTTTAATTTTATAAAAATAATTAAACATTGTTTCAGATTAGTTAGTTGGACTCAGCTTCGAAGGAATTTATAATTTTATTAATGAGGGGTCCTATAAATTATCATTTTAGGTAATCATAGTATTACCAAATTTGAACTCATCTGCATGGATAAATTAAATTAAACTAGTATTTTAAACTCTTTATTTCTTATCCTTCAGCCCATTTTACATTAAATATACACCAAATCTTTATGTAACTAAAAGAGACAATTGTTTTTATTTATTTATTAAACTGCTATGCCTCCCATCTTGCCAGGGTGACTCTAGGTTGCTTACAGATATTCAATAAAAATACCACCTAAAACATTAAAACAATAAACTGTTATTAAAAGCAACAGACTAAATTTACCAGTGTAATTTGCACTCACTGTGGTGCTGCTGTATAACCTGATGATTTAATTTTGTTATGAAAAACCAATGGCTTGTCTTTTATTTGGGTTTTTGTACCTAAATTAAGAAACATCTATAGTTAATATCAATTTCATAGCTAAGCATCAAGAAATACATATACAGAGAGAAACTAAAAATATACTTTGGATATCATGAGCCACATATATCAGGTAAGGGGACTTCCACTAATACAAACAACACCTGATCTGTTAATATCATCCATTCCAGTGTTACATGGACACAAAAAGATATGTAACTTTCTTCCCAGTACATTTGTTAGACTAAATAATTCTGTTTTTAAATCATCATTTTAAGCTAATCTTAAATTATTTTTAAAAAAACCTTTTAGAGATAATATGAAACATCAAAAGACATCAGATGACACAATAGAACTTATTGGTCAAGAATGCATATATGGTTAGAGAAAATGTCTAAAAAAAAGAAACAGATTTTTAAGCCAGAATTATTTTTTGTTAGGTATAATTGTAGGAAATTATGAGAAGGAATGTGTATATTTAATGTTACATGTATTAACTGCAGCGAGAATTGTATTTGTTCAACATTGGAAAGATGAAGAATTACCAGCGGAGAAAGAGATAATATAGAAAATTTTAGATTGTGCAGAAATGGACAGACTGACACTGAAAATGAAAGAGAAAGAAGATTCAGGATACTTTAGAACATGGGATATATTTTATCAATGGCTAGAAGAATGAGGTAGAGAGAAAGGAGTTTAACATGTATTAGTAAATTAAACATTGGAACCCAGACAATATGTTGCTGATAAAATATTAAGGATTTGTGATTATAAAAAATAAAATATTGAACAAAAAAAGAACTTATTTTCTAGTGTAAGAGCACTTCATCAATGGCTGATGATGAGCTGAATTTCCTTTCATTTTACCAGAGGTACTTTTACCTGGATCCTTACATTGAGATGGCCAGACTTGATAGCTTAAAAACTGTATCATTTCAGCTGTATCATTCTAGGCATGGACTTCTTCTGTGTTATCCAATGATTTTAATGGAAAAAATACATTCAAATCTATTTGTACATATATTCTCATTAAAAGAATGGGAAATTTCTTATGGGAAACAGGGACCTATCTGAGTATCTGTGATTCCATATCTGCAAAGGATAACAAAATATAGAGTAACACTGACTTCCTCTGAAATATCTTTCTATTTATTTCTCTGGGTTAGAAATTCCACATTTTAAAAACTGCAGGAGAAAGTCTGTGCCTGAAGAGTTTTTCTGCTATGTTTCAGAAGTTGATGCATACATAAGGAATTAGGTCTTTTGATAAGATACTTCTTTGATACCCACAATTAAGTGTACCCACTAGACAATCTATAGCACTGATACTAATAGTGTACTGAGGTGATGAGATAGGGACAAGAGCAAGTTGGCTTCTAGGAATGCTTCTAATTAGTTTGGATAGAATATCACGAACAAGCTTGGGGTAAATTGAGGTTTTGGTCGCATTTGTGGTAAATAACTCTGCTTGCAAGAAAAGGTTGTTATGTGAAAACTTTGACTCATCAAATATTGACCCTTGTTTGCCAGCAGGGGTCAATATTTATAGACCAATCTGGTAAAGACCATTGCATTTGGTGACTTCGGACGGATAATGAGTAAATATTTCAGAATATGAAATAATGAATAAAATGAGGAGGGGAGAGGTAAATATAGCTGACATTCAGCCCTTAGTTTCTTCCTTTATTCAATCTTTTCTTTGGGATGTTAGTTTCAATGTATTAGTCAAAGTATTTAATCACTGCAGAATTTAACAAATTTACCTGTTTTATTTACAAGTTTGGCTTTTTCCTTCTTTGGGTACAAGGGAGAGGTCACAAGAAGAGGATATCTAAAACCACAAATCCAAAGATATAATTACATATTTAACCCTACAAGATGCTCATAACAATAGACAGAAGAGCAACACTAGAGAGATTGCTCTCAGGATAAATATTTAATTCACTACAGATAATAATAGATCCCTGGTACTGCAATCACCTATATTACTTATTTATGAACAACTCAAAATGTAGTCAGAATAAAGGATTTTCCCATTTGATACATTTTTGCAATCACATCTGCTAAACTGGTACACGCTAATAGCTGAAGGAATAAGCAAAGAAATCACAAAATTATTCCGCCATAAATTGACATGGTGATCTTAAGCAGGCCACTCTTTTTTTTGGCTTCAGGTCTATGTCTACCAGTTATTCACCCTATATCAGTGGTTCTCAACCTGTGGGTTGGGACCCCATTTGGGGTCGAATGACCATTTCACGGGGGTCGCCAAACCACACTGTCCACCATTTTTTTCCCTTTTCCCTAGCTGTCCTACTCCTTCTTATTAGTGGCCACACCTACTTGGGGGTCACCACAACATGGGGAACTGTATTATGGGGTCACGGCATTAGAAAGGTTGAGAACCACTGCCCTATATGGATATTGTAATGTAAATAATACAATTTTATAATTAGATAACCTAAATTGAAGATAACCTGCATTAATTATATCCAGTGGTTTAAAATACTGTAATTAGCACTTATTGTTGTTTTCTACCAAACACTAAGAATACCGTTACACGTAGTTCTTGTTTTGAGATCATAACTTGGACTGGCAAGTCAGTTGTTAAGCACAGTAGTCTAAGTGATCTTACTTCAGCTTTGCTTTACAGACCTCTGAAAGTTGTAAATGCAAGGATTGGTTGCAAAGGTATGTTTTCATCACTGTGAATGCTGCGAAAACTCGCTAAACAAGGCAATCACTAAATGAAGACTACCTATATATTATTCATAAAAAGACATATTTCTCAATCCTACAGTTGTGAAAAAGATGTTTATCTATTACAATATTTTAAATTAAATTTGTTACCTAGATACAAAATTGCTTATGTCTGTTAGCAATATATTTTCATAAATGTGGATGAGATAAGCTTAAAGTCTCATTTCAAATATTTTATTCATAGCTAAAAAAAATATGTAATGTCAATAATGATAAAGAAAATAAATCAATTACTTTTCCAGGAAATGTCCAGTGTTTAATCCTTTTCACTCAATTTTTAACCATTTCTGCTGTTATTATTAGATGCATTTGATAGTTGCTAAATTCATCTTCATTCTTTTATCTCTATTCTAATTCTAATAATTCTAATTCTAATAATATTCTGATCTCTTATATGATTATTACTACTATTTATTAAATTATATGTCTCCCGACTTCCAGTGACTCTGGTATGTTTACAAACTGTCAAAAAATATTTTCAAACAAAGAAACTATAAAAAGAATAAAGATGGCAGAAATAACATCAATAAATAAAAGGAACTGAACTTTAAATGGGGTTAAGTAAAATGACGCTTTACCTTGCAACAGCAGAAAAGCCTTCCTCCTTTCCACTTAAAAGGAGACTATTCTGCTGGCATCTCAACAGAGCAGCAACGTTAACTTCCAGTAAAACAATTTTGTTCTCCAACATAGAAGTCAGCAAACAGAAAACCTGCAGAAAGACAGCCATAAAGCATTTCTCTCCCTTTAAAGCAAATAAATCCCTCCCTGGTAAAGAGGTTTGTATCAAGGAATGGAATTCTACTCATTGAAGATCCATCTGGGAACATTGGTTGGACGTTAAAATGGTAGAACTTTGGTCCAAGAATGAGAGACGCAGACCAAAAAGGAATGGACTTTTCTTCTGCTGAGAGAATAGGGAGAAGGAGGGCTAAGTCTCAGTCTTGGTGAAAGGTGCATAAAAGGGGTCTGTGGGAGAGCTTGGTGTTGATGAACTTATTGGGAGAATGGATACATTAATTATAGGCTGGAGGTGTGGAATTATTTTAAAGGTGTATGTTACTGCTTTGGTCGGAGGATGATATTTCTAACCCCACTCTCTTCTAGCACTGATGATGTTACTTAGTTGGGGTAATGAAATGTCTGCAAGAAAACAACTAAGCTCAGAGGGCACCAAGGACCCTTCATCTCAACTCTGAGCTGCAAACATTCTCCTTTATGGATGATGTCTCTATCAGTGGAGTGTCTCAAAGGCAGTTTGAGTGGGGAAGGCTGCTGGTGCAGCCAGAGGGACCCTATTTGGGAGAGGAGAATTACAGCATTGACGGCTAGAGATATTATGATGGGAGGCAAGGATTTGTTATCACAAGAGAAGAGAGGTTGGAAAGTTTGCGACCAATTTCTACTTTTAGCCTCCCAGTCTCCAGTCTTGAACAAGGTAAATGGAATTGCTGAGAGTCTTGGGCTCAAACTGATGCTGTAGAACTTTAGGTGTGTCGAAGACTGTATTGTTGGATGATTTATTTATTGTAGAAAGTTGTATTTTTTCCTATTTTTTATTTTTATTATGTGTACTTGTAAACCATTTAAATTTGAAGCAATTTATATCACACCCTATATAAAAACAAAATTAATTTGCCGTTTTTACATGAGAAGAGATTGTCTTATATTGAAAAAATTTAAAATCAATTTCTCACCTTACCATTGACTGCCTTCCTCCTTAAAGCACAGGATCCAGCAATCTGAATACTAAGACCAGTGAAATCTTCACATGCAACCAAATATAAATAAAACAAAAAATTTAAAAATTCATTAAAACAATGATGAGATCCTGAGTCCATTTCTCATATGCATTTTGAAATAATAAATACACAAAATATTTTAATTCAAACATTTCTGAAATTAATATATTTCCAGTGCAATAATCACAAATTAAGAAACAAATAAATGTTAATGAATTGTTTATCTGCATATTGTTCACTGCAAACAGAAATCAAAGTCTTCCATATATGAAATTAGTGTAATATTTATTTATTAAAAGAGAGGAAAAAGAGTACAGATTATCTTAAATACATCACCTTTGTAATGTAAAGCAGCTTCCAACTCAAAGTTTGCGTTGTTAATTATGAATAAACCAGTAGAGCTTCCAATCCACAAATACTGGGTACTCACTTCAGGAAATCTACACAAAAACAAAGTTTAATTTTTAAAAAAAAAAAACCTCAAGTATCTTCATTTCATATACAAGAATATACTTTTACATGTCATGGCTTTATGAACTGGAAATTATGCACAGATAGAATTTCTAACACTTAGGATCTGCAGCCTTCTTCCAAACAACATCAAAATCTGTTTTTTAATAATTGTTCAACATTGCAAGAGAATTACTTAGAATTAATGATCACAGCGGTGTCAGAAAAGGAGCACTAAATGAGACACAATTCAAACAATATCACTTCCCTGCAAGATGCAAGATGAGACTTTTCTCTGTTCTGATTTGTCTGATTTATAATTTGCATATTTTTATTAAAAGCTTTGGTATTCTATATTATTTAATTATCACAATATCCCCACTATACAATAACCTTTAAGTATTATGGTAACATTTAAATCTACTACAGAATATTATATACATCTATCTGATTATTTTTTACATATTATAATGTAATAAAGAAACAGTGTATTATAAAATATAAAATAAAAAACGGTTGCAGGAATTGGGTATGTCTAGTTTAATGAAAAGAAGGAATAGAGGTGACATGATAGCAATGTTCCAATATTTGAGGGGCTGCCACAAAGAAGAAGGGCTGAAAGGCAGGACACTTCCTGATAGTGTGAACAATTAATCAGTGGAACGACTTGCCTCCAGAAGTTGTGAGTGCTCCAATTTTTTTAAGAGATTGGAAATTTTTAAGAAGAGATTGGACAATCATTTGTCTGAAATGGTATAGGGCAGCGATTCTCAACCTGTGGGTCGCGACCCCATTTGGGGTCGAACGACCATTTCACAGGGGTCACCAAACAAGGCTGTCTGCCATTTTTTTCCCCGTTTCTTTAGCTGTGCTACTCCCTCTTATTCTATTGGCTTTTGAAAACCAATAGAATAGACTCTATTCTATTGGCGTTCAAAAGCCAATAGAATCTATTGGCTTTCGAAAGCCAATAGAATAGACTCTCTTGAATAGAGTCTAATTCTATTGGCTTTCAAAAGCCAATAGGAATTGTCCAGGCTGTCTCTGCCCTGCTGAGCCCGCCAAAAGCCCCAGTCTGCAAATGGTGCTGCAAGGCGAACTTTCCGGAAAGCTTCCCTCCGTGCTGAGCAACTACTAAACGTAAGTAAAGAGGGCCAGAGGTGGGAGGTGGGAGGCCGGTGAGCGCAGGGAGGGTTGCTGGCGCATGTGGGGCCCGGCAGGTGCCTTACCTGCCTTGGGCTGGGCCAGCTGGTGGCCCAGCCAGTGGTCGGCCTGCGCCATCGCTTGCCGTGGCCATCCAGGAGCGCTTGGGCCTGCCTGCCGCCGCCCCGAATGGGCAGTGGACAAGATAAGGCTAGCGAGGCAGCAGCAGGTGCAGAGAGGGTTGGTAGCACGCGTGGGGCCTGGCGGGTGCCTTACCTGCCTTGGGCTGGGCCAGCTGGTGGCCCAGCCAGTGGTAGGCCTGTGCCGTCGCTGCCGCTTGCCATGGCCGCCCAGGAGCGCCTGGGCCTGCCTGCCACTGCCCCGAATGGGCGGTGGCCACGGTAAGGCTAGCGGGGCAGCGGTGGGCGCAGGGAGGGTTGCTGGTGCGCGTGGGGCCCGGCGGGTGCCTTACCTGCTTTGGGCTGGGCCAGCTGGTGGCCCAGCCGGTGGTCGGCCTGTGCCGTCACTGCCGCCTGCAAGCTACGCCTCGGCCACCGCAGGGGGCAGCACCATGCATGCGTGGCGCTCCCGGGAAGGGAAATACGGGTAGTCCTCGTCTTACAACCTGTTGCGGGGTCGCAGCATTAGGAAGGTTGAGAACCGCTGGTATAGGGTTTCCTGCTTCAGCGGAGGGTTGGACTAGAAGACCTCTAAGGTCCCTTCCAACTCTGTTATATTTATTTATTTATTTATTTATGAGACTTATATACCGCTTTAAGTGCAAGCACTCTCTAAGCGGTGTACACCAGTAAGCAATGTGTATGTGTGTATATATATATATATATATATATTTGTTTTCTGAGGTTTTCGCGGGTATTTGTATATAGGTCTTTGGTTGTTCGGGTTTTCTCCCGCGTAAAATTGGAAGTGTCAAGAAGCTAAAAACACCAGCCTGAAGATGACGAATGTGACTTCGTCGAAACGTTGCCAAGACACTTCCAATTTTACGCGGGAGAAAACCCGAACAACCAAAGACCTATATATATATATTATATATATATATATATTTACATTGCCCCCAACAATCTGGGTCCTCATTTTACCTACCCCGGAAGAATGGAAGGCTGAGTCAACCTTGAGCCGGTGAGATTTGAACTGCTGACCTGCTGAACACAGTCAGCTAAAGTGGCCTGCAGTACTGCACTCTAACTGCTGCACCACCTCGGCTCTATTGCCTGCACTTCAGCTAAAGAACCCACTCACCTAGATTCTTCAGCACCAAAATTTGCTGGGTTATCACAGTGTTCAATTCTAAGGATTGGAAAGGTAGTTTCAACCACATCTTCTTCTTCTATATTGCTCACAGTACATGTCTGAGAAATATTCTGCTTCTGATCTGGAAAATGCAGAGATGTGATTATACCAGAAATAATTACTAAGATATTCAATGAAAACTACAAGAATGTGTAGCTTAATAAGTTTTTATTAAATGTGGATTCATTGGTCAATTTCTGTGGTGAGATTTTCGATTATTTTACAGTGAAATACACTACATTTCTTATTTGTAGTTTTGGAGCAACGTATGGTTTAGGTTCAGTTTTGGAGCAAAAAATATGGTACAAACTCAGCAAAGCACATCATTGTCTGTCACCTATCGTGCTTGTCTTCACTGACTTCACGCTCTGGTAATATTGGCATAACAAATTTAAATAACATACAGCAGGGATATTTCAAGTTTTTCTTAATTTCTGAGTTGTCCCTAATTTCTTTGCATCCTTTATGAAGGCACTTCATGTTTGAACAATAGAATTAATATCTTCCAATCAAAAAATGTAAATTAGAACAGCACATATTCCATTAATTATTCGCCAACCAGTAAATTGTAAAATGTCTTTACCCAACATTACCCAAATGCTCAAACTTTGTTATTTTGTTGTAAAACCTTTTCCTCTCTTTCTTTATATTAATATGAATTACACAGCGATATTGATGTCCACTAATCAAGCTGAAGATCCACAGCTGAAAGAAAAAGAACACAATCACTGTAACTTATTTTTTCACATTAATCACTGTAAAAATGTTTTTAATTTTATTATCTCAGTTCAGTGGTAAGCATGTGGCCACTGAATTGAGATAATATTCCATATCTTTTCAGTAAAATGATTGCAATTAAAACTCTCAGTTTCTTAAATTTCACCAATGTTTTGGCAACCAACTTCTTCTATTTTGAATGGCGTATAACGTACAAATTAAATTCACTTTTCCTGGCATTACAACTTACTTTTTATAATTGCAGTATAAAATAAGTGAAATATAAAAGAGAAATGTATAAAAGGTATCCTTTCATCAAAAATGAAATATGATTTTTCTATCTAATATTATAAAAGTAAAATACAAATAGTCACACTGTGTATACATTTGTTACCTGTCCATCTGCACATCCAGTGATAATCTGTTTATTTGCTTCGTCAATAAAGAGACTTAAAAGAGGAAACGCTGTTAAAAAAAAGTCCTCATTATTAATGTATTATAATAGAAACTCTAGCACCACCTACAGTTCATTTAAAACTATTCTATAATACAAGCAGTCCCCCGTATTAATAACCAGTTCCATTCCTAAATTTGCCTTTAATCTGAATTTGCATATAAGTCAAAGTAATACTTACAAATGGACTGCCCTATGTCTAAAAATGGCAAATCGTGTTATTCTTCCTCAAGTGAACACACTGCTGATGCTGCACAATGTTTTCATGAATTGCTGAAAATAACTGTATATTAAGAATGTGCAACTTCAGAGGTTTGAATATCACACTATTCAAACTCATATTAATCACAACTCACTTGAATTGCACAAAGGTACTGCAGACAAAAGCATGAGTTAAGAATATAATTTATGTTTTCTGCCTTCCCCCATCTCACAGCTTCTCCATTTCAAACTCTTTCCAGAAGCTGCTTCTCAAAATTATTTAGAAATCTTTGGTTGAAAACTTTATTTTATTTATTAAATATATATGACCCCTGATTCCCAGAGATACTTCATTCCCATGCAATGAATCTTTATGCTTCATACCCTTGCAATGAATTTCTTACGGATATAGAAACACTGTTGAATAGGTAGCTACAGCAACTGCCCATTCTGCCAAGCAATAATACTAGCACACATTGTTTTATAAAAGGAACATAGGTTGGTAATGAATCATATGCATCTAAAACCTACCCGTTATTACTGCTGATTGATATATTAGCAATCCAAGAGAGTAATCCCAAACCTTTTGAAAAATACATGAGATTAAATAGTCAGTTTATATCACCATGAAAACAACCAATGTGATGCCCTGTAAATAATAATAATAATAATAATATCAAATTTTCAAATAAATTATTCACTATGCTGCTAGCACTTCTAATCTATGAAAATAAAGATAGCTCCTGGTGTTCAGAAAAAACTACATTTACAATTCACCTAATTTAAATTCTCATGAGAGTAAAATATCATTATTCCTCAACTAAACATAAAAGAACATTTTTTCCAGAGAAAACTAGATTTGCTCTATGCTCTTAAAATCCAATACGTTTTCAACTGATTTCACAGTAGGAAAAATATAGAAAACAAGCAATACAGAATGACCGAAAGTTAATGATATTTGTTAATATTACAAAATTTGTCGTTCTCTTCCTAATATGAATTGCTTTTCATGATGCTTACTTCTCTGATTTAAAAAATCTCCATTTTATAATATTTAAGTGTTTTTACTTTTATAAGTCTGCAATCAAAAAGTACAAAAGAGAGAAACAATGGACTTACCTTAAAACTTCTATCTTCAGAAATTGAAATAAGTATATTTTTCTCCCAAGTACAAAATTCAGCAGCAGTTACTGGTGCTAGATGGCCTTCCAGTTCAGAAAGTATTGTTTCATCCTGCCATCAATACAGGAAAAAAAGTAAATGACATTTGTTGGATTTGACAGAATTTGGTTATTTATAACATTTTAATAGATTGATGTGAAAAATTATAATGCTAATATGGTGACAGACAAATTTAACAACCTTGATTGATTTCAGCAAATTTAATTAAATTTCAAAGCTATCTTACATATAAGAAAAAAAAATCCCTCAACCTTATCGCATATCTCCTAAGCAAAGCCACTGAACCACAATTCTGTTTTAGTTATCACTTCCATTAAATATAAAATGAAATTCCATTGCCACTTTTAGGCTTTGCCTCCGTGTCTTCTGTGTTACATTTACCCTCTATTTTAATATTAGATCTAATTTCATTATATATCGAGTAAATTTAAAACTGCTTACAAAAGCTTTGTACCATTCATATTTAAATTAAATCAAAATAATTCACAGCTTAGTTGTTGGACTGCAGGTGTTTCATGCACTGACTAGAAGTAATATCACCAGTTGTAGCAAGTTTGAATTTACCCTGTTTATATGGAGTAGCTTGCTCGGCCAGTGTTGGTCATGATCACTGAGCTTCCAGCAAGCAAAATCAAGAGCACAAAGATCAAGATGACACTGATCTTATATAGTTTACATTACTTTCTAAGTAGTATACAAGCTAATTAAATAACATTTTACAATAATCAAAATGAGGATAGAGAGGGTGTCATTTCCCCTAGACTTTAGTTTCAAATATAAAGCAAATTACACATAGGCATTAACTAATCAAAGGCATGGATAATCTGTAACATACTCAGTGTTATTGTTACTGTATGATTCTTCTTGCTCTATCTACATGTCTGAATCAGTTTACTATCTTTATCCTTGAATAAAGCAACATAATCAGAGATAATCTGACTTATAGTTCATATTTTCCATTCGAATGAGGAAGGATGTTACAAAACAAAATGGGTCTTGCTTATATTGTGAAGCTGGGACTTTGATCTTGCTTATACATAAGATGAGAAAATACTGCATTGTAAAGCAAGCAGTTTTTTATTGCTCTATGGGGTTGCAAAGGTTATTGGGAATACCTCCTAATACCACCACATTGTTACTTTGAAAAAAAACACTCTTCTTTTGCAAAATGACAAAAACAGCTTTCAACTTTTGCTTATTCTATGAAATAGTATATGTTAATAAGCATTTATTTTACAAAGTACATATGCAATAGAACTGTGCACAGCATTTTAAAAGGAATCTACGGTAGGGCTGTGAAAAGCATTTGGAATGGAAGCTTTGCAAATTACTCTGCTGCAATCTTTTCCACTACACTAAAGCAGTGGAATCCATTGGAGGATACGGATGTGATTTTTTCCCAAAGGCTATTCAAAAGCATTGTGTGCATTAGCAGCCACACTAGTGGGAATTCCACTGAAAGCATTTTCTAATATGGTTTTACCTTTGCATTTAGGATGTAGATTCGATTACCAGCACATACTGCCACAGTCTGATCATCTGGACTAAAACGAACATAAAGCACCATCCCCAGAAGTGTCCCTATCACAATACCTTGTGGCATTAACCCTGCCATAATTGAAACAAATCATTTAATTATTAAAATTATTCCATCAACTGAAGAGTCAGCAGTGATAAGTAAAACAAATATCCTAATGTCATACAAATGTTCTGAAAAAAATAATAACATGGTTATTACATCCTAAAGAACTTCTTGCAACATCCTATGTGTCTTCTCAGAAGTATTCCCCATTGAGGTCGGTAAGTTTATAACTGTATCCAGGTAAATGGATTGAGAGGTACAGTTAAAGCAGCCAAATTGTTCATGTTGCCCTTCTACAATACAGATTCATGCAAAATGAATAGAAATTCAAGAAAAATTCAAATCTGCACATTGCATGCAAACATGATTTTGAATGTATTAGAAAAATAATACACAGGGCTTGAGTTATAACCATTTATTCAGCAACCATCTGAAGTTACAGCAACACTGAAAAAGGTGACTTATGATGGTTCTCACATTTATGACTGATGCAACAGCCCCACAGTGACAGGGTCAAAATTTGGACGCTTGGCAATTGGCATACATTATGAACAGTTGCATTGCTCTGGAGTTACGTGATTGCCATTTGTGACCTCCCTAAGTGACTTCCGATAAGAAAAGTCAATGAGGGAAATCAGATTTGCTTAACAACTGAATATTCACTTAAGGACTGCAGGGATTCACTTAATAACTGTGGCAAAAAAAAGATCATAAAATTGAGTGCAATTCATTTAACAGCCGCCTTGCTTTACAATAGAGATTCTGGCCCCGATTATAGTCATAAGTCAAACACTACCTATAAACATACATGAAATAAAAGATGGGTTCATATTTTTATATTGTTATATCAGTCAATTTTCTCTGAATACAACCCACATTTGTATTCAGGTATCACATACACTACACTTAGAAATTGTTATTTGAAGAGATAAAACTAACATTAATTTCCAGAAGGAGCTAAAGATTACAATTAAAGGTGAACATTCAAACTTGACCTTCCAATACAGGAGGAAGCAAAATATTTTAACATTGGACACATTTAATAAGATTGAAGCTAAGTATTTTAACATTGGACACATTTAATAAGATTTTTGAACAATGGAACCAGAAATTAATAAGAGTACCTACCTCTATAGATAGACTGTGATCCATAAGGTTACTAATTCAGTTATTTCAACCACATATCTCAATGTATTCCTATTATATAGTGAAGCATTCATTTTTTATTAAAATTTTCTTTGGATTATGATTTCAACAAAACCTATTCAATACATGTGCTTTGTTGGAATCATAATGCAAAAAAACTAATCTATTTTCCATTGTAAAGAGGTTCCAAGTGTATTAAATACAGCACCAAAAGCAGACCTTCTAGCACCTTCTTTGTACATTCATCCAGATTCCAAACTATCACATAATCATGGGAAGCAGAGCAAAGAAGGAGAGGATTGACTTTGGTCCCAAATGCCAGTGCAGTAATCGAGTGGTGATGACCTGTTAAGTGTAATGGCTGAAAAAAAAAAAAAAAAATTGGGTTATTTTAAGGCAGATGCAGTGCACAAAATCAAAAAGTGTAAATTTCTTTTGAAATGTTCTTTATAGGCCTTAAGAGAAATGTACAGTATAGATAAAATCATATTAGACACAGCAATATGCTTTATTGTTCCACCCTCACTTTAGCTTTCTAAGACTGTCTTCCCTTGCAAATATCAATCTAGGATAAGCTTTAGCAGGCAAAGTCCTGAAGTAAGAGAAAGAAAATGAGGAAACATTTTTTCCATAACATTCTGTATGTGTGTAGGGGGAAGGGGGTGCGGGGGAGGGAATTGTAAAAAATGAAAATGAGAGGAAATGAAATATGGGCAGGTTCACAAGTAAAAGATAAGGATGGCTGAACCCTAGTAACGTTCTGTGAACGTGGCAGGGCAGTCGTAGGATGAAAACTTCATCTGGAATTGCACTAAGGCACAGGTCGGCAACCTGCGGCTCCGGAGCCGCATGCGGCTCTTTGAGCCTTCCCCTGTGGCTCCCAGCCTCCTCTGCCTTTGCAGAGAGAGACAGAGACAGAGAGAGGCAATTGCGCTTCCCTGCCTCTCTCTCTCTCTCTCTCTCTCTCTCTCTCTCTCTCTCTCACTCTCTCTCTCTCTCTCTCTCTCTCTCTCTCTCTGTGTGTGTGTGTGTGTGTGTGTGTGTGTGTGTGTGTGTGTGTGTGTGTGTATGTGTAAAAGAGAGTGCACTCACATTGTTCTCCGAGGAGCTGAAAAGCTTTCTAGGCGGAGCTCCTCCCTTTGCTGCGTCTCTGCAGGAAACAGGAAGGGCAGGAGAGAGCTAGCTAGCCCAGCTAGGCTGACTCAGGATTCTGGGAGTTGAAGTCCATGAGTCATAAAAGAGACGAGGTTGCCTACCCCTGAGATTGTTGAAGAACAACTTGAAGCTTGCCAGGTGAGCAGCAGATGGGGGGGGAGAGAGAGAGAAAGAGAGAGAGAGAGGGAGGGGGAGAGAGAGAGGAAAGAGAGAGAAAGAAAGAGAGTGGGGGAAGAGGAGTGGCAGACCAAGGGCAGAGAGGGAGGGAGGGAGAGAGGCAGAGAGAGACCCTTTTGACATTTAAAATGAAGATAACACTGCATATATCCTTTTTTTACCTGTGTGTGTATGTAATTTTATTCTCTTAAAGCATTCTCTCGGTGATCATTGTTTTAATAGTATGGATATTCCCAAAAGTCATATTTTTACTTTTATTTTTAATGTGTGTGTGTGTGTGTGTGTGTGTGTGTGTGTATACACACACACATACACAAACTCTCTCTCTCTCTCACACACACACACACACACACACACACACACCTATAATAAAGATAAAAAAGGATATATGCAGTGTTATCTTCATTTTAGATATCAAAAGGGTTTTGCGGCTCCCGGTATTTTGTTTTTGGTAGGAAACGGGTTCAAGTGGCTCTTTGAGTGTTTTGGGTTGCCTACCCCTGCACTAAGGAATCTGACATTAGGCAAACACAAAACTATGTTGATCTTTGCCATAATAAATAGATGATAGAGTATCTATTTAAATATGAAAATATGTACTTTAGGTCATCGCTGGTATCATATTTGCTGTTCCTGGACATATGCTTTTAACCATTTCTATATTCATTTCAAAAGGATTGGCACAAGTGGTGCTTGTGGATTGCTTTCTCTAAAATGTTATTTTCAGCATTAATGGCCACAAAGAAACTTGTATTTAACCTGATGGTTGGGATCATCACTCATATTCCAAATACAAAGTTCATTTCCATTTAAGGGAAAAGCACAGTAATGGAGGCTACAAGCCAGTTGAACATGTGATTCTGGTACTTTCGATCTAAATACTTGTTTTTCAAGAACAATGTTGCTGCTGTTATATCCATCTTCGGTGGAGTACAAGTCCATGAGGTTTTCCATAGTATACCTGAGACATAATAAATTGAATATAATTATATCACTGATTACATTTAGAGATATTTTGTATTTACACATCATTTATAATATTGTGTACAGTACTTTATCCTTAATGAAAGTAGTCCAAGGTCTATAAAAACTTACAAAAATAATTGAACTTATAAAAATAATTGAATAATTCTCATTTAAATCATTTTAAGATAAAGTGAATGATGCAATCTATTTAAATATGAATTATTGCACTAAAATGTGCAATTCCATAAGATACGTCTGAGGGACTGCAGATAGAGGCAGGGGTTAGAATTTCTAAACTCTAAATTCCAACAATTCTATCAAATACAAGCAATTGTTCTGTGATGACATGTAGCAATACTCAATAAAAGCTTTGCTTGGATGCACTCCAGACTATGCAATCCATACAATAGAATTCTGTGTCTTAATTAAAATTAGTAAATAAATTATAGCATAGGATTTTATGGACTATATAGGCCCTTCATTATAAAAGTACAAATCATATTATATATGGAAACCTAGATTTATAATAATCCTCTAGATACCATTTGAACATTTTAGATATTATCAGTTGTGATGTGGAAAATGAATATATATTACTGGTTTTAATTTGTTCCTGGTCAGAAAGAAGATATTGGGAAAACATAACAAAAAAATAACAAAACATAACAGCAAAGAGCTGGGATTCATGTGGATCTTTTTAAATTAGGCAAGGAAATACCTCCGCAGACTCATTGTTGCCTTGTAGCTATAGTTCTTATGGTCCTCACAAGATTATGTTTTCATAAAGTAAGCTTATTTAAGGCTTGCTGCCTTATGTGAACCCGGCCAGCTTGGTTTATAAAACGGTTTCAGATCTAAGTTGCAAATTTCTGGCCAACCACAGAACAGCAACAAAGAGCTCGCTTGTTATATCTCATTGTTGCCAACCTAGTTCTTCTCTAGATTTTGGGAGATCAGATCAGGTACCTCTAAAATACTTTTTTTTTTTTTTTTTTAGTTTTGCAAGCTCCTTGAGCCCAGGCAGTTCCGCTTTGCTATCGCAGAGAAACCAACCACGGTGCAGCCTGTCGTTGGACTCCAGCCAGGCTTTTCTGCGAGAAAGAGGTCCGCGAGAGAAAGAATCCTGGGGAAGAACTGAACTTCGTCGGGATTTTCTCCCGCGAGGATCTCACTGTAACACAACTGTTGGGGACGGAACGAAAACACGATTGAGTACAGTGCAGATCTCTGCAGCAGGGCAGCCCGGTCGCCAAATATGCAGCGCGCCGCACTTTTTTCAACGTGGCGGGCAAATCAACCCACGAGGACGTCAATCCCAAAGAAGCCTCCTGCCCGGGAAACGGTCCTCGTTATTGTCTTTACCATGCGTGGTTGCCACGAGTGTTGGTCGCCGTCTCCCGTATGCAAGATTAGACGGTGAACATAAATCCTTCCCAGCTGAGCGCCCGAATGTGACCGTCGCCTGGTTTCCTAGACAGCAAAGACGCTTACGGCAAGGCCTCGGAGCCAATTCTAGACGTTGCTTGGTCTTCCTATGGGCTTCGTTCAAGCGGTTCCGAAGAGCCGGAAAGAATTGCGCTGTTCTGTATGGGATGGAGATAAGACTGCTTTTCTCCTTCCTTTTCCAAACGGTCTTTAAGGATAATATGCCAAGCTTAAACCCGATATGTGGGCGATTTGTCTATCTATCTCACTTTCCTGGAGGGAATTGGATCTTTGAAAGTTTGCCTGCAAGTCCAGAATTGGTAAATTGCCACCTGTATGGATTATGAACGGCTCCAGAAAAACAATTGTCTTCTTAAGAACAAGTAATCAGAGTAAAAAGAGTGTTACTAAACATACACTATTCAAGGGGGTTACTATACTATGTTTGCTGTATATAACAAAAAAATATAGTAGATTAAAACATCTATATTTTTCTCTTATGTTATGAGTGCCATACATAATTAAGAAAACTCGATTCCAAAAATGGTGACATGAACAATTAATTATGCAACTTAGATTTTTATTATTTTACTTAAAAGACATATTCTCTAAATCAAAATGACCATTCAATTCTGACTTAATGGATAATTAATGCCCAGTTTTGTTTAGGCTGCTATTTGGTGATCCTGACCTCTGTATGCTAAACTCCTAGTTAAATGTATTGTACAGAATTCCTGCCATCTAAGCAGTTAATTTTCTGTACTGTAGCAAATTTATATATGCAAAACTTTATATTCATATACTTACAAAGACACACACAAAGACATACCACACACAAATATGTATTTATCGTATGCATATATACGTACACTAGATATGGACTTCAGACTTTATTTTATGCATCCCACTACTACAGTTGATTATGATTGTATTGTCCTAACACATTACAAAATATCTTTTTTTCAAAATCTTGAATATGTATATTTTGGGGGAAGATGACCTAATGAAATATTTTTGTGGAAGCATATAGGTCTTGCGGTAATTTAAATACACACACAGTCACACACTCACACATATATTCTGGCTTATTTATTTTATGCATCCCACTGCTACAGTTGATTATGATTGTATTGTCCTAACACATTTCAAAATATCTTTTTTTCAAATATGTATGTTTTGGGGGGAGTAGTAATTTAAACACACATGTGTGTGTGCGCATGCACACACACACAAACACATTCTGGCATAATTTTTTGTAGGCCACTTCTTCTATTTCCATGAGTTATCACTTCATATGCAACCTCTTTTAGTTGTATCCTGATAACACGCCAAATACTTAAAACAAAGAACTTGCATTATGATATCACAACACACTTTTTTATATATGTCTACCTCCTTCATTACCCCCAGCTTCCTTTGTGAACCCCTTTGGTTAAGACAGCATTTCATATATGTGGCCAGACAGCAATAATAAAGGAAAACGATTCAATATCGTGTAGGTTTGTGGCCTCTTAAAAGGAACGTAAGACATTGATCATGGTTATTGCTAGAAGGAAATCAGTCATACTTGCAGATTACCTACAAATCAGTTCAATTATACATATATTTGTCATTGTTTGTTTTATATGTTACACTTTTGTTAGTAAACTGCTTTGAAAAATGTAGCGACAGATTATTTTTTTTAATAGTCGGCTCTCCTTATCTTGCCAGAAAGACATCTCATTTTTATGAATTAGTTTCACGCGTTGAGTAAAGTAAGAGAACGAGGGGCACGCATATATTCCAAACTTCTCTAATAATAACAACAATAAGCAGCCAATGGTTGCTGGCATTATTCCAATAGTATTACTAGTAAAGTTCCTTTCAGCCAATGGTTGACCGCTTTTCAGCCTCGGCTCACGACCTGTGTCCTGTTGCCACGGTGATAGAACGAGATAATCCCTCCCAGCCATCGCTCCGCCTTTTTTTTTTTTTTTTTTTCCTTTCCAGAACAAAAATCCGTAGAGCAGCTCGAGTCGAAATCTCGCGACGCTACATAGGAGTCTCGTGGTGAGCTGGGTTCCAGTTCTGTCAAAAGATTCTGGCGGCCTCCTCGATGGTGGCGGGAGAGCGAGAGAAGTGGCTCCGCGCTAGAGTGAGTTTGGGGAACAAAACCGGGGCAAGCGAGTGGGGGCAGTGAGGGGGGCGCGGCCGAGGAGAGCTTCGCGAGTCCTTGCGCGAGGCTGGACGGAACGGAGGAAAGAGGGAATGTGGGGGAGTGGCCTGTCTCTTGCCTGGCATTCTACAATAAGGCGCTGCTGAAGAGTTAAGACTCCGGCGGCTTTAGGCGAGAGAGATTCCTTCTCTCCACCCTGGCAGACTCTTCCCGAAGCCGTTAAGAAGTGGGCGAATTGAGGGGAAAGCGGGAGGCTCCCGAAGAGGCGGAGATTTTCCTTCCGGATCGGGTTTCCAAATTTCTTTACACTATCTGGCGGGCCTTCTCTGGCGTCCCCTCAGAGCTCGCACTCTTCTCTGCCTCTCTTTCCTGTTGTCAGGATTGCAAACCTCCTCGAGGTGGTGCATTAAATTTAGTGTAAATAAATGAGCAAGCCGGCACTGGGTCCGCTGTCGCAGGGGACGGAGTTTATAGCCCTGGCAACTTCCTACGTCGAGGCTAAATTCGGTTTAACTTAACACAGGCAGCCTCCGTTATTTGTGGTATAACGGAACTTGGAGCGCGTTTCTATGGTTTCACTTTTATGTCTCTTCTCGCTTTCCCCGCTGCCCCCCAAAGCCCTACTTAGTAAATTACCGTTATGAGGGATTGATGTTACCTTTTAGGTTGTAGTTGCCTGCTTCTGATTGATGAAAATCAGTGTGTATTCATCTCTTGTCCTGCGATTTCAGGACCCGGGAAAAAGAATTGATGTTCCTGGTTATTGTAAGACTCTGGGACTCTTTCTGCCTTCAGAATCTGTAGATTAAGATAGGTTAAGATATGCAGTCACTGTGGCGTTTCTGTGAAAACACACTGCCTCTGTATGTTTAGGATCCAATCTGTTTAGTGTGTTTATAAAATTATGTTTGAAGCATGATGGGAAATGTATGGAATAGTCCTAATTTTCATATTAAGCCTATAGCAGTATAGAACCACTGTGTAATTATTTAAAGGGGGAAAAAAACCTGTGTTCTACAGAAAAGCAAATCTATATACTCTTGTTGAAATTTAAATAAATCACGGATGCTTATTTCTGAGGCCATTTTTATGCAAAATAGCCTATTCCTGTCATGTTTACAAAGATCACATTTACTACTAAAATATTAATGACATGCTTTCAGTCTGTGTTATCAAGTTGGTCTTGACATCCCAGTGGTATAAACTTTTTCAGAAGAGTATCTCTGACTTATTTTCCAGGAGGAAAACCTTTCTATATTTATTCAATATTAATACAGTATGTTTAAACTGTATTCATTTTTGTTGCTTTGTTACAAGAGTGATAGAACATGGTTATATGGAGATTACTTCAGTCACAAAACAGATTTATTTTATATCCAACACAGGTGTGATGGCCCATTACTACAAGAAGATACTAGTAACATTGTTTACTTTTCAAGGACTTCTTATAACAAGTGCTTTTAATGAGGATGGGGATATACCTGAAGAATGGATTCTCCTGCATGTAGTTCAAGGTCAGATTGGTGCTGGAAATTACAGCTACTTGAGACTAAATCATGAAGGGAAAATAGTGCTTCAGATGCAGAGTTTAAAAGGTGATGCAGACTTGTATGTATCTGATGTAACTCTTCATCCCAGTTTTGATGATTATGAATTACAGTCTGCAACTTGTGGTCAAGATGTGGTTTATGTGCCAGCACACTTTCGTCGCCCAGTGGGAATAGGAATTTATGGTCATCCCTCTTATATGGAAAGTGAATTTGAAATGAAAGTGTACTATGATCAGACAGTTGTAGAATCTCCATTTGGTGGTGGCTCATACAATCCAGAAGAAATGAAAATGAACCAGAAGAAGTTTCATTCAACAGAAGATGAGTATCAAGATGAGGAATCTGTCTTCTGGACTATATTGATAGGAATACTAAAATTAATACTTGAAATTCTCTTTTAGATTTATAGCTTTGGGTGTGAGCAATCTGTACAACTGATTGAATGCTGTTCTAAGCTGTGGATTGGAAAATAAAGCCATAATTATTTTTATAATGTAAACTTTTCCCAGTGCTATATTGTAGCAGGCACAGTATTTGTATGGTTTTCTCTTAACTGATCAGGGTTAACGGATGCTACAATTCACTGTGATTTTTCAATAAAACTTCAAAATTGTAGAAATATGAATTCATGCTCAGTATTTCAACACATTTGTTAATATATTCACAAATAATGTTAATATAGACTATCTTCTTTGGCCAAAATAGAAATACTTACATGAGAAAGATTTGAAGAATGAATTCTGGAAAAGAGTTCATCTGCTTTTCCAACCACCATTAACCACCTATTATTTGAAGCAACCCGAATACAGAATTACCTATAGATAAGCATGAAGATTTCAAACATGAAATGTTGACATTAGAACATTTAGCCCACTCTAATTTCAAATCATTTTCCACAGTGCAAGCCCATCTATACTTAAAAATCATGTAATTATCACCTACTAGGAAGTACCACCATACTGGCATTTTCAGGAAACAAGACCTGAGCTTCCTTGTTCCAGAATTCCTCCAACTTCTGTGAGATGTTTTCCCATGTGATCTGGAAAAGACCTTGAGATCACTGGAAAGGCAGAAGCTGAAATGTTTTGAAAATGAATACAGTATGTTCTGAATAAACGCTTTGAAGAGGAAAAATACTAGGAAAAAACTCTAATATTGCATCATCAGGAAAGGCCATAAGAGAAAAAAAGGACTGTAAGTTGAAAGTTTTGCCATGTCTACATTAATTTCAAGAAGCTGTTTAGCAATCACGTACTGCATTATACTAGAAAACAAGTCCCTTATCACCATATGGAACACTACCATGTTTCCAAATCTGAGTTGCTCTCAAGATTTTAGCATGCATTTCTTACTCATTTTCTGGCCTTAGCATACAGAAGAAATGAAAGAGTATCAATAAGAAATTAGTAGAATGATAGCTTCTGTGTTTTTATTCTAAAGTGTGTGACAGCTATATAGACAGCTGGAATGGCCAGAGATTCCTTGTAGATGGAAAGAAATGAGAATTATTCAAGAATCCACTTGACTAAATTAAGCTTGGTTCCTACAACACACTTTAATTTCACATAATAGCATCATATTCAAACAAATAAGATGCTAATTGATTATGCAAGAAACTTGTATACTTAGTGAAGTGTTTTATTTTGTGATTTAGAGAAACTGTTACTCTACTAATACTCTTGAATTTAATAATAAATCAATATTTTCCTTTGAATAGGATGGAGGACAAAAGTAATTACTCTGCGGTTTTCTATAAAAATGATTATTATGCAGAACAGAATCTATAAGACAAATTATAAAAGTACAGAATACAGATATGTTCACCTCTGTCTTTAATGCAACAAAAGATACTGAATAACCTTCCTCACCATGTTAAAATTAAAAAGTTTTTATTTAATGAAACTGTTTTTGAGTGGTGTTTTTCCTTGTACAGTGGTAAATAGAGTAGCACCATGTTTAGCACTAATTTTTATGAAGTTAATATGCAGTTATCCTTCTTTGCTGTTCTTCCCTCTTCTTCCTCTGGCCCTGGGAATTGGGGGTTGCCTTTCACAACAGTCACAAATCCAGCGACCTACAAAATTAGAGCTGTCAATTAAAAGAAGACCAATTGCCAAGTAGTCTAAAAAGGCTACTGCAGCTGTATGTGGGAAGTGGGGATATTAATAAGTAGCATATTTTTTTATAAATTACATTTGTAACTCTAGGTTTTTATGCCCCTATTAAAAAAGACACTACATTAAATTGATTCAATTACATTCCAGTAATGAATGTACTTGGATTTAAGGTAATACATTCATATTCACTCCCCTAAATACATTTAAGATGCTGTAGCATAAACTAATGAAATATTTAGCTACACTCAGAATGTTAGTAGAATGGATAATTAACACAAGATCAGTATTCACATAATGCCCAACTTTTAGATGTGTAATCTTTTCAAAAGAAAAAAAAGCAATCTAAATCTTGAATTTTAGTTCAGCCTCTGAACAAGTATAATTGATATAATTACCTGAAGGGATAGCACCAAGCCCCACACAAAATGTATGATAGCCACGATCACACACATCACAAAACATCATTTCTTCCTCATGGTGAGGCTGCCCGCATATAATGCATGTTTTACACTCCATACATTGCCAAGGATAGGTCTTAATTATTGCAACAAGCTCTGCAGACATATCCAAACAGGACGGATGTCCTAAATCAAAACCAGTATCATTACTAGAATGGTTATAAGAAGGATCCTGACAAGACTAAAATGATTTTACAGAATTTACTTTAATTCAGTGTATCAAATGTGCTAATTAAACTTTAGATACTGCAAAAATGTAGCTTGTTATTTTTGTTTCATTTTAAATATATAGGCATGTTTAAAGCAGATTTATTACTTACCACTGTTTTCACATTGGGAGCAGTGTATAAGTGCTTCAGACTTCCCTTTCTTGTTGGACTCCTTACCCTTCAGACAAATTCCACATATAGCATTTGGAATGACCTTTGGCTGGAAGGGTAGAAGAGGGCTATAAATTCATTCCGGAAGAATTGATACAGGGTTTTTTTTTTTCAAAAACGTGTGTTATTTAAATTTCTATAAATCAAACCTGGGTGGTGTAGAACAGGATATGATTACAGATTGACAGGTATTGATTATATGAAAAAGTGGAATACAGACTATTTTAAACACATGCAAAGTGAAATAATAATGTATAATAATACTCATAATATTCCATTAAAATCACAACTAATCAATGAATTTCAAAAGGATAATTGAATTTCTAATCTCCTTATGTAAGATGAATGTGTATGAAATCTCGTAACACATAATTCTTCAAATGTAGATTAAGTTAATTATATTAGCCATCCATGCAGTATAGTATTGAAATTATATACTGAAAATTCTGAGTATATTTTTGTCTGATGCAAAGGCTGATTAAAACCAGTTTATTTCATCCGTAAACAAAATAATTTTTATATAGATATAAGCAAACAAGTTGAAATTGGTACTTCTTTGTGAGAATAAGGACCAACAAACAGCAATTGCAAGCAATTTTTACATCTGCACAGAAAACAAATTTTACACATCTATATTTGTTCCATGGATTGCATCCATTACACTATGTCTTCCTAAACTTAATCTATATTGTCAATTTGTATAAACAATACAAATTGTTTGACTCTGTGTCTGACAAAATGAGAAAATTATAAGGAGTGTCTCATGGTAATAACATTATTAGAATTTTAAGTATCTTCCGTAATCATAATCTTGTACCACTCATGTCAACAAGGGCTTTTTCTGCATGTAAGAGTAACTACTATCATTTGAAAAGAATGTTATGTCATTTCAATTCCAAAACCCTCCTGCTATCAACACTGCTCCACATCTTTGGGGAATCCTAGAGTGTAGATTTGAGATCAATGTTGGAGGGAGAAAAACACACGTTCCTCTGATCAAGTAACATTGAAGAATCAAAAGTACTACAGATACTTAATATACATTTTATATGGATTGTAATGAAAGCATTTTTGCAAATTACTTTTAAATAAATTGCCTCCTAACCTTAAATATCCAGCTCTTGGCTTGTTTGAATTGTTATTGTAATAAGAATTGCCAAAATTTATCAAACAGATGGGTAAAACTGAACAATTTTTCTTTCAAATTTAGATACATTTCCAATTAAAACTTTAACATGTAACAGAAAACTAAGTACATTTGTATAACATTTGAATTGTGTAGCTGACCACACGTATGCTACCCTAATAATTATTTTGCCCTCTGAATATTTGAATTTGTAAAAAGCCACAAATTATTTAACAAAACTAAATCAGGTACAATAATTTATATATTATAATAAAATAAATTTTAATCTTATTACTAAGATATAGTTTGCACGTTTTTGTTTTCCCTCCATTTATGGTCAAGGTCAACAGTCCTGCCAAGAGAGCACTAATGTTTGACATTGATAAATCAGAACATGAAGGAAATGATGCTGGTGAAGAGATTCTAGAACAGAGGTAGGTACTTTTTAAGCTGAGTTAGGCCTTAAATAGTTGTCTATTGTTCATGCTATAACAGTACATTTCCTGCACCAGCAGGAAAAAACACTAAATGAATCCAACACAACCTCTAACTCTGATACCAATTTTTCTCATATAACATTGACAACATGGGTGGATGGTTGCTTACTTTATCTGAATGGCTACAAATTACAAGGTAATAATTGTAACAACAGTTTGCTCTTCACAGAAAAACAGTATATTAAAGTAAGAATAAAAACATTTAATTGCTGAAAGAATGAAAAGTGTGCAAGCATCACTGCTATACACGTCTCTATCTGGAATATTTTAATAATGCTGAGAGAAGCAAAGTAGATTTGAATTCTTCTGATTAAAAATAAATTTAATTCTAGAAAATTGCAGTTATTAACTAAATAAATATAAAATTTAAAGGAGTTAATATGTGTTTACTATATTAGCCTAATTTCAGAATTTTTTATGTAGTATGCTCGGCCTCCACAGTTTTGTTTAAACACCCACAAGGCATTTATAAATAGCTCTTTTTAAAAAGATGACAGAGGCATTCAATATTTTTGCTTATTTATTTTTTAAAAAAATCATAGTCCACCTGTTTTATACATAAATATAATGAAATGATAAAGGAGTCTAACATTCACAAATATCTCTACAAAATAATAAATAACCATGGTGGAAACAGACATATATTTTTATTTACTATTCTAATCTTACTTGCATACCTTTTTATACCCTGCTCCTCCCAAAGAAAGGAATAAACCCAATTTTGCAGCATTCACCTTTTGTACTGCTACATTCTATAAAGTTCACTGTTTTTAAGCTATATCAAGATAACAATTAGAAAATACACTTGCTATTTCTTTTATTGTATGCATACTTACTGCTACGTTATGAAGCAGCAATCTGCCTCTCAATCACCCAATGTAAAACTACTTTTCCGTTGCTATACCTGTACTGAGTTAAGTGCAGTTACTATTTCTGAGCAGTCTAGGTACTGCACCAGCCAAGAGGCATTTAACAATAATGCTTTCCCCAAATCTCTATTCTATAAATCTAGGAATAAAATAGTCACAATATACTAATTTAAAAGAACATCCAAAAATGGATGTCTCTCCTATAGAAATGAGGAAAAAAGTCTATTCATATTTAGGAACGATTCTAAAAAGAAAAAAAAATGATATTGGGGGATCACTGGAAAACATTGCTTGTCTGATTTAGTGATGTTTTGGTCATCTTCAAGTTAACAAGCAAAAGAATAGTAAGATTTTCAACCCTACTGCTTCAAAAATTCATTTTAGACTAAAACTGCAATCCTGTATACCGGCCAAGATCATATTCACTTGTCAGTTCTAAATAAAGCAAGGGCAATGAGTCTTGATGCCTGGCTTCAGTGACTTCGGGACTTGTTCAGCCAGTTTTTTTGGTTTTCATGAAACTGATTCAAGTAAACCAAGAAGTCTTCTCCAAAGCTGGAGAAGCAAAGAGTGGACAGAAAGCTCCTCTGAAGCAAGGGAAACAGTCAGTAGGAGAACATGTTCCATCTTCCCACTTCAATAAAGCTTTGTGCTTTGTGTATTGGATATGAAATGATATGTCTGAACCACACAAATAGAATTTGTAACTTATCCTCAAATACATAAGCATGCTGTATTTCCAGAAATTACATTGGCTGGAAACGAGCCTGCCTTCTTTTCTAAGCAAATTAACGTAAATCAGAGAGTTACAGAATGCAAAGAAAGAGTGGGATAATCAGTTAACAGACTTGTACTTCAGTCTTGTTTTATACTGAAATATGCAGACCTGGATCTCTCCCTTACTCTGAGAATACTGCCATGACAATTATAGTCATCTATCCTTCATCTTTTAGAACAATAGCTATTGTGGAAGAATAATAGGAATGATGCCCCCATTAAAAAAAGACAGATGGTTTAACTAATTAATAAAAATCAACCTGCCTGCTTAGAAAAAAGGTAAATATAAGAAGCCCATTTGTAATACTTGCAATATATGTATTAACATTTTGCTTATCTTTCCTAAAAGCTCTTACGGTTAAATTTTAGTTTTAAAATGTAAATAGAGAAATAATCTAATATATGGGGTGACTACTATGCAATAAAATCATTGTAACTTTTAATGGTTCCTGGGCATATTTAAATCCCCATTTGTAGGCTTATTTAGGCACATGATGTATCAAATAAGTCAATAACTGATAAAGATGTTCATACTATATTAGTTCTATAATATACATTGTATTAGATATTTAAAACTAGTTCTTACATAGAGTTAGCTACTCTAAAGTGAAAAAAGCACTGTTTTATTTTCTAATCAGTCTATATTTTGTTTTTGGGACCAAAATGCCCCTGATAATCCTCATATTCTACCCTCATTCAGATTCGCTTTAAAGAATTCTCAGTACTTCTCCATAGATCAACTATATATGGATGGGTTTGAACCAGTGACTAGTAATATAAAATAAAATAAAATTACATTTAGCAATCAAAAGCTTGTATATTGGTTTTTGATACAGTGCCTTCACAAGAAACTAGCCAGGCATTGCTATATGCATGGTTTTTTCTCACATAATACCTCAAGTTCAAAATTTTATAATGCTTTCCTAAGCTTCATCTTTGGATTTCATAAGTTAATCATATAAATTACTAGCACACATTTGAAGCTGCAATGAAATAAAACATTTTGCAAGGCTTTTATGTAAAAATAGACATGTCTACTAAACATTTTCTGTATCATTTTAAAAAGCTTCTCCTTAAAAGAAATGGTTTCTAGCATTCAATATTTTTGTACAAGTATCTGAAATCATGCATTTATGCAGTTAAATTGTATTTGGAATCTTTTTTTTTTCCAAAGAAAGCTATCCAATTCTAACTGAAGAGTGACTGGAGTCCTATACTTTGAATGATTCAGTAATACATTCAATATATAAGTTACGTAGTTTGAAAATGGCTTACAATATTTCAAAATCATGTTACTTGCACTATGTAACTTCTCAGGCTTGATACTACCTAATCACTTTTTTGATCACAGAACGATTTCCTTAACTTTCCTCCTTATAACCCTTCAAACATGTAAACATATGCCTTATTCTGTGTAAGCAAAATTTGCTGGTAAACAAATGTTATTAGTAAACAAATAGCTTCCAGCTTCTTATTTTCTTTATCTTCAATAAAAATTACAGTCTAAAATTTCAGTTAATTCTAAACTGAAGTTCACCAGTAATACTGACAATTAAAAGATGTTATATAATGATCACTGTTTAAAATATAACTCCTTATGTCCCAATAAGCTTAAACCACTCCCTCTGTGTCATTTGCTTAAAAGTACAAAACCAAAACTATACCAGTTGAGTATCTCACTTGGAGCCCACCATCTCTCCAAATCCTCTGTCCCCAAACTACCTTTTAAACTGCAAAATGATGGCCTGTTGCACGATTCTATTCTACAAGGTTAGCACAACCTACTTTCAAATAAGTTCATCTATCTTCTCATTCTGGCATTCTTCATAAAATGAGAAGAGCAATAGGGAAAAGAACCTAGTCCAAGGCCAACTTGTGACCTTCACTGCACCTAACAGTGAGGGTTTCATTAGACTACCTGAATATTTTTTTCTAAAAATCGAACATGGCTCAAGCCAAATCTCGTCCTCCCAACTTCCTACACATGGGGAATTGTTTTAAGATTGCCAACACCAAATTATATTATAAACAGATTACATACTTTTCATCTGGAAAAAGTTAAGAAAATATAAATATGTATGTACAATATTCTAGCTGCATTTTACAGTGCTTGTCCAGTCCATACTGGTCAGCAAGCTATTTTAAGCTAAAACACAATGTTATATTTGAAATGTAACTATCAACCTTTTGAAGCCCGGAGAACAAAGCCATTTTCCTCCACCCTGGCAAAAAAGAGGGAGAAAACCCATCTTAATAATGAGATCTCATGCTGCAATTGCTCAGGAACCATTTAGGTACAGAAAATAGAAGCCACTCCACAGCCAGGGTAACAGTAAGGCCCCAGGTAAAATAAAGCAACAGGAAGTAAGGAAGCAAACAGGAATGCACAACAGGAGAGCAGCTAAGCAAGTATAGTAAGCAGACGTTCCAATATTTTGAAAAACAAAGTTAAATATTTCAGGGAGAGAAGCTGATCAGTAAAGAAGCTGAGTCAGGGGCTTTTTTCTTCTACCTTGTACCCAGGAACCGATTTGGATACAGATCGTTTGGAACCCTCTTTTCTTGGAGTAGAATTTCTCTCTCTTGTTTTTTGTTTTCCCTGCAAAGGTTCTTCCTGGTTTTCTGCTGTGCATTCACCTTCAGACACATTGCCAGATGAGTTGTCCTGTAACATGAAGGAAAAACCATTTTTTGCTTCTTTACATGGGAAGAGCAAAGACAAAACTTTGCTCATTAGTTTAGTGTATTGATATATATTCTTAGTATATTCTGACAAAGCCCAAGGATTCCGCCCAGCGTATACAAATAAATATTTAGAAAACATTATGATAAAAAGTATAATAATAGAATCTAAAATGTAATAAAAATCCAATAAACTGTATAAAATAGACCAAACTATAGAAAACCCAACACTCATTGCTGATATTAAACATATATCTGGAACACGCACATTTTGGTTTACCGAATTGCCTTTGATTTTCCGCTTTTCATCTGCTCGCTCTTCTACATCATCTGACTCTCCATCACTATCCAGCGCTGGCAGATCTGGATCTAAGGGGGGCTCATAAAGAGCTGTATTTAGTGGCAAATATCGAAGTTCATCAGGAGAGTATCTAAAGTTAAGTAAAAAGTTTTAAACTTGCATTTCAAATTGAAATACATGTGACAAACCAAATTCAGTATTTTATCAGTCATTTACAAAATTTAACCATATATTAGAAAGTGCTTAAAACAGCGGTTCTCAACCTGTGGGTCGCAACCCCATTTGGGGTCGAACGACCATTTCACGGGGGTCGCCAAACAACGCGATCCGCCATTTTTTCCGCCATTTTTTCCCCTTTTCCTTAGCTGTGCTACTCCCTCTTATTCTATTGGCTTTCGAAAGCCAATAGAATAGACTCTCTTGAACAGAGTCTAATTCTATTGGCTTTCAAAAGCCAATAGGAATTGTCCAGGGCTGTCTCTGCCCTGCTGAGCCCGCCAAAAGCCCCAGTCTGCAAACGGTGCTGCAAGGGAACAGTCTGCAGAGCTTCCCTCCCTGTTGAGCAACTAAAAAGTAAGTAAAAGAGAGCCGGGGGTGGGAGGTGGGAGGCCAGTGGGTGCAGGGAGGGTTGCTGGCGCGCGTGGGGCCCGGCAGGTGCCTTACCTGCCTTGGGCTGGGCCAGCTGGTGGCCCAGCCGGTGGTCGCCCTGCGCCGCCGCTGCCGCGGCCGCCCAGGAGCATCTAGGCCTGCCTGCCGCCACCCCTTGCCGGCTATGCCTCAGCCGGCGCAGGGGGCGGCACCGCGCATGCGTGCCGCGCATGCACGCCACGCAGGGGGCAGCACCGCGCATGCACGCCGCGCCGCGCATGCACACCGCGCCGCGCATGCGCACCGCGTGTTTATGACCAGGGTTGCCGGTATAAAAAGGTTGAGAACCAGTGGCTTAAAGGATGTTAATATGTATATTTATACACAGTACATAATAAGTATACACAGTTATATAAGTACATAAATTAATCAAGTCTTCTTTAAGAATCAAATGTTATACCTGAACTAGCATCCAGGCCGCAAAATTACAAACAACATTTTTTTAAAAAAAAACATTAGTTTAATCACAGCAAATTTCTGGTACCTTTTATAGTACTCCTGAAACTGGCCTGGTATGAGAGCCACTGGATAAGGGCTAACTTTTGTCCTTTCTGTAGGTAAGATTTTATATTTTCCTTGAGGCACCTGGATAATCTATTGTTAATACAAAAATAAGAAGCTCATTGCCCATATTTCTGAATTTCTTTTTTAAATAATCAAGAAATATTTCAATACATACTATATCACATCCATGGATTTGCCATGCATACATCCTTTAACAATACATCATGTAACTTAAGGTACATGTTTGAATGATCCTATTATACCTCAAATACTAGATCACACAATTGATTTAAAACTCTAGATATTTTAGAGTATCTGAAACACAGATGTCTGCATTTATGTTCTGGATCAAATAATATGGCAAATGCACATAGTGTCATATAGAAAAATATATAGTTAATACATGTAATGTAAAATTCTATCCTGTATCTAAAAATTCCGGTTGATAATTATGGATAGTAATATTTGTCTATCAAGCTATAAAAATAATCATACTAAAAGAGGGGAATCAAAACAATATTTTTGTGACATTACATTTTGCTTGAAGGCAAAAGATGAAAGAAAAGAGATTGTCACTCATCTTCCCTCATATAAACAATTCAGAACCATATATTTACAGAATGTGGTTATATTTTTTATAGGCTTCTATGTTTAAGTGTATTTTCTTTAATTTTGTCATAGCTGCTTACAAAATAAAACACTAAAACTACATTCATAGTTCAAATGCATTGGCAACCTAGATCATAACTGTTAATTTCATCTCATTTGAAAGCAAAAGTTGAACAACTGGATTGGGAATGAAAATATATAGAAAAAAAGAAATTTAACAATCAGGCTGAAAACATCAGGACAATCTGCGAGTTCACAATGATTTTAATCTGAAGAACAATATTTCATTATTATACATAAATGGGAAAAAATATCCTGGTCTGGAGAGTATATTTGATTTGAAAAAGCTAAATAAATAAAATCTTACAAATTAACTCTGAATGGTAACTGCAAAGCAGAACAAAGCTTGCTTGCTTTGCAATTAGAAGCAAGGAGTCACATGGTTCAGCATAGCAACTTTGATGGACTGATTTGCTCAAATGTTTTATCAAAGCAAAGCAGTTCTTAAGATTTCTACAGCCCCGCATTCTCCTGCTCCAAGAAAACTTTTTCACTGTTGCACAAATATCAAACCCAATGTTACTTTGTGTCCACAATAGTGTAGATATTCACAAATAATTACAACTCAACTTTACTAGTATTGTTGTTAGTTATTACTTGTTCCTTTAGTGTTTATGCAATATTTGCGTCAACGCTGCTAACATCGGATGTTTTTGCATTGACAACAGATGTAAGTGTAGCCATCTTTTACTTTTGCTTTTAGAGTTAGATGATGTTGGGAGGAGGGGATGTGAACCAGAGTCCAGCTAGACATAACAATACTAAACCCAGTGTGAGAAACAAGGTTATTGTAACCAGAGTTGATAAGGAATTGGCAGGTTGGAGAACTGAAGAGGAAGCCAGCTTCAAGTTAATTCCCGGGATTTATGACTGTTAATTGGAGGAAGGAATTGTCCTTTGATACTATTGTGCTCAGGGGAGGGGAATTCAGTTTTAGGCTTTGATTATGCAGTGCCGATGTTATGCTACTCAAAATAAAAAAATTTTAAGGAAAACAGTGCCTTGAAGTTCTTTTGAAGAGTTTCATCTGTCGGAACTATGACAGTTTGCATTTCTTGCATTTTTTCTTTCTAGTGTGACATTACCATAGATCTCTCAGAAACCGTTTCCCCAGATCAGATTACAGACAAGCATATGCTTATAGCAACTGAAACAAGAAAATGAAAGCTTCCTACATGTGTTTGTAAATCAAAATAGGCCCGTCTTTCTTCCATTCGTTCACGGTTTAAATTGCTGTTGAATTCTGCAGCTTTCTTGGCAGCTTTCTTAATATACTCTGGAACTTTACTTGCTTCAACTTTTTGAGTATTCTGCTGCTGCAATTGCTGAAACAATTTATTTCTATTAGTTCACAAAAGCTGAAGAAATTTGATAGCTTACATATTATATTGCTCTGTATTTGTAAAATCATCATAAACAGTTACTTACAGAATACTCTTTATAGTGGTCAGTTATTCGTTGACGTTCTTTCTCTTGAAGTATAACTGAGTACTCTGCATGTTTGGCAGGGTATTCTTTAATCATCAGATCAATTACTTCATCACTGCGCAAGGCAGTTAGACCTAAAGTATATCAAAAACAATTAAGCGGTTTTGTAAAAAAAAAATCAAGAAGATAAAATTAAGATTTTTGCTTTTGTGTTTAGCCTTTTTTAGAGGCTTGTAACAATCTAAAGTTGTCAGATTAGTATAAAGGGAGGGAGGGAGGGAGAGGGGGAGGGAGAGGGGGGGGAGGGAGGGAGAGAGGGAGAGAGAGAGAGAGAGAGAGAGAGAGAGAGAGAGAGAGAGAGAGAGAGAGAGAGAGAGAGAGAGAAGCAATAAGGAAAACACATTTCTAAATTGATTCTGTTCCAACTCCTCCCAACCCATTTCTATCTTATGGCATTCTAAATAGCAGACGTATTATATTCTAGGAATTAGAGTTTAAATTGCATTTTCTCTAAATCATGGAACAAATTAAATTTAATAATCTTTTGAAGGATACTTTTCAGATCTTCACAATTTTATTAGAACAAACTTCCAAAAATATATAATTGCTTACATACAGCTTCTCAGAGACACTTATTCTGAGATTGGGGGGGGGAGGGTATATAAATATGATGAATAGATACATACAGTAGGTAGGTAAGTAGGTAGATACAACATGTGCCTTTTTTGTCCTTACCTAAAGTACACTGTGTTTCCGTAATGACATTTAATTCTCTGAGGTAAAGTTTCTCTTTGTGAGAAAGATCTCGTCTTTCTAAATCTCCAAGAAAACAATGGGAAAAATAGTAAGAAAACAAAAAGGATTTCAAAATATATAATATTAAAATTAAATTTCCATCAAAAGCTTGAATTAAAAAGCTAATGCTGCTTCTGTGGGGAAAAGGTAATGTTTCATTTGAATTGAGCTTGGTTTTTACTGAATTCATAAATATATAAATATATCTATGTATGTAGCTTTCCTGGCTCCAGTACAGAACTGGTTTGCTGTGCCTTTTTTCATGTTCTCTTTTTAACTTCCCAGTCTAGCTTACAGCTCTTGCTTTTCCTCCTGGAAGGATGAGGTCCTAACCAGATCCAACTCTACTTATCTTTTAAAATCAGCTAAGATTGGAACACCATACCCCACAAAAATAGTGCCAGAAATAGAATACTTATTGCAACTGCCAAATCTGAGAAACATGTCGTGTGGGGAAAAATAAAAACAATGCTGTTTGTTCTAGTGCTCTTTTCCACGAACTAAAGCACACATGCAAATCCATGTATATAAAAATAAGAAAGAGCTGCAAGAAAGTTCCAATTTCAAATTGGGATGACTTCAAAGAATTAAAGAAGCAATAGCATAAGCCTAAATGGATTAATATTGACTGCATTTTCTCTGAAACATAAAACATATTGACTTGTACATTGTTATCACAAAACACACAACTTCCAAACATATGCTAAAATCTCACATCTGAGCACAGAGCAGATATGAAACTCTGCACTATTTCAACATTATCTGTTTCAGTGCTAATGGTGTGTATTAACCAGATGTAATAGATGTGGAAAGAGTTCAAAAAGTTACACTGCAGCCATTTATTGAATTCAAATTTGTGAAGTGTAGGTAAGTCAAAAGGGTTCCAAAGGTTATGGAGATAGCAGTCATTGGATGCATATAAGAGATCCACTTGCAAGCATTTCCAAACAAAAGCAACGGACCACTAAGACATTTGATCATCTATATGCTTGGAGGCACTTTTAAGACATGTAAACAAGCCTGCCTCCTGCACTGTATGTATATTTTTTACATTTCATGTAAGTATTTTTAACATGAATACCTGGATATTTTCGCTTAAAGGAGGTTACCCCCAAGTATTCACTAACTTGTTCTTGAAGCATATAATATTCTCCAGTTTCATCAGGTGGCCATTTGTATTCTATCAGGTTTTCAGCTGGAAAATAACTAAAACTAAACATAGAAAATCAAATATTAAATTATAAGAATTTAATACTACCGTCCAAACAGAACTCACATTCAATGCCATGTGCTCTGTAGTAACACTTTTATACATCTATATTCTTAATCATTTCTGAGCTCACTCAAGTGGAAAAATCATGTACACATTTATTAGTAGATATTTCACCTAGTTACTCTGTAAGTAACTAAAAATGCTGAATATACATAATACACATTCCTCCTATTTTCCCCAACATAAGGTTGATTTAATTACTCTAAAATACACTTTCTGTTCCCCATTTTGAACTATCAAGAAGTATCAATGTCCTCTTTTCAAATTCTTTTGCTGGCTATCTTTATATATTGGTAGGACATTTCAGTTCTAATTCATAAGATTTCTGTAATACCATCAATACCCTAGTAATAAAACAACAAGGACCATGCATTTATTTTTGTTGAAAAAACAATATGTCAAACTAGAACAACTTTTTTAAAAACGGCAATACCTAAGATCTTGACTTGAAGTCTCACAACTTCGTGAGCTGTCTCCTGAGCCCATGCGGCGCCTTTTAGATGGTTGGCTGCCATCATTTGAATTTTCTTCTATGTCATCCTGAGATGATACCATAATGTCAAGTGTTGAGCAACAAAATGTCAAGACCAAGAGCACACTTATCAAGAATATGAAGTATTTGAATTTGAAAACCTTAACGAAACTGTGAACATCTACACCTTACTCTGGGATTTTTCACCGCTCTTTATCCATCTAATTAAAAAATAAGTCAAGGAGTTACACAGGGCCATGATATCTTTAGGGAAATCAGCAAAGCTGATAGGTAGAGGTACTGTACTCTAGAATCTCTGATAATGCTATACAGCATGTTGGAAATGGTTACAGGTAACCCTCAACTTACAACAGGAGTCTTCCATCTTGGCCCCTTTATGACTTGTGGACGTTAACTCCCAGAATTCCTCAGCCAGTGTGCCTGGCTGAGGAATTCTGGGAGTTGAAATCCACAAGTCATAAAGGGGCCAAGATGGAAGACCCCTGACTTACAACCACAACTGAGCCCAAAATTTCTGTTGCTAAGAGAACTTTGCCCCACTTTACGACCTTTTGTGCCGCAGTTAGGTGAATCACTGCAGTTCTTAGTAATATAGCTGTTAAGTGAATTTGTCTTCTCCATTGACTTTGTCAGAAGGTCGCAAAAGGGGGTCACATGAACTAGGACATCGCATCATAAATATGAACTGGTTGGCAAGCATCCAAATTTTGGTCAAATGATCATAGGGATGTTGCAACAGTTGTTAAGTGTGAAAAAGTTGTAAGTCACTTTTCAGTGCTGCTGCAACTTTGAACAGTCACTAAATGAATGGTTGTTAGTCGGTGACAGTTCTTGGCTCACACATAGTTAAGAATCACATTTTAAAAAATAAAATAGTACTGTAACTCTGAAGGCGATCCTAAAGCAATTTAAACTTCGAAAATCTGAAATCAATGTGACTTCTTAATAAATACGTTTGATGCTTGAATGCAGATAGCCAGGTAGGGGATGCCAGCATTATTTTCTTTTTTATATCAATCAGCATGGGACCTTCATATTCTGTAGGACAAATAGTTGCTAGCTACAACAGCTTTCCCAGCATTACACTAAAGAAATGGGAAGCAAGGAGGAGGTTTGGCTAGCCATCAAAAGCCCCATCCCCATAATCAGGCTAAATAGACTGCAGGTTCTCTTCTTAGATGAGTGGGCCTGCTGCATCTTTCAGAAGAAAAACAGTGTTAAGTCTATTTTTGTCGACCTCAAAAGAGCTACATACTTGCGATTCGATTCTCAAGAAAAAAAAAGTGATACCGACTTCTTAAAAAAAAAAAAAACCCTCTCCTTCAACCCAGGTGCCCCACTTTTTATGGCCAATGTTCAGCTTAGCATCTGTATGTTCTTAATTTCCTTTAACTGAACTTCCTTTAACTTCAGATGTGCTAAAATCCTTCGACTCCTGTTCAGTCCTTCAAAGGAGAGTTAAGTGGGAAGGATCCAACGGATCTCGCCCCACCACCAACCATAGCACGTAAAACCCGGGGACAAAACGGCTTGACCTCCAGGCGCCTTCAGAGAGTGATAACGAAGAGCGGGAGGCGATATTAAGAACCAAAACAGAGCGAGCCATCCCTGCCGGGACAAGCAAGGGTAGCGGAAAGAAAAACAAGGCTGCCTCTCCAGGGCCAGCCATCCGGGAGATGCCCAGTCCCAGGAGGCGATGAGGCGGAGCCGGGCAGAGACCTTCCCGGGAGGCTTCTCCTCTTCACGGAAAGTGGTGGAAGGATTAAACCCCAGCCCACGCGGGTCTCGCCGCCGCCCTCCACGGAGGAGCGGTTAGCCGACCGGTATCCCTAGGGCTCCGCGAAGGGAGGAAAATGGCGAAAGCCGCCGGGGGCGTCCTCCTCCGCGACGGACGACAGGCGCTGACGGAAGGAAGGGGACCGAGAAGACTAGGCGGCCGGAAAGGACAATTTCCCTCGCTCTACCTGCACGTCGCCTCACCTTTAAAGACTGGGCTCCGGGCGTGGCTGGGTCGCTGTCGCACACCCGCGGGGACAGCACCGCCGCCATCACCGGCCACGGATGGGGCTGGGCTAGAGACCGCTTCGCCGCCCTCTCCTCTCACGCACCACACCACCACCGCTTCAGGCCTGGCGCCACCTGCAGGCTCGGGGATGGCAATGCAGGCGCCGAATCGCTTCTTCTTCGCTCGGGGGAAGGCGCGATCTTTTCCGTGGCGAGCGACTTCGCGCCTGGAATGCTAGTTCAGAAGTCGGGCGGGAAAAGTGTGATTTAGAGCCTGCGCTGTAAATGCATGCCTTTACTCGATCAGAGTATTATTTATTCATTACGAGTGACAGCTGTTTTCTTAGTGGCGTACCTTGACCTGGGGGCGGAAAGGTCACAACTTTAGTGCGGCCAACTCCCCACGGCGAACCCGCCGCGGGACAACTTGCTGCGGGACAATTCAACAGTTCAATTTAAATATTTAAAATAATTGAAAAAAATATTTTATTTTAATTACATTTTGTCATTCATATTTCATTCTGTCCCTCCTTTTGCTTCCTTTAATGATTTTATTTCACTATTTCTTTGATATTAGTGTAACTTGTCTTGCAGGAGTTGTCCAGCAGCGAGTTGTCCTAGACCTAGACCCGTCTGGGAGTGAGGTCAGTGAAGTCAGCAAGCATATTGAGTCAATATTTAAAAATATATTTTTTAAAAAAGATTATTTTATTTTGCCTATTACTTTCTATTAGTAACTCAAGGCTGCTACTTAATATCCTTCCTCTCCTTCTATTTTCTCCACAACTACCACCCTGTGAGGTGAGTTAGGCTGAGAGCGAATTGACTAGTCCAAAGTTGCCCAGCTGGCTTTTATGCTGAGGCAGGACTAGAATTTAGAGTCTCCTGATTTTTATTTTTATTTTTCTAGGTAACCTATGTCCTTACAGATGTTTGCTAAAGTATATGTGAGGCTGTGAGACTCAGTCAAGCCCACTCATAAAACAGCTAGATCAATGGTTCTCAACCTTTTTAATGCCGCGACCCCCAACCAGTCATAAGTCGAGGACTACTCAACCGGTCGTAAGTCGAGGACTACTCAACTGGTGCAGCACCATTTGCAGAATGGAACTTTTGGCGGGCTCAGCAGGGCAAAGACAGCCTGGACAATTCCTATTGGCTTTTCAAAAGCCAATAGAATAAAAGGGAGTAGCACAGCTAAGGAAAAGGGGAAAAAAATGGCGGACTGCGTTGTTTGGCGACCCCCATGAAATGGTCATTCGACCCCAAATGGAGTCCCGACCCACAGGTTGAGAACCACTGAGCTAGATGTTATTGCAATTATGTGGTCTTGGTTGCAAATGTTTTGAAGCCTTAATCGGTCAGCCATAGTGGTTGGGAGAAAAACCAAAGAAACAAGCCTGGAAGAAAGGCAAGATACCAGCCTAACAAATGCAGTTAAGTGTTGCATAAAATATTGCTACCATATCTGGGCTGCAAATATCCAAATCATTTCAAGATGATAGGAAATACAGAAACTTTTTCTGCCATCTAGTGGTCACCTAGATTTTTAAAAGTCCAAACTAGACAGCCCATACCTATTATTATCTCCCCCCCCCCCCCCGCCCAAGATATAAGATAGGCTTGTACTATTTCCTTTCATTTCACTTCAGGAGAGTCAATGAAGTTGTGTCCTCCTCCTCCACCTGATCTGATGAAGTGCCTGCCACTTTGCTGGGGGGTGGGGATGGCAGATGGGTGGAACAAAGAATGGTGAACCATGGAGAAAACTGCACTCCTGTTCCCCGAGGGCCCCTTCCCTCCAGGAAGAACCATCAGTGCCTCCCAATCAGCTCAAACTTACCAGCAAACAACTGGTTTCTTCTCCAAACTAGCCACTGCTGTTGAAAGAGATTTCAAATTTCAGCCTCTATTCCAAAACAACCAATACCCACTTCCCTATTGGGTCCAGCCACCAGCTGTTTGGCCACAGGGGCCAGAGGGAGGTGGGAAAGAGGGTGGGGATACACCTCTTCCATTTTTCTTTGCATCAAGCAACCTATGGATTTCCAGGAAGTGTAGTCAGAAGATGAGGCGGTGCTGAAGTGGCCACAATTTTAACAAATTTCAGTCCCATGGGAGCAACGGGTGCTGGATTTTGGATGCATTTTGTAAGTTAGCCCTTTCGATCCAAAACTTGCTCTATGATGCACTGCTTTGCCCAATTGAAGATTACAAATTATCAAACAGGTATAAGAATTTTAGTCATATATGGATATGTATAAAGTCTTAAACTGGACTAGGCTGGCAGGGAAGGTATCTAATTGTGATTACATAACTGCCAGATGCTACAGGATTGCAAAGATTGCAATCATGTGACCATAGGGATTGTCAGAGCCCCTCAAATGTATTTGCCTTTAATCCTTCCCTTTTTTCCCTTTTTTCGCTTTTGCTTATGTATTCTTGGGGCTTGCCATATTGTTGGGGGGAGGGCGCTTGCAGGGGGAATGTTTTTTGCTTTGCTCTGCTCTGCATGAGATGCCCTCCCTGAAAACATCTGCCTTACCTCCAGACAACAGATCCCGGGACCGTTGGGAAACGAAACTGAGAGAGACCTTGAGATGGGTGCTAAGTCTCCAGCTTCTCATAACATGGTGGACCTGTGGATTGGCTGGATTTCAACCGGACGGTTGGACACTGGGGGGGGAGGAGTTTTGAATTGCCTTTTTGATGTAATCCCTTCTGTGCCAAATCTTTAGACCTTGCTTTACTTTCTTGCCATCACTAAGCTGGCAATCAGAACTACAAGACTAGTTGTAATCGCTACTCTTTCAGCACCATCATAATGTAGAGTGGTCACTGAATGAGTCATATTTAACCAAGGACTACCTGTATACAATTACAAGCATGCCCAGTTGTTTGGTTATCAATTCTCAACAGGCAGCAAGAAATATCGCTCTGTTATGTTTTGCACAAAAAATGTCACCATGGTGGCATGGTTGAAAAAAAATATACATTTATTTGAGGAGATAAACTAGAAAATCTCATTACTACAATATTTCTTTGTTACTGTTTGGAATCCATCTAGAGTCTCTGTGAGTGAGTAGGCGGCTATATAAATGTTTTAAAATAAATAAACCAATTACTCAAAATAGGAAGCAACTACTAGAGCTACTATAACATAGGTCTCAGTTTCATATTGAGCTTGAACCCAAGTGTCTCTTGCGACATCCCACACCCATCTGCTGGCAATCTGAAGAAAAAAACAACAAAGTAGCAACAAATTAGCTAACATACATTTTAAAATTATAATTAATAATCACATAACAAATCTATTGCAACAATATATTATGCTGAGACTGTTGGATTATTGTCTGTTCAGTTCAACAGAATTATCTATAAATTGCCAAAAGTTAGAGTTAAACTGCAACAGTTGAAATAATTTCTGCAATGTCACTGCATAATATGTAACATGGTGACATGATGATTAATCAAACTTGATTTAATAAAAATGTAAAGAAGTTTAATTTAAGAGCAAACATTACATATGGAAGAAGATAACAGCCCTGCCCAGTTTACAATAATATGGCAAAATCAGGGGTCTTCAAAATTGGCCCTTTTGTGACTTGTGGACTTCAACTCCCAGAATTCTGGGAGTTGAAGTCCACAAGTCATAAAAAGGCCAACTTTGAAGACCCCTGGGCAAAATGAATGCAAATTAAGAAAAAAAATCTGAAAGAAAATGCAATGCTGTACAAATAAAAAATTCTATCTAAAATGTCTATAAGACATTGGAGAGGTACCAAACTAGTATTAGAATTAACCAGATTATTTTTAAAAAAGTGTATCTTCATGAGCATAGCCTAAAATATAAAAGAAGACGTAAATTAAAACCCAGTCCTGTAATTAATCAAGAGCTATTTAAAAAATTATATCTAGCATTATACAGAAAGCAAAGTTAGAGCAAATTCCCTGTATATCAAAAATGTTATTCATGGAAATGGGAATTATATATTGCAGACTGGCATGTAGGCGATCTTCACAATACTGATATACATGGTTATTTTGCAAAAATTAAAATATACAATTTAGAGTAATTTACCCCAACATTTAAATTTTAAAACTGATTCACATTTCCCTGTTTTTACTTCAAGAGGAAAAAAAAATCCAGAGGCCTATGTAATTCTGTTATAAAAATAATGCAGAATCTTTAAAAGCATGGGGAAAATACCAATTTTATTTCTGAATAAAACTTTTATGTTCATGAGGTGAATTATTGTGAGTTAAGATCATACGAATTCAGAGGAAAATGCAATCCATACAATATGTCTCAATTCTTTCCCTATTATATAGTTAACATTCCCACATCATGCATCTAATGAAGTGTACTACACTGTATTCATGAAAGTTTATGCTGATAATTTCTTGCTCCCCTACTTTATTAAATAATTTGAAAAAATATTCCGCCAAGTGAAAAAATTGTATATAAATTATATACAAATATACAATTATATTTGTATATAATTTCTTATTTACTGATCTATTCATGATTCAGTTGAGTCTTAGTATATTACATGTATTTGATTATATAATTAAAAATATTGCTATTTAATTATGTAAGGGGTAGAAATACATGTTTATAAATCCTACATACCTGTACCTACATACTTGTAACAATCAACCCAGCTCCTTGACACTTGAATATACAATTTAATTATATAAGGGGCCTGCCTCAACTCAGGTCCAGCAAAAAAGGCTTGTTGCAGGTTCTATCCACCAGAGAAAGCTGGAGTGACCCAAGAGAAGGGCGTTTTCTGCTGTTGCACCTGTTGCCATTTACACACACCTCAAAATCAGGTTGGCCCCAACCTTGCTGGCCTTCCAGAAAGAACTGGCTTTACCATCTGACTTGGGGATCAGAGGGGGTTATCAATCCTATAAAAAGGCTGTGCTGTTCTTGAATGGTATGCTGGTGATTCTACTGTATAGCTTTTTTTTATGGGTGCCCGACCTACGTTGGACACTGGGTCTCCACTCCAGACCCCCTCGGAGAAACTCCGCTGGGAGGAATGCAGATCCATACCAGAGAAGCCCCTATGGGGAATCTCTGGCACCTTGGAGACCGGCCACCCCTTTCGACGATGGAAACCATGGAACGGGCACAGGAGGATTCCATCCCTCCTGCAATACTATATACTGGATCCCCAGCAAAGCTTTGGTAGTAGCCATATTATCTCTGAGATATGGTTCCTCCTTGTCACCACTCAGAATCAATTCCACTTGCTGTGAATGATTTTGTACAAGGGCACCTTCTGCAGTTCATATATTTGGTTTGGTAATGTTCATAGATTCATAGGCTTGGTAATGAATGCAGCTTACATGTGTATGAGGTAGGAGGGAACTTTTTACCAACATATCCATAACTTGCCTTTTCTGTCACACCTGATGGAACACCAAAAAGTAACCAGTTGTGGGGGAATTTGCACATGCAGCAAACTGCCATGCTTTCCCCCCCACAAACCTCATAACCTTTTGATACCCTTTGTCCCAAGGAAGCAGCCAAAAGATCACCCCCTTTTGATTTAATATCTTACCTACCTAAACAGATAATATGCTTAGTTCCTTCCCCTATCTCTTCCCATCTTTATCTCTTCCTGTCTTTCATCTACCTGTATTTGTCTTTACCTGATCTCTGACCATGTAATGTGTTACTAGAAAATAATTGCTTATATGAAGGAATTTTTCAATTACTTTATGTCAACAGCTAAAGGTTAAACTTCTAAATGTAAAATGTCAGCAGTTAATGGCAAAGCCTATGTATGTAAAAAGTATATAAGAAGGAATAAACTCAGAGTTTGTCAAGCTGTGTCCTGCAGCTTCAAACCTCTGCTCAAGACATGCCTGTGTCTTTTTCTTAGCATCCTACATCTGGCGCCCGAACAGGGACAGCCCCCCCATGGAGCAACTGGGACAGCCCCCCCCCTTCTGAGGGAGCAACAGCCAACTTACTTACCAGCGTCTGGAATAGACCCCTAAGTGCACTTTCGTCCTACGGGACCCCTCAGTGGTAAGTAAGGGTTGCAATCTATCTCAGCACCAGCAAAGGAACTCAGATTACTATTACACACATCAGGCATGAAAACGCCTGATCCAGACAAAAGGAAGCTGATGGGTGAGGTAGGGAAACATTCCCCTTGATATCCTAAGCGCTGGACGCTTAGGTTACAAGATTGGGAAAAAAGTAGGGCATACTTTACATCTTGAATCTTGGGCTCCAGTACAGGTATTACATCAATGGCATCAATGCCATCAAGCAGTGGAAAAATTTGGCTCAGATGCTTCAGCAGGGTAACAATTAACTACAAGCCCCACACCTGATTAGGATCAAAGTAAAAACTGTGCCTCCGAAAGCATCTTTAATTGGATTTTCAGCTCCTTCTGAAGAGGCTAATTCTTTTGCCTCCTTACAGCCACCATACACCCCCATAAGGAAAATATTAGAGGAACAATCTTGAAGTAGAAAAAATATATATGGGGAATGGTCAGAGGAATTTAAAGAAACAAATTAAATTAAAATGTACTCCTCTGCAATGTGTTTTGAACAATTGGGATGTTTTGAAACTTCAAGTAGCTGTTAAGTTTAACCCTGTCAGACAATGTCTGATGGTGCTTTGTGTTGATGTGTAGAAGTATAAATAATCTTTAACAAGACAACACTGAAAAATTTTGTAAACCTCCTTTTGGCTAGTTTATTGATAACAACTAAAGCCACGGAAGAAAAAGAAAAGAAAATTCAAAGAACTGAAAGCAAGTTTTTTTTTTCTTTTTTCCCCTTTTAATCTGGCTCTATTCAATTCCCTTTTGTCAAGAGGTGAGGAGAGGAGGCTGCTACATTTCCCTCACCCTTCACACCTTCAATATTCCTTTTAGTCTTTCCCCAATGTCTTTTGAAATTGCTGGGATAAGTTGGAAGTAACCAAAAATGTTCTCCTCCTTTTTGATTAAAAGGGGAGGCCTGTTTTAGCCTCAAACCCCAAATTGATGTGTCTTTTGTTTATGTATATGTGTGTATATGTGTATATGTGTGTGTGGCCACCGAGAACATTATGCTTGGGCTTGGAATGGTGAGAAAAATAGGAGATGATTAAAAGGGCCCTATTAAAAAAAAAAACCACAAGTTTGGTTGGAATCATCTCGTGATTTTTCTCGCTTTTTGCAGGACAAGCCATATGTCAAAATCAATGTTGTTTTATTGGTATTTGTATATATATATGTTTGTCTGTGTTGTTCTGTGTTATTTCCAAGACTTGGAAGAGGGTCAAATCCTCTCTGATAACAACAGTACAAAAAGGCCTTATTTAAAAATAAATAGTTTGCCTGGAGAAAGTATAAAATGAAATATTTGTATGTGGAATTGTTTATACAAGCAGTTAGAATGAAAATGAATGAATTAATTTGTTGATACCTAAGTGTGTGTGTTAGCCCTCAAACCCCATGCCACCCACTCTCTCCCAGGCTGTAAAAGAAATAAAAAACTGCAGATTTTATTGTTGTAATTGAAAAGTAATAGTAAGTGTTTGCATGAGAAGAGTCCCATGGAGAATGTGTGAGAGAATTTATGGAAAATGCATGTCAAGGAGAGAAAACTAATTTTTAGTGGTGAAAAGTTTGTAACAAAAAACTTTTCCTGTCTCTTTTGTTTTTCAACTGGCTGTGTTGCTTTAAGAGCAAGAGAGACAGAAAGAAGAGGGGGGGAAAAACTGTTCGTTTTAAACTTTTTTTTCCTCTCTGCTTAGAATTCCAGTTTGCAAATAGAGATGAAATTTAATCCCGCTCTTGCTGTTTCAGCTGGCAAAATCTTTATCTATCAACCAAAAGAAATAACTCTGAATTGTTTTATTTAAGTTTTGTAAATGTTTAACCTACTTAATATAAACTTGTTTCCATCTTTGATTAACTTGGAATTTAACTTATTGACCAAAGGAAAACAACCTGGAGATCTCATTTGTAGTTCCACTTGCAGCATTTACCACAGTTGAGCAAATTAAGTACTTGAGTACTCAATTTGTGGACAGAATTCCACATAGGAATTGTCATTTAACACTTTTGATATTTCTTACTAGTAAGATACTTACAGGAATATTAGCTGTGTTAGAAGCGCAAAAAGTATATTGTATTGAATGGCTTTACTTATCCCATCCCAAAATGTTTTATCTTTTATCCAGGCTGTTGCTGAAATAACCTTAGGACACAATCAAGCTTGTTCTTGAAATGGGACTGATTTAATTAATACTGTTATTCCTATCCCAAAATTTGATGTTCAATTTTATTTTCAGAATAACTTATATCTTCTGCTGCTATTTTAGCTTTCCATACCTTTTAACTTAATCTCTTACTCTCATTATGTGTGCCAACTTATATTTAATTTTACAGGTGCTTACATCATGCCCAGGATCGACCCCAATCTTATGGCTTTGTTTTTAACTTTACAGCACCTATCCTTTGTTTCTCAGATATATATCGGTCCTTTAAGGACTGCCTTCATAAACAAATAAAAAAGGAGGGATCAAGGGTACCTAATTTGGCATGGATAAATAATCAAGTCAATAAAGTCCTAATAACTTTAAATCAGCTAAATATTTCTTTTCAAAAAACTACTGCCTACCAGCGTCACTTTCAGCAGAAAGCTGTGCTTCTTAATCCATTGGTATGTTATCGGCAATTGTCTGATAAAACCTGGTTAGATCCAATTCCCTTACTAACTTGGGGGCGAGGCTATGCTCTGTGCTTGCTCCTACAGGCCCTCTCTGGATTCCAGCCCAGTGTGTGCAACCAGCCAAAGATGTCATGGCATCAAGTCCAGAACCCAATACTGGAAATGAAGCAGGTGACTCTTCAGACAGCACAATGTCCCTTTTGCTCTCACCATCGCAGTTGACCAACAACCTGGGGCGATGTGAAAAACCTAATCTCCAAAGCACAGATGGTTCTGTGGCAACAGGGAAAAGAACTTACACCAGAGAATTTATGCACTGCCATATTTGTGGTTTTGACTGCAAATTCCTTAGTCATTTTTTGCCTCTCTTTCCTTCTTAATTGCTGTGTGGGGGCTCAAGCTCTCCCACTCATCCTTTAGAATCACGGATGAAATATAATATTTGGGTGCAATTAGCTAATATCACAAAAGTGACAGACCTTTGTATTTCTGAATCATATGATATGGAAAATCTACTCTCTACCTGTCTTATACCTTTGTGTGTTCCAGCTTCAATTTTTAAAAAAAAATTATACTGGTTTAAACAATTTTTTATCAGACAATGAATTTCATTATGCAACTATGTCAAGCTAGGGTCATGCCTCTTACATGTTAACCCTTGATGCTATTGTTTTACATACACCAATTATAGCTGTTCCTACAAATCTTACTTATGCAAAAATTGTCAATTGTACTACTTCATCTAAAAAACCTCATTGTATACACATCAGTCAAAGAATTTTAAATTGTACCTCCTTTCAAGAGATATCTTTTAATTATGCACATATATGGTTATTCAATGTCTTTTTTTCCCCTCTACTTTCAATTTTCCACACTAAACTACCATTAACTTACCTCAGGAACAAATTATGCTTTGTATAAACAGGTGCAAAGTTATATGTCCCCTGACTAAGACCCACTAACTACTCCAGCTTAGAATAATGTCCTCATTAATAAAATAGAGAAAAGTGAGATGTGGGGGAATTTGCATGCGCAGCAAACTGCCATGCTTCCCCCCCCACAAACCTCATAACCTTTTGATACCCTTTGTCCCAAGGAAGCAGCCAAAAGATCACCCCCTTTTGATTTAATATCTTATCTACCTAAACAGATAATATGCTTAGTTCCTTCCCCTATCTCTTCCCATCTTTATCTCTTCCTGTCTTTCATCTACCTGTATTTGTCTTTACCTGATCTCTGACCATGTAATGTGTTACTAGAAAATAATTGCTTATATGAGGGAATTTTTCAATTACTTTATGTCAACAGCTAAAGGTTAAACTTCTAAATGTAAAATGTCAGCAGTTAATAGCAAAGCCTATGTATGTAAAAAGTATATAAGAAGGAATAAACTCAGAGTTTGTCAAGCTGTGTCCTGCAGCTTCAAACCTCTGCTCAAGACATGCCTGTGTCTTTTTCTTAGCATCCTACAACCAGTAAAGTTGCAACAACTTTAGTCATTTTAACTGATATAAATAAAGTGCTTTATTTCAACAAGTAAACTACAGTAGAACTGGATGGTGATAATATGTGCAAAGCCATTTATTATATCTTACTAACTTCAACCAGAGCTAATTTTCTACGGATGAATTTGAACCCAATGAAAAAAAAAGTTTCAGCTATAATGGCCATTACTTACATGCTTTGCTTGCATTTTTCTATATGCATCTGACTGACTGTTCTTGAAAATGCTAGATTATAAGGCTTTGTGTACAATTTAGCAAGGTAGTTCATTCCACTTTAGTAATCTGATAGGATTCCATTTGAAAAGCAATATTCTGCATAACTGCAACAGGCAAATGTGGGCATTTTTCAGAGAACAGAATAGGGTAGTTTATATACTTACATGTATTGACTGACCAGTCTTTTCCACAAGAAATACCTGAACTATATACTTGTAACGATCAAACCCCAGTTCCTTGACACCTGCTAATACATCTTCTGAGATAGCTGTACAAGTGGGGGCACCATTGATTCCAATATATTTGAAATCTTGAAGTTTCTGCTATTAAAGATCAAACAAAATTGCCAATAATTATATTAAATATGCTTTTCTATAAATAGTCCATAAAGTACTCATTTAACATTTAAACTATTCTATGTTTGATACATCCTGTAGGTATATTGTTTTTCAGTAAATATAGTATTCAATAGTTTATAGCATTCAATAGGATTTGTAACTAATCTAACCTATATAATAAGACTGTACTCAGTTTGAAGGTTTCAGTTTTAAATAAGCTATGCATTATCCCACTGTTTTTAGGGGGGGGAGAAATGTCAAACTGCTGTATTTTGGTAGAGCACAATTGCAACATTAAAAATAAGCCCATTTTAGGAACCATTTTATTTGAAAAGTTAAATATAATTTCATAGGATTTTAGAATATATTTGTGCTTATTTTTTTAGTTTCAGACCACTTTAATTTTAGAGATTATATTCCCCAAGAAATTCTGGAAACTAATTTGTGAGAAATGTTCAGAATTCAGTTGTAATATCTCTGGTTTGTCCATAGAGGTAGGACCATAGAGGTTGTCCATACTGTAGGATGTGACCAAAAGTTAGCAGTTAAATTATGTCAGGTGGTGTGGATCTTAGTGAAGGATGGCCCTGCCCCTTTCAAAAGCCCAGCGCTGAAGTCCAATACTTTTCACTTCTTGTTTCTTCTTACACAAGAAAGTTCAGCACAAAGAGAGAACTAATGTTCCTTGCATGGACAAAAATAATTTGCCCAGGACAAAGTAGGATGTCAACGCTTCCCAACTCACCCTGCAAGTCATCAGTCATTTTTCTTCTGGAAAACACTAAAGGCAGCCAGGAAAAAGTATCCCTTACAGGCTATTGGTGGCCAAAGCAAAAGTGACCAACTTGGACACTTGCAAATGCACTCATGGGAATTTCAGTAATTTTAATTAAAATTAATTATATACACATGGACACACACACACACGGACACTTCTCCAATACTGCTGATATTTCTATTAGTGTATGATGACATGGAGCGCAGTGGCTCATGTGGTTAGGATGCTGGGTTGAAGGTTAGGATGCTGGGCTGAAGTTTAACAAGCCTGCCTTCGAGGCCTGAGTGCTGTTGCGTGGCTGGGTGAGCTGCCATCATTTGCTCTAGCTCCTCAACGGGAACATGAAAGGAGACCCCACGGGCATCCTCTAGGCAACAGTGATATCATTGGCTAATCCTTTCAACCCAGAAGTGCCTTAAAAGGGGCTTCCGACACAAACAGGCCTGGAGGAAGCTCCATTTACAGGTAGTCCTCAACTTACAATAGTTCATTTAGTGACCAAAGTTACAATATTGAAAAAACTGACGTGACTATTTTTCACACTTATGACTGCTGCAGCATCCCCATGGTCACATGATCAACTGGTTCATATGATGGTTGTAGTGTCCTGGGATCACGTGATCAGCTTTTGCGACCTTCTGACAAGCAAAGTCAATGGGGAAGCCAGATTCACTTAACAACCAAGTTACTAACTTAACAAATGCAATTATTCACTTAACAGTTGTGGCAAGAAAAGACATAAAATAGTGCAAAACTCACTTAACAAATGTTTCACTTAGCAACATAAATTTTGGGCTCAATTGTGGTCATAACTCAAGTACTACCTGTACCTTAATAAGTTATTTGCTATAAACTACATTTTAAATGAACTATGATGTTGATAGGAGATATAATAAAAAGCATTAAGTAATATAACTTATAGTTTGGAGCCTAATTCTTATTAGAAAATACTCTACCTTTAGAATATCTTCAGCTTTCTTCCTTACTATGTGAGCCTCACATTTTCTATAAGGTTCCATCCTGTAAGTGTTAGCATATTTCGGTCTCGCAAAGCTAGTCTTGAATATCAAGAGCTCGTTTTTTGTAAAATCTGTGATGGATTCATCATCTGGGTCCATACCTGGCATGTCATAGCTTGAAGCTCTGTGTTTTCCTGACTGTAAAGGCTAAACCCCCCAATACATAAAGACAACTTTATTTCACTCACAAAATTAAAATGATAAAATTTAAACATAGTAAGGGAGAATTAGATTTTTTTCCAGCATGCCCCACTTTTTTCATGTACAATTCAAAATGGTTAAAAAACCAAAATTCCCCACAACAACCCTATGAGATTAGTTGCACTAAGAGAGTGACTGGCTCAAAGTCACCTAGCCAGTTTTTCAAGGCAAGACTAAAACTCACAGTATCCCAGTTTGTAAGCCAGCATTACTATACCAAAGTGGCTCTTTAACTGAATGTAATGGAATGTTCTAATTTACAGCCACATAAATTAATTCTGCAGTGTATATATTCCATTTTGAGGGATTCATTATAACATAGAACAGTATACTTGACCAAAGACTCAGATAATGGTCCTCCAAGGGAAAGTCAAATAGGAGTTTCTATTATGTTATTCATACATAGGGTACTTGAAGAATTTGTGAAACAAAAACATTCCAATTTGAATTTTGATAGCATAATAGGTAAGAGTAGCAAAGATAATACATGTACAGAGAAGCTAGAATGACATACATTTAAGTTATTACAAGCAACAAAATGTACAACATTATGGAAGAACAAGCAACAGAACATAGTCAAACTAGAGTCTTGGACTTCAAGAGAGCTAATTTCAATAAACTTAGAGAGGGCTTGGGAAGGATTCCATGGATGAGAATCCTCAAGGGGAAAACAACTCAAGAAGCTTGGGAAATTTTGAAAAATGAGATAATAAAAGCCCAGTCTAGCACAATACCAACAAAGAGGAAAAATAACAGCTCTCAAAAGAAACCAGCATGACTGCATAAATAACTCTCTGACAAATTGAAAGATAAAAAGGACAAGTATAGAAAGTGGAAAGCAGGGCACAGAACTAAGTTAGAATATCAGCAAATAGCCCAAGCCTCCAAAGATGAAGTGAGTAAATTCAAGGCTCAGAATGAACTAAGTCTTGCGACCAAAGTCAAAAATAACAAAAAAAGCTTCTTTCAACGTGTAAAAAACAAGAAAAAAGTGAAGGAAACGATTGGTCCATTAGTGGGTGAAAGTGGCAAGAAGGTGACAAGCAACAGGGAGAAAGCAGAACTATTTAACTCGTTTTTTGCATCTGTCTTTACATAAAGGGAAAAAACAGACCAACTATCAAAAATAGTGCCATAAAAAACAGAACAGAAACACAAGTTAAGATAGGCAAGAAAATGGTAAGTGAGCACCTGTCCAGCCTAGACGAGTTCAAATCACCAGGACCAGATGGATTACACCCCAAGATTCTCAAGGAACTGGCAGATGTGATCTCAGAACCACTGAACTATATTTTTCAAAGACCTGGAGCACTATGGGAACTACCAGAGGACTGGAAAAGAGCTGATGTAGTTCCCATCTTCAAAAAAGGAAAAAAAGATGGATCCAGGAAATTACAGACCTATCAGCCTGACCTCAATACCTGGGAAGATCCTGGAAAAGATAATCAAACAACGAATCAGCGAATACCTAGAGGCAAACAAAGTCATTACTAAAAGCCAACATGGGTTTGTCAAAAATAGATCATGCCAGACAAATCTTATTGCATTCTTTGACCAAGTGACAAAATTAGTGGATCAGAGGAATGCTGTGGACATAATTTACTTGGACTTCAGTAAGGCATTTGATAAAGTAGATCACAACCTACTACTTGATAAGATAGAAAAATGTGGGGTAGACAGCACCGCCACCAGATGGATCCGTAGCTGGCTAACCAGCCGTACTCAGCATGTGGTCCTCAATGGAACCGCATCTACATGGAGGGAAGTGTGTAGGGGGTGCCCCAGGGCTCTTCAACATCTTTATCAACGATTTGGACGAGGGGATAGATGGGGAACTCATCAAATTTGCAGACGATACCAAGCTGGCAGGAATAGCCAACACTCCAGAAGACAGGCTTAAGATACAGAAGGATCTGGACAGACTTGAACACTGGGTGCTATCTAACAAAATGAAATTCAATGGTGAAAAAAGCAAGGTTCTACATTTAGGCAAGAAAAACCAAATGCACAGCTACAGTATAGGGGGTACCTTGCTCAATAGTAGTGACTGTGAGAGGGACCTCGGAGTTCTAGTGGACAATCACCTAAATATGAGCCAGCAGTGTGCTGCAGCGGCCAAAAAGGCCAACACAGTGCTAGGCTGCATTAACAGTAAGATAGAATCAAGATCACGTGAAGTGTTAATACCACTTTACAATGCCTTGGAATACTGCATCCAGTTTTGGTCACCATGATGTAAAAAAGAAGTTGAGACTCTAGAAAGAGTACAGAGAAGAGCAACAAAGATGATTAGGGGACTGGAGGCTAAAGCTTATAAGGAATGGCTGCTGGAATTGGGTATGTCTAGTTTAATGAAGAGAAGGATGAGGGGGGATATGATAGCAGTGTTCCAATATCTCAGGGGCTGCCACAAAGAAGAGGTAGTCAAGCTATTTTCCAAAGCGCCTGAAGGCAAGACAAGAAGCAACGGATGGAAACTAAGCAAGGAGAGAAGCAACCTAGAACTAAGAAGAAACTTCCTGACAGAACAATTAACCAGTGGAACAACCTGCCTCCAGAAGCGGTGAATGCTCCAACACTGGAGATTTTTAAGAAGAGACTGGACAGCCATTTGTCCGAAATGGTATAGAGTTTCCTGCCTGAGCAGGGGGTTGGACTAGATGACTTCCAAGGTCCCTTCCAACTTTACTATTATTATTGTTGTTACTTTACAGTACATAAACAGAATATAGTAGAAACCAAAATTAACCCTTCTGAACAGGGTCGCCTTGGTTCTGAAACATGCTTGACATAGACCAATATTTCTCAAACTTGGTAACTTTAAGAGGTATGGACTTCAATTCCTAGACTAGAGCATGCTGGCTAAGGGAATTCTGAGTGTCCACACGTCTTAAAGCTGCCAGGGTTGAGAAAAACTGGCAAGACAACTTTACTATTGTTAACAACAAGCGCTCTTCGTGTACCTTAACAGAACTTTGGACCGAGCCCACATCTACAGCTTTTTAACCGAGCAAAAGAGCCATCTCCGGCTTTCCAAAACGCACGATTCCCACCAAAACAGATGCAAACAAGCTTTCCCTACCACCCCGCAGCCGATCGCGTGATCCCGCCCACTCAGTGGGAAACCTCAAACCTGAGGCCCGCCCCAATGTTGCTCCGCGCACGCGCAGATAGAGCTGTGCCGCCTAGTCCGACACGACCGACCTGATCTTTGTCTGTAATGCTGTGTTTTTTTCCCCATGCCTGTCCGGCGTGGGAGGGAGTGACGCCCAGCTTTTTTTTGGCTTTATCCATTGGGACTCCTCACTTTAGGCTACTGCCTGGAGCGGACGGAGATTTACCGGCGCAGCAACCGTCCACACGGACCCGTTAGGAGCAGCCTTTCAGAGGCTCGAGACTGATCTCTATCCGTGACGTCAGTAAGCACGAGCTATGCAACCCAAGAACCAGAACCGAACAGAGGTAAATGCCGCGGATCAGACTTCCCATAATCTGGTCCCATAAGAGGAGTTGTAGTTCAGTTATTGGGGCGCGACGTTAGGAGCGAGAGCGCCTCATATCGGTTCAGGTCGAGTTTTTTATTGTTGTTGCCTAGCTTGCTATTTCCTTCTTTTGCTAAAGGCCAAGTTAAACAGTTTAGGGCAGGGTTCCTAAACCTTGTATCATCATACCTTCCTTCATTGTCATCTTAATGTACACACCTCCTTTAAAAATACAAACACCAAAATGAACACAGGAGAACAAGGAGAATAATACAATGAAACTGCAGGAAAGGTGGATTTATTAAAAATGTAATTAAAAGGTTGCTCAGAGATCCTCTGGACTCAGCTCCGCCCCAAGGGAGGCACACCTCACCGTTTGGCAAACCTGGTTTAGGGGATTAGCGTTGGGAAAGGGAGACATGGTGAGTTTATCTTCTTTGCAACTTATTTGCTGCTGTTAAAGTTCCAGTCCTAAGGAGAGGAAAGGAACACAAGTCATAATTGTAATGGAAACTAAATATTATTTCACAGCAGTGGTAGAAAGTTCTAATTTTGCTGACAACACTTTGAGTTGTGACTTTTCACAAGTTACAGGTAGTCCTTGACTTACAGCCATTTGTTTAGTGACCATTCAAAGTTACAATGGCACTGAAAAAAGAAATGAGCGGTTTTCATACATATGACTTATGACTCATACTCATGGAGCATCCCCTGTGATAATGTGATCAAAATTCAGATCCTTGGCAATTGGCATGGATTTCTGATGGTTGCAGTGTCCTGAGGTCATCACCTTTAGTGACCTTCTGTCAAGAAAATACCAATTTAACAACTACAGTGATTCACTTAGCAACTGTGGCTGGAAAGGTCACAATTGTCTTGCTTAACAACGGAAACGTTGGGCTCAATTGTGGTTGTAAGTGGAGGACTACCTGTATATGCTTTCACCCTGTCAGTTAGACGGAAATGCATCTTAAATTCAGAGGTTCTGTGACTGCCTGGCATAATTAGTATTAATGTTGAACTGTTTGCTTAATTGTGACGTTTATTTTGTTATACTGTATTTGTTCTGGGATTACAAAGTAGTTGCATTGTGGATTGATGCTTTTTTTTAAAAAAAAAATTCTGATGTGATGTGTTAAGATTATCAGTCTGACCCTTAAAGCTATCATTGACCACTAAAAGGCAGAAATAACAGTTTTTTGTTTCTCCTACTCAGAAGCCATCTTTCCCTAATGTAAATGAAAAAAAAAACCTCTTCTGTTTATCCAGAGGAATTAAAAGCATCATCCACAGCCAACGAGGAATGCATTTATGCAGTTCTGTCACAGTTTCATTACAAGTGATGGCTGTTTTATTCCAAATTTATTTATTAGAACCATGTTGGTTCTAATATGTTGGGACCCATAATTGGTGAAATGAGATGGGCAAGGATGACCTGTGGCTTTCCTGGTTGAACTGAAGGGTTCCCTAGAGACTCTCTGGTTAAGCCTACCTTCAGTTGTGGAAGTGTTCCAGATCCAGATGATCGATACATGGCCATAAAGAGTTGAGATTTTCAGTATTTTTTCAACCCATGATTATTATCAGCTACTAAATTTTTAGACATCCTTTGAAATATAGAGAGAAGATTTCTGGTTGTAAACTCAGTTATATACTTCCCAGATAATAACATTTGACTCAATGACACAATAGGAAGGCATTTTCTTAGACCCAGCACATCTCTCATCTGATACTGAGGTTTATTTACACTAAAGGCTTGTCAAACAATTTTATTCAATCCTATTTGTAGAATGTGGGCACAACAACAGGGTGTGAAAAAAGTAGTTCATTGCAGGATTGTTTTCAAGATACTTTCAGTTCCTGAAGTATGAAGATAAATGGCCCAATACTTACTTTGACAGAGTGCTTTTTAAAATATTTTAAATGATAATAAAAAACATAAGCAGGAATTATCTACGATATCTTTGGGCTGAGAAGTAGGGAGGAAAAATGCTGTTGCAGTGTTTAACCAACACCCATGATTTTTCTCTTTACTCTGGATTACATTAACTTTCATCCTACAGGGGAAAGGTCAAAAACATCATAACATCAAATCTCCAAGTAATATAGTTGGAATTTTATTTTCATTCTTGCCATCAATACAAAATATTTGTAAAATGTGTAAAAGTAATTCTGAGAGTAATAATTGTGTTCACAAAACAAAATAATTGTCTGCAATAATTACCTTATTTTGTATCACCATTTGCCTTTTTATTTCCTTTCAGATGCTCTTAGCTGAGCCACCATCTACCTGCCTTTCCTCTACAGTGTACTATATGGTTTGTGAAGCTGGATTTGAGAGGAAATCAAGCTATGCTCTCAGTAGTATTATATGCAGCACCGGTGAAATAAATTGGGAATTCATCACAGAACATGTACAATATGGAGAGCAAGGTCTCTGTTGTTTTTAAATGTAGTGTATTGTTATACTTGGGACAGTAAGACATTGTTTCTGAATTAGCATATGCAATGGAGATTATTTTACTTGTTTGGTGGGGATCTTTTTATTAAAAATAATAGAATTAGAATTTCTAATGTTAGTTATTTAGCTTCAATGGCTAAATGGTCATTATTTAAGATTTTCTACAGAAAAAGACAATTCCTTAATGAGTTTAGGGGAACCCTTTCAGGAGAAAATATTTTTGAATCTTTTTATATTTAGCAGCATTTGACAGTATTCTTGAACTAATTGGTTATTTTTGTTTTTTAGACCCAACATTGGATTATATCAAAAGTGTGAGATCTCTTGGTCCTTTATGTGAATCTATTCACTTGCATTTGAAATCACTTACCATGGAGCAATTTGAAAACCAGTTTGTGGTGTGGCTTCAATGGACAAACTGCCCAGAGGTAGGAAAACGTTGGATTGGATACTTGTTCCAAATTTATGGATGGATGGATACACACATATATACATATACACACATTTTTTTAGCATATGGCACATCATGCATGAACTTGCAATATATATTAATATTGTGCCTGGATTAAAAAACACAATAAAATATTAATATTAAAAAGAGCCATATTCACACATACTAAAATAGGAAATCACTGTATATGATTCTTCGTTAAGGAATATAAATAAATAAAGGAATGTGGGAGTTGTAAGTATCACAATGGGAAATAAAAGAACAGAAAGCAAGGATAATCAATTACTTGGTGTGAATATTTAGAAATCTGTAGCTAGTTGCAAATACATTTTGGTAGGAGAAATTAGCTTTTTTGAATACAATAGCACAGAGTTCTCCAAACAGGTAATGTTCCCTCAAAAATGTGTTTTGTCTTCTAAAATCCTAGTGAGGCTAGGATATCTGTTCTGATAATGTATAGTTCTGTGGTTTTCCATAGAAGAATTGTGCTCTGGTGCAGAGAGTCTTACCCCAGATATAGAGCTGTGATAAAATTGATCATCAAAATGGAAATCAATTAAAAAAAAAAGAAGGGCCAGCAAAATATGCAGGCGTTTTCTCCCATGTATACAAAATAAATCTAGAAAAAATTATTTTGCGGCTATCTCATGGATTGTATAAGTTAGCCAACAAGGATTTGATGGATGATTGTATTTCTTTTGATAACTTTTTTGGTCATTTCTAGTTCTGTGGAAGAAACATATAAATGCTAAATTGTCTTCTTTAACGTTAGTATTTCCAAAAAGAAGTTTAACATTTTAAATTTGTAATTTTGTGATTTTCAGATATAAGTAACTGTTAATGAAAAGTAAAAATATTCTTTTTAATCTGTCAACCAATGATTTTTTAAAAAACTTAATTGTTCTAGTTCAGTGGTATACGCAAACTTATTAAGCTCTATTTCTTCCTAATATAAATGCACTGATAAAAATAACATGGTTACACTTAATTCTTCTATCTTGTATAAACTACAGATATTTCTTGAAATGTTTGATACCGTAAGGAACCCACATGATGCAGCAGTTGCACTCAGTTTAATGAAGCTTACATCAAGTTTGGAACGAGCCTTGGGTGATGTAAGTGCTGAAATCTTGGAATCTGTCAGACTTGAGGTCAATGAGATCCTTTTTAAGAAATCAGTGTTTCACTTCCTTGTTTACTAATTAAAAGGTCACAGATTCAATATAATTACCAGTTGGTTTCTCTGTCCAAGCACTGGGAGTGATTGGCTTTATACATGTTTGCTGATAGAATGGACTTGAGAACAAGGCCGACTACATGCTTTAGAGAATTTTCTCACTCTATCTAGAACTTGAAACCTCTCTTAGAGTCATAAATCTTGCAATATTTTGGTCCAAAGCACTGCATTCTGTATGACTAATGCAACATTCATCCATACGGTAAATACTCCTACAATACATTTATGAAAAACTGAGCAAAGTCAGATGGGTTTAGATCAGATATGTCAAACACAAGGCCCGGGGGCCGGATGCGGTCCGCAAAGTGGTTTCATGTGGCCCACGAAGCCATCCTGGAAACAGTGAGGGAACGGCCCACGCTGCCTTGGCCCTGGCCCAGGCTGGCCGGGAGGGAGCCAATGTACAATTTTGTGGTGGCCATCTATGCTGAAACGCATTCAGTCTTAGCTCCATAAGGCTATCTGGAAACAGCAAGGAACCAGTCCCTGCCCCTGGATGCATGCTGGGGAGGTGTCACCCTTTGTGAGAAATGAAGAAATGCACCATTGCCTGGAAATGGCCAACAAATGGCCCTGGCCTACTTCACATATCCGGCTTAATGGGCTCCGGGGGAGGGGTTTCGGCAGGCAGCGGGGCGCTCTCCTCACAGCACCAAGAGGCTGACCGAGTGGCACGAATCTGATGAGAAGTGCAATGCTGCCTAGCCCCCAGCCTGCCCAGTTTCAACAGGCAGCAAGGCTCAACCTCTCGGCACTGTGAGGAGAGTGCCCCGCTGCCTGCCGAGACCAGGCAGGCTGAGGGCTGGGTAGCATTGCACTTCTTTTCAGATTAACACCACCTGGGTCAGCCTCTTGGAGGAGGTAAGTGCAGGTGGAGGAGGAGGTAAGTGCAGGTGGGCCCCCTTGGGGAAGTAGTGCTGGGCTTGGTGCCGCAGGTGCTCGAGGGCCAGGCTGGGCATTTCACCTCTGCTGCCCAGGGCTCTGGGCAGCCTGCAGCACCATCCAGCCCCCCCCACATGGGCTGAGAGGAACAGTGAGGCTTCTCCAGTGGACCATGCCTTGGCACTTGCCCTGGTCCCACCCCTTCTGCCAGAGACCCTCAGATCTGTCCCACTCCTGCCCAGGTCACCACAGGCACCATTGATGCGAACGATGTAGAGCTGGCCACGGGCTCCCAGTAGGCCACACCTACTCCATCCACGCCCACCCAGTAGGCTGCACCCACCCTGGCCACACCCACCCGGCCCCCCAAGGGCAACCGCAATGCTGATGCGGCCCTCACTGAAATTGAGTTTGACACCCCTGGTTTAGATACTTAGTTCATAGACATATTTATTTCATAACCTATGCGCTAATTTCATTTGGGCTTATCCCATGCTAGGTGTGTCTTACATTACAGTGCAAATACATTACAGTGACTCACTCTGGAAGCTTTTGGCCAAGAAGCAGGGAAGTCAAAATGGAGCAATCTTTTAATTATACCTCATTACTGGGTTTCTAAAAGCTAGCATTTTTGTATTTGTCAAAAAAAAATTGTGGCAGTTTTTAACTGGAGCATTTGTAATATCAATAATTCAGTGAAGAATATGTTTTAGTTTTCTGGTGTATGATAAACCCAGTGTCCTGTAATAAGAACTGAATGAGTTTTCTGCAGTCCTTCAGTTCATGTACATTTGGAAGTAAAGATAGCAAGACAGTCATAGCATTCATAAGACATTTTTTTTTCTTTTAGCAACCTGGTAATCCCTTGCATTGGGGTGGAGATGGGATGACTGAGCGGAGTTTGAGCATTTAGCATTCATTAGACCAGTGGTTCTCAACCTTTTTAATGCCGCAACCCCCAACCGGTCGTAAGTTGAGCACTACTCAACCGGTCGTAAGTCGACGACTACTCAACTGGTGCAGCACCGTTTGTAGAATGGGACTTTTGGCAGGCTCAGCAGGGCAGAGAAGCCTGGACAATTCCTATTGGCTTTTGAAAGCCAATAGAATTAGACTCTATTCAAGAGAGTCTATTCTATTGGCTTTCAAAAGCCAATTGAATAAAAGGGAGTAGCACAGCTAAGGAAAAGGGGGAAAAAATGGTGGACTGCGTTGTTTGGCGACTCCTGTGAAATGGTCGTTCGACCCCAAATGGGGTCCCAATCCACAGGTTGAGAACCATTGCATTAGACAATAAACCAGGTGAATTCACTGTGAAAGATGGTTGGGCAACTTCTCCAATTGCTTCACATCATTTCAGCCAAAAAGATTTACTAATAGTACCTCTTAGCTTATATCCATATTTGTGGGCTCCTGATTTGGATATGTCCTTTTTCAAAAATCCAAAGAGGAAGATATAAGCCACACTTTGTAATGCTTTGATGATTCAAGAACTGATATGAAGTTGCTTCATACTTCTTTGCTTGAATGAAATAATTAACATTTCAAATTGCTCTTTTAAACATAAAAAAGGAAATTGATATGGTGCTTTTAAGAAATACATTGATTGGGAAGCGCAGATATTCAGAGTGAAATGTATTGTATTCTAGGTATTCTTATTAATTGGGAAAGATTGTCCTTTTCTTCTAAGGGATTTGCTTGCATCCCAGGAACTTTTTTCTATCTTTGGGCAACCAGTGGTGAGTATTAGATTTTTAATTTCAAATTAAAAATGTTTAAATATTAAGTATATTTACATTTATCTAAATACACTTTATTTTTACTCAGTGGCTGACTTTGAGCAATACCAATCTAACTGGGCTGTTAGTAAATATTGCCTAAGGATGGGGTAGAGGATATTTAAACAAAGATTGGAAGTTGGTATTCAGTGAGCCAGGTTTTATAGAGAGATTTTACAGGTTAGAACTTCTGTGAGGTTCATTTGTTTATGGAAAAGTATATGAACAATATATTGTTTTGCAGTATTTACTTTTGGTTCAAATTAGATGGATGTTCTGAAGGTGTTCATTGGGTGTCCAGATGGTCTAAACCTCCGTAATATTTTGTGGCATGGATTTGTATCAGCTAAAGAGATTCCTGTCAAGTAAGTAAAATTAATTTTGATTCTTTTTCTTTTGTACCAGTTACAATAGAGTTAGAAACATAACTGAACAATAATTGAAGGAAGATGTATGCATTTAAAAAGGGATAGGCTATTCACATCTAAATGACATGCCAGTAATTAATATTTTAATTAATTGTAATTTATATTTTTATGAGTACTTTCTTCTGTTTCAAAATATTTGAATATTTATTTGAATTTTATTCTTTGGGAATGATTGATGTGTACTATATTTTCCACTGCATTGTATATCTTATTTTCCATAGATATTTCTCCATGCTACTTTTTTTAACAGCTGGATTGGGACAACTGCTTAATAATTACTGCCTTCAGACTCATTCTGCTTTAGTTCATCGACCCTATGTATCTTTCACTCACTTGAAAGAGCTACATATATTTCCAGGTATTAGTTTTAATGGCTTATTCTTGAAGCTGATACATAGCTACCATCTTGAAATATATATACTTATTGAAGTATTTTGGTTGCACTTTTAGCTCGGTTTAGAAATTGGAACCTTTATGCAAATGTAGCTTCCTGGAGTTTTAGGTACACAGAAGATTTAAAAGTGCATTATTTTACTTAGTTCTGGTGCGTATGTGCATATAGAAATCATCTATGGCCAATTCTATATGTTCTTCAGATGAGGAATGGGTTTATCTGAGTTGTAGGTACACCAGGCAGATAACCAGCCATCTTACCAAATCTGTTTCCAAATGGGGACTGAAGAGTTCTCAAATGTTTTCTTGTGGACCATGCCAGTTGGAAATTACTGGAGAATTCTAAATTGAGAAGAAAAGCTACAATACCTGTTTAGTCCTTGCATTTGAAAATTAATACTGATATAATCACAGAGTACTTTTTAGGGACATGTTTAAATGTAATAGATTTTAGAAACATGTAAAACATTTTGAGTTGAATCATTTACATTCAAAGTAACCCCTATCAAATGTGGGTCAATTGTTTCAAGTGCAAAATTGGGTGCTTTAGTCAGTTTGAAAGATTTTCAAGTTGGGCTGAGCTGTTTTGAACATAGACACTTAAGAAATAGGCTGTATACAGGGTGTTTCAAATTCAAGAGAGATGTTTTGAATCCAGAATTGTTTGAATTATTAAAAATATACAATGTAACATAAAAATGCATAAAAGAAGCAGAATAAAACACGTGACACTTCAGATAATGTTATTCCAAACTTATTTAAGCCACATGTTTATCTAGAAGAGCTAAAAGAGTTAGATAAATAAAAACTCCAATTAAGTCAGGCTTTTCTAAATAATGGGTATGAGAGACTTAAATGTATTTGTTTGTCTGTTTAGATCTCTTGCCCAATTTTTTAATACTTTCTGATGTATAAAGATTCATAAAAATATCACTTCATTGTTGCTATTCATAATCAGTACAGTAGTTAATTTGTCCAATTGGTATCTGTGTTCTTTATCGGTAACTGGTATATAAGGGGTTTTTTTTATCCTTCTTCCTCTAAAACCCATTTTTCTTTTGAGTCATACATTTTAGATTGTAAATCTGAAAACAGATACGTCTTATTCTTGTTCAGCCTCTGGGAATATCTTTTGTGAGGAAGAGGGGTAAAATAAGGATAAAATGCTTCAAATATAGAATGCTGTACTTTGTTTTTTAAATTTGCTTCTGCTCTAGGAATATCAACTTGGAAAATGTAAAAAAATCAATAAAGAGGAACTAGAGTTGGCAGTTAAATCTTACAAGTAATAGTAGAACCATTGTTTGAGCATTATTTGAAGACTATCGTAATATATTTTGATTATAAGTTTTCTCCACAATAAATTTATTTTTTTATGCAACAAAAAATTAATGTTAGTGCAAGTTCCACTCTTCTATTTTATAGATCTTAATAAAGAACTCTTGTCATTAGCTGAAGAATTAGTAACAAAATCCAGTATTGTGCTAAAGACCATGTTACCTTTTTGGATTACTGCAATAACTTCATTCCAGCAGGCGAGGTAACTATATTAGTGTATTTTAATCTTTTTTAAACAGTTGAAAATTGGTTTAGCTCAGTTGGAATGCAGGGCATAATTTATTAGAGGTTATTTGCCTATTACCCGTAAGTTCCATTCCTTGCAATCTTTGAAATAAGATTCCATAGGGTCTAGGACAAATCATCCTGCTAACTCACCCCAGCTGACTTGATGCAGGACAACTTTCCATGCCAACTCAACATGGGACAACTTGCTGCAGGACAATTCAATGTGGGATAACTACCTGTTTAACACAGCGGAAGGAAGCTTTTATTCCCCCCCCCTTCTGCTAATATCAGCAGAGGAGGTGATACATTTATCCGCCTAAGTATTGAAAACCCTATGACAGTGATGGCGAACCTATGGCATGCGTGCCAGAGGCGGCACTCGGAGCCCTCTCTGTGGGCACGCATGCTGTTGTCCCAGCCGCACCTCCCCCCATGGCCCCCTCTTCACCAGCAGCCCCTGGAGGAGAGTCGTCATCACGCGCAGCCTATGCGGAGCAGTGCAGCCAAGGACATGGCAGCCGGGCAGCAGGGACAAGACTCTGCCCTCATGCCCTGTCACGCACAGATGATGCTCCGGGGCATGGGTGGAGGGTGTGGCCTCCATGGCGTTGCAGGGCTGCCTGGGCGATCTGCGGTGGGCCATGGAGGCAGTGGGTGGCCCTGTGGGTGGGGGCAGGGCAGAGCAGGGTGGAGTAGGCAGGGCGGGGTGGGGGTGAGCCGGGGCAGGACAGTTTTTGGACACTCAGTCTCTAAAAGGTTCACCATCACTGCCCTATGAGGTACGTTTGAGTCAAAAAATAACAAAGACAACCGTAATCAAGCAAGAGGATCAGTGTGAGGACTTCCACATTGCCCGACCAACTAACAATATGCTCCAAGCATAGTAAGATTCCCTATTATCCCAGGTTATGGCATTTGAATAGTTAAAACCATTTTTCTGCATAAAGTAAGAACAATGTGTGCTGCAGCTCAGTCCCACAATACTATTTCTTTCAGATATGCCGACTGTGTCATTTTGCTACTTCCTCAGCTGGAAGGTGCGCTTAGAGTACTCTTCACAGCCGTTAATAAATGCCCAAGCAGACTAATGACAGCTGAGGTAATCATATTTATCTATTGTTATCCATATGTTTCTTTAAAAAAAAGAAATTTGTTGAAAATTATATACACTATATATGCATTAACAGAGGGATAGAATCAAGATCACGTGAAGTATTAATACCACTTTACAATGCCTTGGTAAGGCCACACTTGGAATACTGCATCCAGTTTTGGTCACCACGATGTAAAAAAAGATGTTGAGACTCTAGAAAAAGTATAGAGAAGAGCAACAAAGATGATTATGGGACTGGAGGCTAAAGCATATAAGGAATGGCTGCTGGAATTGGGTATGTCTAGTTTAATGAAGAGAAGGACGAGGGGTGGACATGATAGCAGTGTTCCAATATCTCAGGGGCTGCCCCAAAGAAGAGGGAGTCAAGCTATTTTCCAAGGCGCCTGAAGGCAAGACAAGAAGCAATGGGTGGAAACTAATCAAGGAGAGAAGCAACCTAGAACTAAGGAGAAACTTCCTGACAGTTAGAACAATTAACCAATGGAACAACCTGTCTCCAGAGATGATGAATGCTCCAATACTGAAAGTTTTTAAGAAGAGACTGGAACTGCCATTTGTCTGAAATGGTATAGGGCAGGGCTTTTCAACCAGTGGTACGGGTACCACCTGTGGTACATTGGCACCTGGCAGGTGGTACGCGACCATCCTATAAAAGTAGTGGGGGAGGGGAATGAGCTGAACCGGTGGCAGCATCGCACAAGCCTGAGCAAGAGATAGCTGGAGCTTCATCCATTTGTCCGAAATGGTGTAGGGTTTCCTGCCTGAGCAGGGGGTTGGACTAGATGACCTCCAAGGTCCTTTCCAACTTTACTACTACTACTACTACTATTATTATTATTAAGTCGAGGACTACCTGTACTTCATCACTTTTTTCCTTTTTGGGGGGGGGTTATCAAGTTTTTGACACCTTGCTAGGCGACTGGTGGTACTCGGATATTGCCATATCCTAAAAGTGGTTCAATGGGTGAAAAGGTTGAAAAGCCCTGGTATAGGGTTTCCTGCCTGAGCAGGGGATTGGACCAGATGACCTCCAGGGTCCCTTCCAACTGTATTATTATTATTATTATTATTATTATTATTATTATTATTATTATTATTAATAATAATAATATATGAATGCTTTTATGTTGATACCATTGTTTAAACTTAAATTATTTATAGATCTTTGCTCTGTAATCACCTTTGACAGAGGCATTTATGTAACACGTGGGGATTTTACCCAGTAAAAACATATTCATGGGCACTCAAGACATTTTCCCTCTTTCTCTCTTAGAACCTCAAGATTCACAGGATTCCAACTTCTGCCAGCATACAAACAGAATATTCCCAAATCTACCCATCTATTACTCTACAGCAGTGTTTCCAGCTTTGAACACTTTCAAGGCATGGACTTCAACCCACAATCACCATGCTAATTCGGAATTTTAGGTAAAGAAGTCTGCATATCAAGAAGTTGCCAAGGTTTGGAAATACTGTTCTAGAGTAACAGGGCTGAAAAGATTCCATAAGAACTGGGGAATGGATTCTCAATCTTCATTTTTCTCCAACATGAAATTTCATCTCTGGCTTTGGTGGGGAAATTTTTAAACGGTTTTACAGTCTCTTGATATATCCTAAAGCAGGACTTTTCAACCTTTTCACCCATTGTACCACTTTTAGGATATGGCAATATCTGAGTACCACCAGTCGCCTAGCAAGGTGTCAAAAACTTGATGACCCCCCCCCAAAAAAGGAAAAAAGTGATAAAGTACAGGTAGTCCTCAACTTACAACAGTTCGCTTAGTGACTGTTCGAAGTTACAATGGCACTGAAAAAAGTGCCCCCCCGAGCCACAGTTGAGCAAGACACCTGCCTGCCCGCCCGGCCACACTCTTCCTCCTGTCCGAGGTTTCCATTGTTGTGAGCATTTCTGTTGAGGATTGGCAGCAGGAGTGGGATGGGGGGTGTTTGGTTTTTATTCCCCCCGTCTGCAGGGTGATTGCAGCAGGTTTTGGTCACTTCACATAACTCTGGGACACTGTGACCGTCATAAATATGAATCAGTTGCCAAGCATCTGAATGTAAATCACAAGACCCTGGAGATGCTGCAACATTCCAGCTGATTGGCACTTCTTCTGGGCTCAGCAGAAGCGCCAGGATCAGCGCCAAGCTCCAGCTGGACCTGGCGCTGATCATGGTGCTTCCACTGAACCCTGACAGCCCTGCAGCTCCAGCCATCTCTTGCTCAGGCTTGTGTGGTGTTGCCACCAGTTCAGCTCATTCCCCTCCCCCACTACCACTTTTCTAGGATGGTCGCGTACCACCTGCCAGGTGCCAATGTACCACAAATATGCTTTAGCATATTTGGGATGGAGTAATGACCAGGTGAATATAGATTTTAGTCCTCTGTATCTTAGAGAAAAAGGAGAAATTAGTAACTACTTACAATATTATGCAGACTGTTGCACTATTCCAAGAAAATACTTATTTGTTTCTGGGTACAGTATTTCTACACAGCTCAGCTCTTATATTATTATTATTAGATTTTTACCCCGTCTTTATTACTTTTACAAGTAACTCAAGGCAGTGAACATACTCTTTTGATTACTTAAAGTCAAAAAGCTGTATAAAAATGCCTGACCACGAGTCTAACCTATATACAAATATTATTTCTAACTGTATATAAAGTACGTTTTATTTTGGAAATGAAATGTTATAACTAATAATATTTTTCTTTCATTATATTCTAGTCATCTTCTCTGTATACCACTTTTGATGAAGTAAGTTCTTTATAAGAATCTTTGAATTATTTGATAAAGTGCTAGTCAATTGTTCTTTTAAACTTGGCATGCTAAAATTAGCTAAATTACAGTATGAAAAATTCAATGAAGACATTTTTTAAAATATATTGTTGAGATTTTAAGCTTTTTAATACTACAATAGCCTGTCTTACAGAGAAAAAAAGATAGAAAACATTTCATAAATGGGGATAAAAAACATACAACAATTACAGTAATGCATCTCTTCTTTGATAGGCCTAAATTAGTTTCTAATCAATACTATTCAGTAGAGTCAGAATAATTGGATTTAATATCCAATTAAAGATTGGATACTGCATATTTATGATGTAGAATGCAGCATGTTACTCCTTGCTCAACTTGGGAGGGAATGCAGTGCTTGCTAGAGAAGTATATTTTATGGCCCCTTATAAATGCTGTTTTAGACTACTATTTTCTATAGATTCTATTAACTTGACTAATTTCAATATATTTTTATTGGGCAGGTTTTATGATACAGAAGGCCCAAATCAGGTTAATTTTGAGTGAAACTGTTTATCAGGATTCTTTTCAGACTAGCTTCTAGCATGATTTTAAGATGTTAAAATCAAGTTATTACACTTGATTGCCCATACATATTGTCTGTACCAATAATGAAAAGAAGGGCATATCTAACAGTTCTACTGGGACCATATAGCTATTTTCATAAATAAGTGCCTATATAGTCATCAAGTTATGAAAAGTGCAGAAGTAAATTTGTAGTACAGTATGCCCCAAGTACAAGAAAAGCTTTGTTTTATTTATTTTATTTTATTTATTATATTTATATGCTGCCCCTCCCACATTATCTCCATCCTGTTCAACCTCTTCAATGTAATCTAGGTTCTTGTCTAAACAAGAGACTATCTTTTTTAACCAACATGCTCTGGCCTGCATTCCATCAACAAGGAGATGCGTGCCATATATTGTTCTATATGTTGGAATTTGCATCTTGAAGTATTATAAACCATATTGTCCTAGGCAGAAACAAAGTGTAAAGTGAAATGTCAGCATCTACCTTGTTCCCCTAATCACTTTGTAAGGATGAGACATGGATGCACTACCCTATTTTGCATTGTCACGTCCTAAAAGGCATTGGCACAATCTAATATTAGTTTTCAAGAAAGATATAGCAAAAATGTGCACAAATGCTGCAGTGGCCAGAACATAGTCAATTCTGCCTGATTTTTCTTAGATAAGTTCCCAGAGTTCCATTGCAAGCCTCTGCTCCTATTAAATCAAAACCTGTTCCATTAATTCTTAAATGTATTTCACATCCCTTATTTTTCCTATGTAGATACTAGCAAAACAGTTGAATAATGAAGAAATGAATCAGCTCCCCGGAGTCCTTGGTGAATCAGGAATGGTGATGTAATTAAGTTTTGGGGTTTTTGTGTTTCAGTTGGGAATGCTGAATACGTCTAGGTTCATAAATTCATGCTCTATACATGTTTCTGACAATAAGCCTAATTGTCTTATAAATCTAAAAAGGCATTAATATAATTTCACTATATAGTGCAGTGTTATCTTTGGTCAGTCTATGTGGAAGACTGGAAGCTATATAGATTTCTGTATTCATATGGAACATTCAAGCTTTTAAAATTGGGGAAAAAAATCATATTATTTTATTAGACCACAATTTTTTTAAAAAATACAGTTATAGACATGTGAGAATGCTACACATATATAGAGTTTGACATTCAGTTTTCATTATCAAAGAAGAAAAATGATTTAAGTAGTTTCTTTCCAACCCTTGCAAAAAATGGCAACTAAGGGTTGCTATTTTGGGTTGGGTTTTGACTTCTCCCAAGATTTTCTTTGATGTATGACTGTAAACAACTGGAATATTTGAAGTAGATCAAATGATGATGAGAAAAAAAAATCATCTTATTGGCACATTTTGGCAGGAATTTCTTTGGGATTTTTTGAACCATCAAGAAGGCCCACGTGTTAGAGACCATCTGAGCCATGGGGAAATCAACTTAAATCACTTCCCAAGAGAAATAGCAAATTCCATGCTTTCATTTTCTATTACACTCCACTGCAGATTTTCACAGGATGACTTGGCTTCCATTAAGGTAAGGAACATGCCAACTTACACTAAATTTTAAACTACATTAAAATTACGCTGTTGTAGCTTTCAGATCCAAATGTTTATGTGTTTAGAGCATATGGTCTCCTTGTTCTATATAGCATATCTGTATATTTTGTAAATCTCTGTTTATGGAGACAGAGCAACCAGGTGGCCTACCTATAGTCCTACTTTTTTAGATGGCCGCTTGATTGCCACATTCCCTGAAAAGTTATTTCCAAAGGGGAAATTTCTATCCTGAATATCATTTAATGTAACATAAAGGAATAAAGGCAGAAGGAAATTCAACTATTTGTCTTTTTATATGAATTTTTAAAGAAGGAGGCAGCAAAACTACCTTTGTTTCTTTCCCAGTTTTCTATTATTGTTATTATTGGCTTACTTATTTATTTATTTTTATAATTCAGAGACATTCTCAGATCAGATATGCATAGGTAGGTAACATTCAATATTCATCACGCTATTATTCCCTTTCAAGATAAGCAGTGTTATGCAAAGTTGAGAAAAGGAGTATGAAGTGTTAAGCCAAAAAACTAAGGCATAATTCGTATATAAGACACAAGAAAAAGAAAAAAGAACGATTTTATATGCATATACCACTGTGCTGTTCCATTTGAGAATAAGCAATGACATGTAAAGTGCATAAAAAGAGTAGAAAGTAATAAGCAAAATAAATTTAAGACAAAAAATAAGAAAAGTATATTTTAAATCAATACTATTCCCTATATAAATATCTTTCTGTCCTTGCAAAACATTATACCTTCCACCACATCCATTCACAGTTCATATGTTGCCTTTTATTCTTTATAATTGTCACCTTTTTCTTTTTGAGGATTGTTTCAACAAACAATTTTACAATTGAGAGATATTTCAGTACTTTTATTTTGTAATAAACTTGTGAACTCATTTCAGTACATTGCCTTTAATTTCAGCGGAAATTTATTTGTGAAAATTCTTGAAATAAGGTTGTATTTTGTCATTTACTTTAACATGTCTTTAAACCAGGAACACGAATTCTTAAAACTGTTAATGACTTGTGCAAATAATTACTGTACCAGGTTTCATCCAATAATTCAGCTTAAAAAACAGGTATGTAACAGTCTTTTTTGCCATTGTTGCTTTGAATTTATACTAGCAGCTTTAAATTGAATAAAATATTATAAATTGAATTAAATGTAATATTCAATTAAAATAAATTGAATACTATTAAATTGAATAGCCATATTAATTAATATTGCTTTAAATCATGTTGATGAAAGTGTGAGATTTGCAATTAAAAAGAAGTCCAGCATGATTGGTCCTTAGTGCTCTCAGACCTTGGTTGTTTTCTTGCAGACATTTCATTACCCAAACTAGGTTAACATCATCAGTACTAGCCCAGCATGTTAAGTCAATGTTTGACAGCACCTGAGGTTTTCTTAAAAATTATAGACAATCCCAAAAGTTTAATCGGGTATAGATTTATTTATTTTTTTAATTTCAGAAAAAAAAAATTATTAGCAAGTCTGCGCATTGGCATGGATCCTGAACATTCAAGAAGAAATCTTTTGATTGCAGTGGTATAGGATAGGAAACTATTGGGAAAACATTCCCACATGTCCTATTAAAAGCAACAAAACCCAGCAGCTGAACAGTGGCTTGGTGTTTCTTGATCTGCACTCATGAAGCAGTCTCAGTAAGAGAAGGCAGAAGTTAGAACAAGCAGTTTTAATAGCTTTTAGCCTTTAGTTACATCTTTGATGATTCCGAGGCCCTGCAGCACAACATGTTTGAGATCATGGGAATTTCTTGAATCATTAGTTTAATGAAAGTAAGATAAATTGTTCTGTATTTTTTGTTTCTCTTTCTAGATCCTGAACTGCATAAAAAGTATCACCTCTTGGCCAGATTTTCCTATGGAGCCTGAAGAACAAGAAGTTTCAGGGTAATACCTTTTTCCTCCTTCCCTTCTTGGAGTCATAACCACAGGACTGAAAGAAATAGATGATGAATTTGTTTGTTGATAATTTCATGAATGATTGTCACCAGTCACAATGGACTCAACAAGCCTTGAAACAGGTCTTTATGGCCTGTAAAACACTTCCGGCCAGTAAAACACTTCCAGCCTATTGTAAAATGCTGCCTGCCTCCCCCATGACACGACCACATTTAGGGCTCTTAGCAACCTGTTCATATTTATGGTTGTCAAGTGCCCTACAATCATGTGATCAGCATTTGCAATCTTCTCAGCCTTCTTTCCCAGAAAATCAGTAGGGACGCCAGCAGGGAAGGTTGCAGCTAGAGCATTGGATTTGAGGTCCATTTCCCTAACATACCAAGTCATAGTATTTCCCCTCACCTCTGTATCAGTGTTTCCACCCCTCCAGAGGGGACAAACTAGTGAACACCAGTATTCTGACCCTTTCAAAACAATGGCATTTGCTAGCATTTTTGTCAGATTGGAGATCTGTTCTTCCAGCATATCAAAGGATTTCTCCTCTGGAGGGGAAATCTCTTGACCTGCTGGAGGAATGGCCTTCAGATCAGGTAAAAATGCTAGCAAATACCATAATTCTCATGATTGTTCTCCTGGTGGGCTAGAATACAAGTTTGCTTTACACCCTTACTGGTAGACATGAAAAATTATTTGAAAATATGTGTTATGAATGCTGCAAGTGTCTGTCACTAGATTACTCCAATTTGGACTACAGTCATTCTCTAGACACTGGGGCTAATTTAAAATCAATAAATACCACCCTGGGAGAAATACATATGTCTCAATTATATGCCAAGCACAATGAAGATATTTAGAAAGAGAGAGGACTAAAGGAATCCTTTTATTTTTGTAAGGGATACATATCAATGGTCAGACAAATTCTCCGGAAATAACATTTTTTTTTAAGGGAGCAATTCTACTCCTAAACTTTATCATGTTGTAGGACAGAGGTGAACAGTCTGAGGTGTGTGTAGGGCACTGAAAGCCTTGACTGTATTCCACAAAGAACATGAAAGAAAATATTATCAAACTGTAGATTTTAATGTGACTGAAGATAAATAAGATTAAATGCAAATTTGGAGAGGAATTATATTAATGATCTTTCTTTTTTTCCATGTAAATAAAACATATCTAATTTAGATTTTGTTCAAGATTAATCCAAGTGCAATATTTCTGCTCAGTTTTCAGTATAGGAAATAGGGATTGTTGGGATGTAAAATGTTTATTGCAGTAAAATGAATACTTATTTGTGTCTTAAAGAAAACTAAGTTTTGGGTGAGTTTGTATTGTAAGAACTTATTTTTATTTTTAGATCAGGAAGAGATACTGCCCCCTGCATTCTTATGATCAGTGATATTTTGTCTCAATTGCAGCCCTATTTGTCTGTGAATGTTACACTATTAGGTGACTCCTTAAATAATCTGCTAACTGAGAAGTAAGTTTTATAAGATATTGTGGGCCCTTTTTCAAATATGAGAACACATTTTATTCTATTAATGCTTTGTCATTCTTTGGAGTTTCATTTATGTTAAATATCATAATATAGCATTCAGATATTTACTGGACCAAACCAAGAAAATAGCATTTTAGTTTGGCATGATAGATGATTCCAACCATTTTAGTTTTAAATCATAATGTAAACCTTTGCATTGTGTTGTGGAAACTGCGTCGGTTGTGGCTTACTCAATAAACCATGGATAAATTAATATGATACATGAATGCAGCCATCATGTTGTTTAGCATGCATTTTTTATAAAGTGTGCCTGGAGTTGGCTTGTCTCTGTTACCTGTAATTGAATTAATACAGTTTGGATTTGAATGACATTAGAAACTGCATTTAACGGAAATGGAAATAAACTTCCAAATTCCTTACAGTTACACTAGAGATGTATCGAAAAATCTTTATTTAATATGGAAGTACTGAATGTAATCTTTTTTTATATTCATAGAAAGATGATATTTGCCATAAGTAATAACTAATTTTAGTGCAACCTTTTTTTTCCTGTTCAGGTTACTGACTGAACTTTGTAGCAAGCACATTCATACCCTTTTCTCTCCACGAATTGTCCTGGAAACCATTGTGGTGCTTCGCCAGATAAGCACCCATTGCCATCATGTGTCATGTCAAGTCATTTCGGTTTGTGAAACCAGATATAAACAGTGGATAAACAAGTCACTGAGATCTCGCCAACGACTTACCTTTCTGCGCATGAAAAGAAGGTGGGAAGTATCTTACTTTTAAGAGAATGAGACTTTTAACGGAAGGTGGTTTTAAAATAAACTATCTAAGAAAGTAATTTTAATACTGTACAGAACTACATTTTTGTAACACTGACCTGATCCTTCAAAGTTAATATCATTAATCGTCATGAAAGGTTCTCATTGAAATGAGTGAGATTTAGTGATATGTTAATGTAGCTAGAATATCAGCATATTGCTAGGGAAATCTGGGTTCATTCAGCTGATGCTGACGGGTCTTCAGCTGGTAAACAAATCCCAATCTGATTTGCTTAGGAATAATGCCTTGAATTCTTAGGAGAAAAAAATGGGATATAGATTTAATAAATGGTAATGTTTGTGGCTAATTTGGAACAGAATGTGAGCTTAATAAGAGCAGCTAATTAAAATATTATTTAAAAAAAAATAAGGGGGAAAGCGGATAGGAAGAGATTTTCAAACAGCACATATATACATTCCTGCCAATTGGCAATTTTAGCTAATTGCTATTCATTTAGCTTATCCCTCTTTTTATACTGTATGTTCTCCAGATGCACTTCCTGACTTTATTATTTTGGGTCCATGTAATATTATTTTAATGTTAAATGTTTTAGATGTATATTTACTTACTTGTTTTATTTTTTCTTTCAGTATCAAATTTCTGTCCCCAGTTTTGCAACTCGTTTTAATCTTGATTACCCTGGAGCTAGGGAACATTCATATGATTTGCAGAAAAAATACTTTTGAATGTCAAAAGTACTTAAAGTGAGTATAATGTTCTTGCAGAATATTCTAGCGTTAGATATTTTTTTCATTAGCAATCATCTAACTGATAATTCCCAGTAATTAACAATTCTTTGGTTTCTTATATCATTCTATTTTTAAAAGCACTCTGTCTCTAAAGATGCACATTAAGGATAACATTGCATTTAAAATATATTTCTTCACTTGTTGTTCTTGCTGCTGTTTTTTTCTTTAAATAGCTGCTTGGACTGAATTGGATTTAGAACTATGGTATATATAAAACATATTTTTAAAGCTATATAATGGTACAAATTCAATGCTGTCACAGTTTTAATGAATGGCACTCATTATTTAAAACTGCAGCCCTACACATATTTTAATCAGCAGGGGAAGATGCAATGAGAAACTGCAAACTGACTATTCGAAAGGGAGGGATGCAAGCTGCTGGCTGATCTTATTTTCTATTTGCAGACTAACTAAGAAAGCAACAGTAGTTCTTTTAGCTAAACATATTGCTTTTAAATGCCAAGTCAATTATTTTATAAGGTACATCAGCATTTTCTAATCTAGCCAACAGTAAGGTATGTGGGCTTCAGTTCTCAGCATTCTTAGCATTGACCATATTGAATGGGGAATTCTGAGAGTTGAAGTCCATATATCATAAGGTTGCCCAGGTTGAGAAATACGCAATATTTCTTCCTTTTCGAGATTGGATGACACAAAGAAGAGGTACTGCAGACTTAAACTAGACAGCAGGGAAGTGGAGCTAATGCTATGTAGGAATTCATTCCTGCCCTCTGTTGTGTGCAGGCTTCTGAATTCGGGGTCTGGGACAATGTAAGAATATTGATAGTGTAGCCTAATATTTTGCCTACCTGAACTAGTAGAGTTGATCTAAGACAGGGCTGTCAAATTGCCAGCCCATGGGCCGGATGCATCACCAGGAAACCGTGCCCCCCCCCATTGCCGGCAATGGGGAAAAAGCTCCATAGTCATGCAATGTCACGTGACGTCGCGAGTTTGACATGTCTGATCTAAGACATGATGTTGGTGGAGCATCTTAGATAGGATTTCATTGTCCATGTAAAGTTTGCTCAGGTGTGACTAAGGATTTCACATTCTGTACAGTGCTCAAGGTCCTATTACAGTGAAGTATTTGGTCTCATGATTGCATGTAACTTGTGTACCACAGGTTGCTAATTTCCTGATTTGTGGTGTTCCATAGGGTTCTGTCTTAAACCACATGTACTTCAATATGTAGCTTCTGTATGCTGGCTGAGGAATTTTGGGAGTTGAAGTTCACAAGTCATAAAAGGGCCAAGTTTGAAGACCCCTAGTTTATAAAATCTGCTTAGATGTATTTCTTCTGCAGGGTATTTAACTGTTAACTAATTTACAGTAATTTAATTGGTTTTAACTGGGTTTTAGTTTTATAAGTATTCATTTTAATAGAAAGCTCATTTATGTATCAAATACATAATGAATTGGGGTGACTTCTGATTTAATATCCAACATAATTGCATTGGATATGTCCATTACTCTATCAGCCAAAGCAAAAATGAGGTAAAAGCTTGGCAGGTTTATTATGGCATAAATGATTTATGATGGTAGAGCAGTCTCAAATGATTTACAAAAGACTTAATTTAAGAAATAATTTTAATCAAATGTATTGACATAATTTCATTTTGTTTTCCTCCTAGGTTTCTCAGACTGATTTTGCAGTATATTGAGAACTTGGTGACTTATACAAGTCCAGAAAAAAATAAATGGGATGAAACCATAGTGCTTACACACAAATCATTGATAAAAATCAGAACCTTTCTAGGAAGAGAACTGATGCTTGTACAGCTAGCTGAAACAAAGAATATAGTTAGTCCTCATCAAAATTCTATAGGTTTAACCTAAACAGGCAGTTATCATTTCTCCCCAATTTATACAGATCAACATTTGCAAAAACTATGTGCCTATATTCTCCAATGCAGTGGAGTGTAGATGTGAGTATGAAAGATTTTCTGAGCAAAAAAAAAAAATAAAAAATATGGCAAAGCCACTATTATCTGTTGAATATGGGTGGATGGGTATATCAGATGATGGATCAATGGATGGACTGATGGATAAATGAATGGGTTTGATCACATTAGTAAGATCAGTATTATTGCTGCTATAAATATATATTTTATTTTTACTAAAGTGCGTTATATACGTTACTATAAAAATGTTTCAGTAAAATATACTGATTTGTAAATTATTTTTTACAATTTTCGCTGATTAAGGTGAATAAACTGGGAGATATGAGTTACCATTATAGATTGAAAATGTTATTGCCTATTTCTCAGAACTCATTCTGAATTCACATTAATATTTAATTATCATTGTGATATTTTGAGGACTCAGAATTGTACTATGCGTCTGCATAGTACATAGTACATCTCACAATTCTTTTACATCAGTCTTTGGAATTCCTTTCCTGACTGGTGCCTCTTGCACAGCCTCACTTTATGACCACATTGCTTAGCAATGGAAATGCTGATCTCATTGTACGTTGAGGACTGGCTGTACTGCATTAAAAACAAAAAAAGCCTACAGTAGTATGCTTTCTTACCAGGAAACTAAACACAAGGTGGCGGTGTAGGACAACATGTACTCCCTTTTTACAACCTGTAAGGACAACATAAACAGAAAATAAAAGCAGGAGAGTAGAAAGTTAGAAATGTCATTACCTCCATTGGACCCAGGAAACGTGTAGATTTTTAAATAAGGGAATATTAAAAGTGTAGGACTAAGCATTCTCTTGTCAAATGCATTCTTCCTAGTCTTAAATATGCTGGGAATCCATCATTCAAATTCAACATGCAGATTCTTTCTCTGCCAAAAAACCAAATCATTCCCATTAATCGTTCCATCAACCCTGAAAACTGGTCATATTTTTTTTCCTCTTCACTTTTCTTCCCTGGTTTAGAAAATATACCTGAGCCCAGAGATTCTTCAATTGTCTCAAAATCCAAGGATGATTCAGGTCTAGCTGCTCCTTGTGTTGTCATTTGTTCCAGCTTGAATGAGCAAGAGATATCTGTTGATAGGCTTGATGAATTTTGGGGAGGGGGGATGTTGATCTGTTAAATCCCTTAGAGGGCAAATTTAATGAAATCCTATTTACCAGAGTTCACGTCCATGTGCATTTAAAGAAATTGAATCCTTACTGGATGATTTTGTATGATTTGTGTTCTAAGTTATTCTAGTCTATTTTTTAAAAAAAATCTATATGGAAACAAAGTTTTTTTAGGAGACTGAAACCACAGAGTCACTTGTTTAATCATAAAGACGTGTTCCTTAGCATTAATAATGCTGTTATATTTTATTAAAAATTGTATGGGATTTTTTAAGAGCAAGTATTTTATTCTAATCTTATTTATTGATCAAGTAACTTTTAATAGATTGCAGGAATGCTGTGGATATAATATATCTTGAATTGAACAAAGCACTTGACATAATGCTTTGATTAGCAAGTTAAGCATAGGCTGGATAGGAGGCATAGTTGGTTTGATTGACGTACTCTAAGAACATTAGTGGTGCTACATCCGGTTGGAGTGAGACAACTGGAGACTGCCATTAGGTTCTCCCTTTGGAAAACATAATCTGCGAAATATGTGTCATTTGGATTTCTGTACTGCATAGAAAGTTAGACTCGGCTTATGTGGCATTTTCCAATTTGATGATCCTTTCATCTAATTATTGTGGAATCATATATACTTTATATAAATATACTCATCAGGATATTATAATGTAGATTTTTCTACCTACTTGAAAGCCATTAATTAAATGGCTTTAGTTAAAGATGAACTAATCAAATACTTACAGTATTAGTCCTAAAGTTAGGATCACTCATTCTATGACCCTTCAAAGTTATGATTACCATCATGACTGGTACTTAATGACTGATCCTCAAAGTTGTGGCCATTGCAACATCTCCATAGTTGCATGATTGCAATTCAGATCTTGGCAACTGGCTCACGCTTACAAAGTTGCAGCATTTTGCAGTATAGTAATCTACAACTTTCCCTGCCAGCTTTCCACAAGCAAAATCAATAGGGAAGCTGGCAAAGGAAATTGCAAGTCGCTCCCATCACTCTTTCTCCCGGGGAGCTGTGCTTTAGGCTACAACATCCCAGCACTCCCATACTTCATAGCTCTCACCCACATTCTGTAGCACCCTCCAGGCCACTATGCTCCTTGTCTGAGGCTCCCATTTCATCCTGCTTAATAAGCCGCATGGTCCTGGGGTTAATACAGCTGCCACAATTGCCATCATAGAGCAATATGATTATGTGACATTGCACTTCATGATTGCATCACTTAGCAGTGGAAAGTCTGTTCCTGGTTGCTATCGTAACCCAAGGACTATCTGTATGAGATTGAAAGATGGTAACGGGTTGTTGTTTTTAATCAGACCTGATCACTACAGCTATGACCCATCACATAGTTATTTAAACAGAATCGGTGTTACTAGAATACTTCTATTTTAATCCTTTTTCTCCTTTGCTATGGGGAGGATTTAAAATAAGCCATCACATTTTAAAAACATATGGGTATTCTTGAGAGGACTGCAAGTAAATGAGGGAGAATGTTTGAATCACCTATAGCATACAGGTAATTTGGGTGGTGCCCATAAGAAATGACATGAAGGTGCTACAAAACAGGTGAAATACTGTAGACTTGATTGTGGGTCTTTAAAAAAGAAATTAATGATAGACATAGCTCTGGGGAGGCACCTAAGGAACAATTACAGATACAATAACCATTAAATTGATGACCTGTCTAGCATCCCTAGAGTTTTATGCTATAAAAGTAGGGTACCTTTCAGGTGATGAATAATGGCTTCTGGGATGGAGAATAGATGTTGCAGAGTATGCAGATGTAGCTCTGAATTGCCTTTCTAGACCCAGGATTTAGTGAAGAGCCTTCTGGTTAATTTTCATTCAACCTAATAGTCACTTTTGGATGAGAGGATTCCTAGCTTAGGAAAAATCAAACACCGATTTTTGTATTTTTACCTGATGTTTTGGTTCACTTGGCCTCCATTTTTCTAACTTCTTTCTTTGGTGAAGGGGAGATCAGTCCCAAAACAACTTTTAAAAGACCATTTCTCAGTCAGAATTCATCTTTATCCTGCCTTCCAAGAACTTTTTGATATTTGAGATAGGAAGCTGGATAAAAAGATGATTGCAGTCAAAAAGAGCAATATAATAAAACTATATGTTTTGTAAGATCAAATTTGGGTCAGTTGGGATCAGGGATTTACTCTTCCAAACTTTCAGACTGGAGCCCACCTTCAGGGAATTTCTCTCTCCTGAAATACGTGCATTGGGCTGTTGTGTGAGTCGTTTTATGCGGTGCCTTTCTATTGGCTGATTGGTGTGTGGATGGCTGGTGATTAACTGTCATTTCCCTGTGCTTACATTGAATGCCACAGATAATACTTGGCTTTATTATTTCCTTCAACGCACTTACAAAGTATCCGTTAACAATTAGGTGCAAGTATCCAATTGGAACTATGCATTTCAGATGGTTTTCTGCAACCCTTTCCCAATCTGGGTTCTCTCCAGAGTTTTATCTCTTCAGTTCTCATCATTTTTATCATGAGGGTAGAACCTGATGTGAACTAATGTTCAAAAATCTGGGTAATGTACCATCTTGATAATGTATGTTATATGGTAGAAATAAAATGGATACATTAAAAAAGCTGTAGTAGAAAACTCAGCTTTAGAGAGATTCACGTTCCATCTTACTGTTATTTCAATATTCATTTTTTTCCTTCTACCATGAATACCATTCCTAGTAGCATGTGCCCTGCCCTGTGCTGACATGATGCCATATATCCCAAGTCGTTCATTGGAATGTTTAAACAAGGAACAACAATATACTTTCTAATGCCATGGCTTCAGCATTACAAAGACCAGCAGGTGTGCTTACTTGGAAAGATAACCTGTTTTCACATCTGCTGATAAGACTAAATTATCTAATTCTTGTGATTTGGTTAATATTTCCCTCTTCCGCCTGCTGTGTACACAGAGGCCTACTGGGTAAACTGCCTACAACAGTGGGACACTGCGCATAGCACTGTTTTGTATGACAATATCACCCTCTCACCTGGTGCCTTTAATTAAACATCTCTTTAATCATTGCACAAAAATTAACAGACATTTAGACTTTGGTTTTTTTTAGTCATATCTTTAAGAAATAATAACTGAGTCATAAAGTCATATAAGGAAAAGTAACTATGTTGGCAACTAAAACACACTCTCATATGCTTTTTAAAAAATCAATTGAAAGGATGGGGAAAAAGGCAACTTTTGAGTGGATCAGACATACACAACTGACAAGAGCAAAACATGTAGGATCACAGAGTTTCAGAGAAGACTGAAAACATTTAATTGAGATATTTCTGGTCATATCAAGGACTATTGAATTGAAGAAAAAGCACCCCAGAAATACTAGCAAACCTCCTAGATAAACCCTGGAGTTTTTCTGTCTTTCCTCTTTCATATATCTCATTTCAACTTTTATACTTTTCTGCAACCAACATTAGTGGCTTCTCCTTTTGGATCATCTATTTCCTGACTCCTTAATCATTTTCATTCAACACACAATTCCTTATTTTAGTATTGTTATTCTTGTGATCTGTTTTTCTAACGCCACACATTAATATGAAATGGATGGAGGAATGCTCCCATTTTTCTGTTCAAAAAGCAATCTAAAAGGCTAGCATGAAAGAAGAAAAACTAACTAAAACATAAATATAAATATATATTGAGCATCAGTGTTTCTCAAATTCAGCAACTTCAAGAGGTATTCAACTCCTACAAATCCTCAGCCAGAATAGACTAAGTCGGCGAAGCCAGTAAAATTCAGAAGAAGAAAAAAAGTAAAAGTGTTTAATTTAATGCAGAGGTAAGAAATTTTACAAAACCATCAATCAAAACAGGATCCTTCCATGTAGATGCTATTCTGATTTAGATAGCCAGGAATGTAAAGAGAAGCTCACTAACTTTTCTTACAGTCTGAACAGAATCACATGAGATCCATGAGCTGTAAGTAACTTTGAGTTACCAGTCCACTTGGAATAAGAGTAGCATTATATACAATAGCTGATCTTTTACAGCCAACTATAATTTAACCTGAGAAAATGCAATGATAAGGTAATCGAAGGCACAAATCAATTTCAGTTGGAGGAACGATTGTGGCTGGTCGTCATATGCCAGTCTTCAACTTTGTAAATCTTGGACATATTTTCCTTCTTATGTAGGATCCTTAATGTTTATTTTGTTACTTTTTTTTTACAATCAGTGCAATTAAATGTGGTTTCTGTTCCTTTTTGTTCTAATCTCCTGACTCATTGGAGCCATAAGAGAATTAGTTATCAATTAAGGAGCCTATACTTATAGGTTAAGCCAGAGATGAAGGTCATCCAAGGGCACAGACACGTACAGGAAGATTTTATTCCTCAAGCAAAATACAAGTCTGCAAATCTTGTGATTCTTCATTTGATCTGGCAACTGGTCTAAGCAGATAGAGTGACACAAGAGCAAGGTGTTGCACTGAGAAATCATCACTGCATGGGATATATATTTTTTCCTGATTACAGTCCACTGCTATTCAAGCAAATGCCGTTACTCGTTATCTGAGATGTGACAGATACCTTCTGCATCACAGTAGAATTTCTGCCAATCCCTTTCCTCTATAGACATCACAATTTAAAATTGCACCCATAAAATTACACAATAATCAGTGGTCATCAACCTATGGTCATCATGGTGTTCTTGCCTCCAAACTGGTAAATTTTCAGACTGAAACACCAAAAGCTCACAAAATTTAGTAATCCTGCAAAATTTTAGTCATTTAATCTTTAAAAGATAATGTTTAATTTTGGGATCCACTGATGCTAAGGACAGGGGTCCCCAACCCCAGTCTGCAGACTGGTACTGGTCTGCAACCTGTTAGACACCATGCCACACGAGTGAAGCTTCATTTGCTTTTGCATGGGATATAGGTAGCACACAAAACCATAACACACACACACACACACACACAAATACACACAGCTGCCAATCCATGTAGAAATCATTTCCCCCCCAAACCGGTCCCTGGTATTAAAAAGGTTGGGAGCTGCTGCTATAGGAGGCAGGATCGTATGTGCTATGGTACTGGCAAGCACTACACTGTCTATCCCAATTTATATATTGATCCTCATCAGCTTTAGATGATACAGTAGTCCTCATGAAGGAAAATTGGAAACCATTGTGCCAGATTTCTGATTATCCATTCTCATCCATTATAGTGAAGATACGTGTTAGCATCTGTTGGGCAGAAAAGCAAGATAACTAGAAA